CTCTCCATATGTAAACTGCGGCAAAAATTAGATTATACAAACTGCGACAAACCGATAAGATACATCATACAAACTGCGGCACTTATTTTATATACTTTCTATATATAAGTACATACGTAACTGAACGAAGTAATACCGTGCGACTTTTAGAAAAAGATAAATTTTGCCGCAGTTTACCATCTCCCAAAATATTTACTATTCTAAATTTTTAAATATTTCATTTGATTTTTAAGTATAGTATGAAACATATATACTATACATATTTATGTATTACATAATAAATTATAACTATTGTCTATAATATTATTATACAATATTATGTTCAGATAAAATATGCAAGTTTTTTATTAACATTTTAGATTTTACATTTTCAAAATATTTAAATAAAATTTAAATTATTTATATAATGAATCAATGAACCTATTTATATAGTTTTACAGTTAGTTTGGTATTAACTATTTATTTGAAAATGTTTTAAGTAAAAACAGGTTTTGAAAAAAATCTGGCTTATAACATTTTCAAAATTTTTAAATAAAATTTAAATTCTTTATATGATGAATTAACGAAACTATTTATATAGTTTTACAGGTAATTTGGTATTAACTATGTATTTGAAAGAGTTGTAAGTAAAAACAGGTTTTGACAAAAATGATTAGTCTTTTTTGTTGTTATTAAAAAATTAATCACTTTAGAGACTTGATATTTTCACTGAATAATAATATTTTTATTGTTTTATGTTTTTATATAGACGTTTATAAACAAAAAAATTTAAATGTGGCGAAAAAATAGTATTTAAGTGATGAAATGCATTTTATAGCTTTGAGCAACAGTAAATATCTACTGCTTACCTATATACAATCCATTAAAGCATTACAAAACTTATAAAAGAAAAGCCAAGCTTAAAAAATGCAATAATTATAATACAATATTTACAAGACATAATTAAAATAAGTTAATAAACTGTAAAGCAAATAAAACGAAATGGTTTGTTACCTATCGAAAGTTCTTCAAGTGGTCAGTTAGTTGTGTCAAAAACATTGGGAAACATCGCATTAGGACTAAATTTTATTTTTAATAGTTTACTCGAGATTCATGCCAATTATAATATATTGTCAACACGACTTTACAAATACAGGGTGCATACAAATTTTGGTATTATGACATTTTCTTATAGACTACCTATAAATTAAAATTAATTTTAATAGGCGTGCAATTTGTACAGTTATAACTTATAAGTTATAATTTATAAGTTTACAATTAATAAGCTCTTTCTATCTAAATTTATTTTTGTTGTATTAATCATTATATAGAACCATAATTAAATTTCCTACCTATATATTTTTATTATTTTCAACTCATTGTAGTATGATGGACGTAATGCTATTTTTCTCCTCTTAAATATTAGTTTTTATTGTTAATTAATTTAAAGCTCGTTTAGCTTGGAAAAATATCAACGATATAAAAATACTAAAGTTGACAACATTTAACAAAGTTGGTCACAAAAATTCGTGCGTGTAATGTTATTAGAATTTACGCAACGGGTAGTGTTTAATATCTATAAAAGTAGTCAAATTTTATTTAAAAAATTATTACATTCGATTGTAAATATATTTTTATTATCATACAGGCGTGACGTAGTGTAGTGCTTCTCCTTAAGATTCCACGGTGAACAGTCTGAGAACCACTAATTTAATAAAATAATAAATTAAAATAGTTTATTGGGTGTATATTTTAGCTTAAATAATTGAACAAAAGATTTGAACGGAAGTTCAATGAAAAAATATATTCATCGCTTCGCTTAGAATGTAAAAGAAAAATTAATGATTTAACAGATTGAATAATGATGGTATATGCTGTTTATGTCTATATTAAAGTAGAATCTTTTTAACTATGAAGTGGAGTAAAACCAAGTTTTTTTTCTCAATTAGACAATCGTCGGTCGTCGTCGGCTGCAGGTGATGCAGGTATCTACAAACTGCTCTAAGCACTTCATAGTATGCCACTGCCCTTCAGTACGAAAACGGCAACTAAACGAATTACAACTCAATAATAGTAAGTACCTGGTCAATGATTTACTCACTAATTAATTATTTTAAAATTTATTTACTTTAAAGATTTTTGTTTAAAAGTAATTATTTTTCTATATGTATTTTATTAATATCAATGTTAATTTTTTTTTTTATATCACGAATAGCTTTTAAAAAATTTGAAAATATGGACAAATTAAAATAAAGCCATTAATTGCTGATTAACTGAATTAAAATAGTATTTTTTTAACAATTCATAAATTTAACTATTTTTGTTGGTTTAAAAGGCATATAATTAAATTAATTTATTGAAATATCTTTGTCTATCATGTTTGTGTTCTATTGAATTTGACGAAACAAATATTTAATAGATCAAATTGAAGGTTTATTTTCGTAAAAGTTTTAGAATTTAATTTGTTTAATTAGATAACACAACATAAACAAAAATAACTATTATTATTTATTAACACCTAGCTACATATAAAACGGTATATAATTCATTCAAAAGAAAGAATGTTTTTAATTTTGTTAAGTTATTTTTACTTTTTTATCAAAATGTGTATATAAACAAGTTGAATATCAAAGCTTAAAAAGATTATTATATAAAATCAAGTGATTGACACTTAATTTTTATAAAAAAAAATTGAAATACAAAATAAAATATAATAATATTATATCATATACTTATTTTAGTTATATTTAAGGAATAAATAGTTTTGCTTTAATTTTGTAAATATACCTGAAATGCCTAAGGCTCAATGGTTTGTAGCACCTGCTCTGAACTCCACAGTTTTTGTTATACGTTTAAATAAGAATGCTTTCAAGACGTAGTTGGTTGGGATCGTGACAGCAATAGAACCGTTTTATCCTCCTCTTTATAATTTATTATTCTGCGTGAATGTGTGCATATAACCATGTGTGATGTGAGTATATGGATTAGATAACGTATATTATTTATACAATTTCACATTATTTTTATACTGATTCTTACAAAATTTGAATTAAGAAATTGTAATATTAAAAAAAAAAAATATTTTCAATACCTTCAATCATAATTATTTAATTAAAATTATTGGTGTGAATTAATTAATTTTTGATTTACAATACGTTGAATAATTTATATTTTAATTTTAATGGTATTTATAATCAGAGTTCAAACTATATTATTTTTGTTTATTTATTTATTTATTTTTAGCTTTATAACATGTCATTAATATATATAAATTATATTTTTAAGAAGTACGTTGATATCTACTTCTCGTAAGAAAAGGTTGTGGTGGGAATAGATAGTTTATTACAATAAGACATACTTATAATCATAGAGGAGAATAATAATAATAGTAAAAAAAATAGTAAATAATGATAATAATACAATATTTTAATAAACCGATTACAATGAGAATGATAGTTTGTATATATTTTTATAAGTAGGGAACTTAAATATATTATTGTTGTCAATTAGTTTAATATCGGAAAGCAGTTATTAAATGATTTTTTACCTCTATTAATATAATAATTTATCATTAATGTTGTGTTAAATTTGATTAATCTTATAGAATTCAAATTTATTTTTATTAGTATACATTAATTTTTAGTGCTTAAAAGTATTTTAAACATAATATAGAGTACCTATATGCTTTAATCATACTACAGAAAATGAAAAAAAAAATTTTTTTTTAAAAATTAATTACTAAATTAATTATTATACTGCTAAAATACTAGTGTTGATGTTTTAAAGATTATTTAGATTCAAGATTATTTATTTTGTTTACTTGTGTAATAATTAATTAAACAAAAATATAAAATTTGATATATTTAATGTGAATTATTTAATAAACAAGTAACCATAATTTATATAAAAAAGCTAATTTAATAAAAAAAAATAGGCTGGGGTAACATTTATTTCGATTCACTGTTTATTCTAAATAATTTCTATTATTAAACTACAATAACTTATGAAAAATATTAAATCAATTTCATTTTAAACAAAGATTTATTATATTAATTGTGTGATAAAAAAATAGTGTTATTTAAAAGTATACCTACAGAATGTTAAGCATATTCAACTTCATTTTTTCATTTTAATAACAAATTTATTCAAATTCTGGTTGTTGGAATTTTTAAGTATATTGAAGGATATTTTCAACTATTTAGATTTTGTATTCCATTTAAAAAATATCCTATAGTGATATTAACTTCTTTTATTCTATCAATTTTTAAAAAGATGATTTTTTTGAAAATGTTAATCAAAATTTGAATAGTTAGTTTCTGAGTTATTAATAAGTTTTTACGTAATAATAATGATAGTCCTTAAAAATGGTTATATAAAATTATTAAATAGTTTTTATAAAGGTTGTATTATTATTTATGATATAGAATAATTTTTAAAAATCATACAATTTTGATGGATAAATGTATTGAAAAAATTATTTTTCTCATGTATTCGAAATTCATTAACGAGCATGTATTATTTTGAAAACATTATATAAAAAGTCATCTGAGTTAACAATTTACAGATAAAAGGTTGATTCTCAATTGAAAAAAAGTAGTACACGAAATTCTTCCAATGGTATTAACTATCTAAGTATCTTAAAATATAGTAGGTATTAAGTAAATTTAAAGTTTCAAAAATTCAGAATTTCAATGCATTTAATATTAAAAGAAAATTGATGGTGAACATGCTCGGGGAATCACTTAATGTATAAATACCGATTTACTAAACAATTATTAAATGTTTAGTTTCAAAATGTGGGCAGTTTCAATTACTTGCATTCTATTTTTGAGTGCTGTAATTTGCAATCCAGAAGTAAGAATTAAAAACGGTGCAATAAGAGGAAAAATTTTAAAATCAAGAGATGGCAGGGATTTTTATTCTTTTACTGCCATACCATATGCAAAACCACCAATTGATGAACTTAGATTTAAGGTAAATTTTATTGAAATATTGGATAATTCACAATGAAATCTTGATAATAATATTTTATGATTTACTGTAGCCTCCAGAAACAGTAGATTCCTGGGAGGGTATTTTAGATGCCACAAAAGAATCAAATATGTGTACACAAAATAATCGTTTCTTTCCGTCAATTAGACATTTAATACTTGGCGAGGAAGACTGTTTATATTTAAATGTTTACACATCAAATTTAAATGGAAAACTTCCAGTAATGTTATGGATACACGGCGGAGGATTTCTTGCTGGTCATAGCGGGTCTAACATATTTGGATCTGAATATTTTATGGACAAAGATGTTGTTTTTGTATCTATAAATTATAGGCTTGGATTATTTGGTTAGATTTGTTTTCGCTTAACTATAAACTGTTTTTATATGATTATTTTATACAAATAATTTGTTATTATTAAGGATTTATAAGCACTGAAGACGATGTAATACCAGGTAACTATGGACTAAAAGATCAAGTCATGGCATTACGTTGGGTCCAGAAAAATATCGCTAATTTTGGCGGTGATCCTGACCAGGTGACGATATTTGGCGAAAGTGCGGGTGGTGCCAGTGTAGGGTATCATTTATTATCTCCATTAAGTAAAGGCCTATTCCATAAGGCTATACTCCAGAGTGGTACATCTTTGTGCCGTTGGGCTGTTTCTTCACCTGGGTTAATTCGCAAGCGTACCGAAGCAGTTGCTACAATCGCTGGATGCAATTTCAATTCTTCTGAAGAAATATTGAACTGTTTAAAAAAACTTCCAGCTAATTATATTGTCGAACTTCATAATAAAATTTTCGTGAGTACCTATAATGTTTCTGTGGCCTATGGGCACATTTATCCTTACTATCTCTCAAATCGTTACTTTGTACTCATTATTGTATAAAATTGTTGTTCTATTATCAAGTGGAGTATCGATTATAATAAAAAATATTTCAACTAAAAAAATAATTATCTGAATATATCCTTTTTTTATCATATGAACGCGATAGCAAATGTAACACACTCTATTGGTTGTTTATTATGTTAATTATACTTGAAGTATAATTAAAATGTTTCATGTTTCAGGAGTGGGATAATCATCCATGTATAATATTTCCACCTGTGGTTGAGTCATGCGATTTAAACCAAAAGTCGTTCTTATGTAACCACCCGCTTACAAACTTCAAACAAGAATCTTTTGTACCGACTATTATTGGTTTGAATTCAGGCGAAGGTGGGATATTTGCCGCATGTAAGTAGCATTACTATATAGTTGACTTATTTTATATTAATATGTTAACTATGCTTATGCTGTAGTAATATGTTAATTATTAATAAAATTTATTTTAAAATAATCAATAAACCAGAAAAATAAAGAACATCATATAGTTTATTAGCTTATAAGTTTAAAGTGCTTTAATTTTTAATTTTTAATTTTATCTCATAAATATTATACTATAAAACTATAAAACTAGAATATATTTTATTACATACATTTCAAAAGTTTTAAATTATGTTATTGTACAGTATAACTTATTATAATTGATAAGTTTGTGTTCAGAAACAGGTTTTTTTTTTTGATGAATGAGATGAGATATACGAGGCCTTGACTATAGTTAAACAAGTTTTTTTTGTATAAGATATTCAACGTATAGAATTCATTATATTTTGCTAATTATCAGAGTTATTGAAAATATTTTATTTTAATAATTTTGAGTTATTACAAAAAAAAATATTATTGAGAAAAATTTTTACGTTTAAAATGTTTGATTAGTGTAACTTAAAAACAAACTGTAGATACTTAAAATTTTCTTTCATCAAATGTTTGTATTATCGTATATTCATTATATAATTTTTTAAATGTTTCGTTTTATTTATAGGTATGAAAAATTTTTAATTTATTTTCTAGAAATGTAAATTAAAAATTATTTGTTTGGTAAAATGATAAACAGTTTAATACAATAAAGCTCGTCATTAGTTATTCTTAATTTATAAATTAAAAAATATTAAAAATCTATAGTAAATATTTTTTTTTATATGTGTTTAAAAATAAAATTTTGAAAAAATTCATGAAAATCTTGAAAATTAGTAAATTATTTTGTAATTAGAAATTTGTAAATATTTTGCTTTTGTTGAAATTCGAAAATTGAATGCAAGGTCTTTTATAATTTTTACAACTTATATGTATAAAAAAATAATTATATCGGAAAGCCAAATCAATGTTTTTATGAATGAATTTAAAATGTTTATGACATTGGATATTCACCTGTAAAATAATTATTTTTCCTTCTACAATTTTTGATATTTTTATTTGTACACGAAAACAACCCAGTAGACACTCTATTCTACCATTAGACGTCTAGTCATATCACATACTAAATTTTATACAAAATTAAAATGTTTACTAAATTCAATAGATAGGTATAACGTTACGTTATAAATTATAATTAATTATAGTAATATAATTTAAATATTCAAAATTTCATAGTTTAGTTATTACTACTTCTACATACTTTTTAATTTTTTACTGTACACATATTTTAGTCCCAGATTATAAGCATATTAAAATTCAAATATTGTTAGAAAATAATATGACGAATTAAAGGAGTAAATTGGTAAATTTTTCGACTTATGAAGTTATGAAATATAAATTTAAGTGGCAAACTATAACTTTTTTTTATTTTATTGTTTAGTAAAAAGAGTGTTCTTCACGTTTGCTCTTAAATAATATAGTACGAAAAACTCATTTGCAACGATGGCCAATCTTTATAAATTATAATTAATGGCTAAAAAGAATGTCATCGTCAGAATCTTACTATGTACATCTTAATCTCATAATAAAATATTTTAATGCTATATTTAATATCTAGTAAATTTTTATAATTATTTCAATAATTTTACTTTTATATTATCTATTTATCTAATACTTAAGAACGAATTAATTTTAATCAATATTGAAGCAATTACTCTAATTTTTTAATTATTTGATAACTTCATTGTTTGTTGATGTCATAAACAATAAGCACAACATTTTCTAATACTTCTTTCATTAGCAAATTTCATACGTGAGTTAAAAACTATTATATTTTTAATATTAAAAGAAATATAAAAATTGAAAGTAGGTGTTCGCACGCTACATAGTTTTAATGTAAATATTTAAGTAATTTTAAAAATAGTTTTAAGCATTATTCACTTGAGTTTAAGGAGACATAAGAATACACGCAAATGTTTATTGTTGATATGCATAACTTTAAATATCATACTATACTTTTTAAATAGATTAATTGTATAATTATATCTTCTTTTGTTAATTTATTCGATTTGAAAGTAGATACAAAATATTCTTGTTTTGTATCTAAAAAATTTGATTTTACAAAACACAGCTTTTTATCATAAATTATTAATTGGGTGGCTTACTAGAATACCGGCTCATCGGAAAAGGATACGTAGATAAGTTTATTTAAAAAGTTTTCGATTTTTAGATATACTAATCTATCTCTAAATTTATAATTTATATTTTAAGCTTTATTCAACGAAACATCTCTTCGATTTCCGGAACTGCATACCGATGTTAATCGTTTGTTACCTGTTTTATTAATGTACAAACATGTATCAATGCCTGAACATTTGGATGAAATTACTAATCGGATCATGAAAATGTATTTTCCATCGGGAAAAATAGAGAATGACTCACATTTGGATACAGTAAAAGTATTAGATTATATATAATTTTATAAATAAATCAAATTTCCAAACATTGAAATATAATTTAAAATAATAAATTATAGTTGATTGGAGACGGCTCTTTTATTTTGTGTTCTATGGACATGAGTGTTCAATTATCTTCACCAGTTCATTTTTATTTATTTGATTATGAAAATGAGTTTTCATTCAACCAATTGTATGGCGATTGTAAAAAGTCTCTTGGAGTGAGTCACGCTGATGAATTGATTAGCTTATTTTCATTGAAGGAAATGAATCCCAAAGGATTAAGCGATAAAGACTTGGAAGTGTCAAAGCTTATGGTTAATATTTGGGTCAAGTTTGCATCATCTAAGTGAGTTTAATATTTATTTATTTGAGTTATAATTAAAAGCCATTATTAAAATAAAAATTAATTTAACAATATCTATTGTATAAGTTATTTAATAGTCATCAACTAGTATCGATTTTTGAAAATAATAATATAAGCTTTCCTTATTATTTATATTTGTGTACTTATGTAGGTAATGCTATTAAAAAAATACTCACTCTAAAAAAATTATTTGTTCTAGAATACCTACTATTGACGGAACGGACAATGGAAAAGCTTGGCCTGTATTTACTTCTGTTGAAGAATCAGCTATACTTCACATAAATTCTAACCAACCAAAAATTGTAAAAAATCCATTTGTGAAGGAGTATACATTTTGGAGTGGACTACCTTTATTATCGCGTTTAAATACATCGAAATCACCTATAAATTCAAATATAAAAGATGAATTTTAATATTATTATAATTTTTTACTATAGATTTATTTATTTTTTTTAAGTTTTAGATTTACTAAATATCAGGTGATATATTTTAATATTTAAAATTATATTATGTGGTACTACTTTAAATTACCATTGTATTTAATACTCGAACAATAATATTAAATATTGTTACAATTATTTTCTATTATTTTATAGGAATGGTTTATTTGATTAATAATTTTGGAATGTATTAGATATTATAGCTGTTTATTTTTAGCCATTTTTAAAAGGTATTTTTTGTTTTAAAAATAATAAACTAGTGTATAATTATAATAAAATCGTAATGATACACAGCAAAGACTTAAATGTGAACTATTTATATAAAAGCGAGGAGAAAGTTACTCATCATCGACATTGATTTCATTGGGTATAAATTAATACTTATTGTGTAAACTGACTTTAGTGATGTTTAGTGATAATAATGATAGTGGGCTTAAAAATTGTGTTAATTGAAGTTTCATTAGTTAATTTTTAAATTTTTAGGAATTTAAATTTTTGGTTTTCTATAATTTCATTATAAATTGGACGACTCTACGAGTGTTAGAATTTTGAATTCAATTCAATTAATAATTTAAATATGTTTTGGTGACAGATATTAAAAGATTTATTTGTTGTTTTTTTTTTTTTTTAAGAATATACGTCAGAGAAAGTTACAATTCAAATAAATCAAATATTAGTGACTATTATACTATTCTTAACCATTCTTCTTCCATGTCCTTGAGGCGGAGTGACGAATGTACTAATTTTACTATCATGTGTGTGTTATTTTTTAAGTATATGTATATTGTATATCTACACGTTAATCATAGAAAAAAGACTTTGATCTTAAACTTTGAAGGTAATTTCTGATAGTTAATTGGATTTAATTTATACTTTTGGAAGGGTAAAATTAAAAATGTTAAATACTTTTTAAAAAACAATAGAAAAAATCAAAAAATTAAGGAAAAATAGTACCTAAATTCACAATTTTTTTTTTTAAAGTTTAAATTTTGCGAAATGGAATATTCACGCGTAATAGGAATAACGATTCTTATTTGACGATTTTAATTTTCTTGTTGTTTATAAAAAAGTATTAACTGTTACTTAAATTATTATTTTCTATAGGTATTCAAAGACATTTTCAAAATATTAAGACTTAATTTTGACTCTAAGTATTTAACATTTTTTTTTAGTTTTTTTTTTTAGTGTAATTTTCTATAAGAGTATAAAAATATTTGAAATATTTAGTCATATTTTATTTTTATAATTGTTTAAAGTTTAAATTTTGACAATATTTGTCAAAATTAACGACAATTAAAAAATAAGCCTGTAGTTAAAAATGTATAAAATGTTTAATATTTAAAGCTAAGAATTAAAAATTTAATACAATTTTTCTTTTAGTCAGATATATTGTGACCAAATACTCCAAAAAATATAAGCATTTTTATAGAAAATCTAAGATAAAATTAGATTTTTAAATGCGATTGGTTTTAGTTATTTTGTTGTAATTTAAAAGTATAGTAGGATAGTTGAAACTTCTAACGTACATCATTATATTTTATTTATACCCACAATGGCATTTTAAAATGTCGGTAAAAATAAATTCAACCAACACGTACACTAATAGGTTGCCATCTAAGTGTATATAATAATACATAAACAAACGTTATAGTCCGCGTTACGAAAACTGATAGCTGTCTGCCACGTTCTAGCAGGCTGTTTGTTGTAGTGGTTAGCAAATAATGTAGTAAAGTAAAATGTTCAGGAGAGTCTAAAATGATAACACTGATAACAGTGATAAGAATAGCGTAAATATTTACGTGCCACTGTTTTGGTCCGCAATAAGTGTTCGTACAGAACAAGAACTATTTCGGGCATTTTCTGCAGTCTACACGATAAGGCGAGGTTCAGGGTACAGAGGTGGCTAACTGCCAATTTTTGCGACACGAATGACAGTGAAAAAAATATCACTATTAAATGCATAGATATTGTAGGAAGCTAGTCGTTTAAATTTTTTAAAAAAAGCAACTTATAAAATATCTACGTTGGTTTATTATTACTTACAATTGCAATATTAATATTTATAACGTTTAAGTGACAAGAGTATTTACTACCACATACAGTTTTGATTAAACTGAATTAAACTGTTATGGTATATAATTATGTTTTAATATAATTATTTTTTATTGTAGCAAATTAAATAAATGTATTAATTACATCATAATTTATGTTTTTACAGGATTAAAATTCAATTAGAAGTCGGTATTTAATATTGGGTGTAGAAATGTGCAAGTCTCGCAGACTCTTTATTTTCAGTTATCCAAACGTCTCCACTTTGACCATTTTTCATAGCGTGAAGAAATGCAGTTTTAACATAATCAGTGCTGTAATATAAATTTTCAAATATTATAAGTTTTTTTTATTATCTTCTTATTCGTATAATAAGGATATTTTATTACTAACGTAATAATGTAATCAAATGTATTACCTCTGTATTGTTATTACTCTATTTTGATTTGGAGTCTCTTCACCGTTAATTATTAATTCCTTAATTTCGTGCTCTAAAGAGTTTTTTTCATCTATGTTGTTATCAAATCCGTCGAACGTAGGACCGGGACAAATAGCCATAACTCTGACGTTATTTCCGTGTGCTTTCATATTGAACGGACACTTGAAACGCATTAAAATTTGGTTAATATTAAAAAAAAAGGAAAATTCCTAAACTTATTAGTCATAATAAATGTTAATATTGCAGTTATAAAAGTATTTAAGATATATTTACTCCAATACATTTTGTGAAATCGATAACGGCTCTTTTGGTCGATTGGTATATGGGTAAGACAGTGTTGGATAGTCCAACTATCGATGCTATATTAATTACAGCAGAGTTTCTATCCACTTTGTTTTCAATGTATTTGAGACCTAGTATGGTACCATGAACTACTGCTTTCTATAATACAATAGTATAAAATTAAATTTATCTGAAACTACTAAAGATAATAAAACAATTAGAACTATTCTATTATGTTGTGAAGTAAATGTTCCTTACGAGCGGTTGACGATTGATTTCTTTAATAATCAAATTATAGGTGACCGAGGTGATAATGGATCTTAGCAAAATATCATGTACAAATTATTAAACCATTTATATTATAATTGTATATAAACAAGTAACGCAAAGGTATAACAAAAAAAAAAAAAAAAAAAAAAATATAAACGAAATAATACTCGACAATATACCAATGTAGTCACCGCAAAATGACCTTGCCAGCAATCCTCGCACTGAACCCAAAATTATGACACGTGGCCACGTGAGGGCAACAGTGACACGGCAACTCCCGCAAACAGCGACAGAACACAAAACTGCCACGCGCGTCGTGCGAACGTGGGACAACACGCAAAATGACAAACAGGATGGTATAAAATGAGGGACAACACGAGGACCAAGATCGTGTTTTACGTTCCTAAAACCAGACTCACACACAATTAAATTCAAACAGTAGTTGTAAAAAACGCAAAACAACTAAAGGAAAAAATGGCGTCTACCACTGTCACACGCGCATTTTCGACGAAGATGACGAACTAACGACAAACCACGCAATAATCAAAAAAAAAAAAACAGCGTGTTTTTGCGGCCTGGCTGACCGAGTTGAACCACTGGCTTAGTGTGGCCAATTTATGACCGGTGTTGCTCAAACATACTTCCCCATTGGAAGTGTAGACTTTCAATCTTTACAATGGAGTCAGCTCGAAGTTGGGAAAATAAAGCAAGCAGTTGAATGATGGTGAATTACTTGAAAGATATCGGACGTATTGCAGATGACCTAGTTGGTATTGTCGGTTTACAATGTAAACTTTACATAATCTATTTTACAAGATGATACAAATATTTTACAAAGTTAACTTACATTAAAATATTTGGTTCCTTTTTTTTACAATAACAAAAAAAAAAAAAAATTATTATAGATTACAAATAAAATAACATTTACAATAGAAAAAATATCATAACGATCCCGATAACTAGATATAACTTTAATTATTTTAACTATTGTACAAGTAGCATAAGTGGTGTACTGGCTTTCAAGAGTTTGAGATTACTAAACAGTGAATAATGGTTACTCACCATTTATAATATTAAAGAAAAATAACATGTATAAAACTAGTTTAAATTACACTTAAACAATATTATACACAAAATCATGTGGAAGGATCTTCTTCGGTTGGTAAAAGAACCAACTTAATTACTGGACGGATCAATTCTCCTCCATTAGTTAAAAGTCGAACAACGCGTACTACCCCGTCAATACCAGGTAAAAGCTGTGTCACACGTCCTAACTTCCATTGTAACGGAGGGACATATTGTCTTTGATAACAAACATATCGTTGACACGCAGTCCCTTCGTAGTGCCAGAGGCCCATTTTTGTCGCACTTGCAATAGATTAAGATACTCATTTGATCATCGACGCTAAAATGACTGCACTATCTGATGTAACAATTTCCATTTAGACAGATGGGTTCTAGTGACATCGGATACGTTGCAAGTAGGTACCGTGCACAGAGGCTGGCCAATCAGAAAATGACCAGGAGTCAAGCAATCCAAATCAGACGGATCAGATGTTAACGGGGTAAAGGGTCGTGAATTTAAAACCGCTTCAACGCGAGTCAAAATAGTGATGAATTCCTCTAAAGTTGCCACGTGTGTTCCCATTGTGCGAATAAGCAAAGATTTTGCAGTTTTGACGGCAGCCTCCCAAATGCCACCAAAGTGCGGGGCGCTGGGAAGGTTGAAATGCCAGTTAAAACTGAAAGACTTAACTAACTGGGATTTGACTAATGAACGTAACTGACGAGCAGCGCCACCAAAATTAGTTCCACAACCAGAATGAACGTCTGATGACAACCCCCGCCTGGACACGAATCTATCAAGAGCAGCAAGAAAAGCTTCGGTCGACAGATCGAGTACTGGCTCTAAATAGACACATTTAATAGCCATAACACACAAAACGGCTATGTACACTTTATAATGTTTCGATTTGCGAAGACTGACGTCTTTAATCGTTAATGGACCCGCATAGTCGATACCTACTTTCGCAAATGCACGGCATAGCTGAACTCGACACGGCTACAGATCAGCCATAACCGGAGTTGGATTTCGAGCTGAAAACCGAATGCAAATAACACACCTAATAATAACATGCTTAATCAATCAACGCGCTGCAGCGATCCAAAATTTCCGGGACACTACCATAGTGATAACCCTTGGGTCAGCGTGATAGAAAACTTTATGCCAGCGGCGTACAAGCAACAGTGACAAATGAGAACGGTGAGACAAAAGTATCGGATGTTTTTGGTGATCTGGGATAACAGCGTGTGATGACCGCCCTCTGACACGTATAAGACTCTGTTCGTTAATAAAGGGACTCAAATGTACCCATGCTTTTGAAATGTTAGTCGATGCATTGAATTCACGACACAACTGAGATAAATAAACACATTGCGACACCTTCGTAAGAACCAGTTAAGAGTCGTTTAGTTCAGACTAAGTGAGATAATGACTAGTATGAGTGACACGACGCCAACACAAATCAATAAATCGGTGTATCCATGAGACAACCGCCAACAATTTATCAAAAAACGAGAATTTATGAAACCATTCAGGCTCAGAAATCGACGTTCCAATCACAAGAGAGATTGTTTTGACTTCAGGTATATCGTCTAAATCAAGAGGCTGAAAATTGGACACCCAAGTGGATGGCGGTTGCGACAATATGTTAGGACCATTACAGTACAATTTTAAATTGATTAACGCCGACGGAGAAACACCTCAAGAGGCACAATCAGCGGGATTATCCTCAGTGCTAATATAAAACCAATTACAAAGAGGGATAAGTTGACAAATTTGATTGATGCGATTTGAAACGAAAACTTTAAATTCAAGATGGGCATTAACTATCCATGCCAAAGCCACAGATGAATCAGACCAAGCAAACATACCCTCAACGTTTAATTTGGAACTAAGAACACAGTTAGGTTTAAAATACCAAAAATTAATTTTTTTAGAATTTTTTTTTTTGAAAATGTTGGTATTCATATGCTTCACATTTTGGTGAAATCGAAATTCAATTATCGTACTTACTTTTTACGTTATTATAAATAAACCACAAAAAATTAATTATTAAGTCATTTACATATTAAAGTAACTCAAAATTGAGTTTTGGATTTTTTTTTTCATTTGGTATGTAATGACATAAAAAAGTTTTTGGTGAAATCAGAACGGACTAATATTTCTTGGTTTGGAAGAAATAGGTTAAAATAATAAGCAATACAAAATAAAAATATACAGATATAGATATGTAGATATTCTATTCATAAACATTTTATAATAATATTGTTACATGATTATTAAATTCATCTTCTAAATAACTAACTAATTAATATTTTATTTGATACAAAATGAAATATTTGCATTTATTTGGGTCAGTGTATGATTTGCACTTGTATAATATTTTGGTAAAATGCAGAGGTACAACCGAAATTCATTTTTTAAAATCATATTACCCACTAGAGGTGGTGTTGCATAGCAAATTGGGGGAAGATAATAAAGTGTGATATGATAATTATTAGATAAAAGTGATAAACATTGTAGAAATTGAACAATTTAATTACAGCATGGAGCACCGATACCTAACTGATAAGTAATTACCTAGGTATGTTTACGATTAGTAGATAAAAAAGTTATGGTTGTAATTCATAGCTAGTTGAGAACTTGCATCGATTTTAATTTTGAATAGTTTTGTACATTAATAATTTGAAAAATATGCCTCTCGATTTTATTTATATTTATGAGCTATTTAAGCGAAAACGCCAAGGGGCTGTTTCTTTAGCAATGATTGAAAAACTGTAGTCTTAAATATTAATTGCCAAAAATAACTCATTAAAATGCGTTTATGGACATTCTTTTAAATTATGTTTGACAGCAAATTGCATTGACGGATACGTATAGAAATGTCGAGATTATTCCAAGAATTCACATCGAGAAAAAGTAAATTTTAAAACATTAAATATTTTGTTATTTATAATAATAATTTGACGTTATAATCTTTGTATTAATTTCACAGCTCTTCTCTCATGAGAAGGGGTTATTACTATTTTGGCTTCAGAAATAAAAAAAATATTAGTGTTAGATAAACTGTATTTTTCCAAAGGTAAAATGTAATGTTTATGTATTCACAAGAAAAGATACATTTTTCTATAAGTTGCATTTATCTCTGTAACGATTATGAGTTTTACGTATTAATGACTAAAAGCGTATAATTATTGTCCTTTTTTGGAGAATTAGTGATTGCTCAACATACCATCGTGGGCTGGGTATATTTTCACCGTGAAGTTGTTTTTGATGGGATGATAATACATCATGAAAAAATTAGTAGTTATTATTTTTAAAATGTTATAATATGTTATATTTGAATAATATTTTAATATAACGAATAGGAGTAGGTAAAACAGTTGAAATTGATGGATCAAAATTCGGAAATCGCAAATACTGTGTATTTGATGCAGTTGGTGGTCAATATTAAGCGATGTATAGAGAGATAACGGAGCATGTTTCTTAATTTTTGTTGAAAAGCGAGATAAGGAAATATTGCAAGCTATAATCAAAGAATGGGTGTTGCACATTAACACCGTTGAAGGCATGTGGAGACATGCCAAAACTTCACTATTTCAATATTCACGAAAAAACATTTCTATGACGGATACATAGCAAAATTTATATTTTTAAAATAATGCCGTATAATCTAGGCCCTGACGTGGAATTTTTTCGTTTAGCTGGTAAGTTATACGAACCACAAAAATACGACAATGATGGGCTCGGTGTATCTGATGACGAGAATATTGATTCAATATAATATACATTACCTATATCTAAAAAAAAATTCTAAAAAATCATTTGGGAGCTAATCTGTATTTGTTCCTAAAAGTATAATATGATTAATCGAACTAAACTAAAAAAATCTAATGGAAATATAAAAATATTGCTAATCTTAATTTAGGTATCAATATATATCTGTGTTTGTCTACTTACGTAATTTAAATCGATGGCTAGCTCCCACGAAGTAATATACTTGGTCATGATACCGGCATTATTAACAACTATGTTTATTTTCCCAAATTTTTCAATAGTCTTTTTAAAAGAGTCTATAAATATATACGTAAAAAAATTATTAAATGTTCTGGATTCTATATAAATTGTAATTTTTTATGTTTACATAACATAAACTGTCAATAAGAATATTTACCTTCGAATTCGATTTTATTGGTAACATCACACTTGACAAATAATAATCTACTTGAAGACGATTTGTATTTGATTTCTAATTCTCTGATCGCTTTGTTTCCTGTTTCTTCGTTAATATCTATTAGTGATACCTTGATAAAAATAAATAGTAAGAAATATTTCGTATACAAAGTTAATTGGACACAAAAATTGATCAAAATTTTATTTTTAAGGACATCGTGATTGTTAGATGCTTGTCTAACGGTTGACCGCCAACCGCTACTCACAAACTTGCACTGCGTATTTCAACGTTTTCCTCTAGTGTTTTGATTCGTTATTGTAGTGTAACGATTGCCGTCTATCGACATCGTACATTATTCCTTAAGTAGGGCACACGTTGTTAAAATGCTGAGTGTGAAGAATGGCAAGCGGGGCCGACTGATGACCTAAGGCTTTTAGGCAGCAGTCTAGGGTATATAACGATTACCAATACGTATAGTGAAAGAGAGTGTGCGACACGGAGCAGAGGCAGACGATACAGAAGACTCCTTAACGATCCGTGCGGCCATCCTCAATCTACACTCACGGCTTGTCAAATCTACCCGGATCTGTAACCTTTATTCTATATATATAATTACAAATTATCTGTTAAAATATACATTACATTTATAACAACTGTGCTTTACTTGAATAAGGTAACCCTGATCTCTAGTTTATTAATATTACACACCGAGTTCGAGTCCCCGAGACCTCGTTAATCAAAACATAATTTTATCGGTATGGCGACGCAAGACCGCTTGCGCCAGGTGAATAGGGGACGTTACATATTTGTCTATCTGACATATTATTATCAATCTAACTTTCCTTTGCCCAAAGATTTGTGAAACTCGCTTAGTGTTAATTGAACTTGTACGTAATACGCTTACATAATATGTTTTTGTGTAAACTATATTATTTTCGATAATATGTATTAGGGATGGGCAACTTAAAGTTACTTGGGGGTCAATTTTTAGAATTTTAAAACTAAGTAGGCTGGAGAGTATAGAAAGCAAAAATAAAAGGCTGATAAAATTTAAAATTAACATTAATTACTTTTTATACTTATTTATTTATGTTTACAACATGTTTTAATGTTAAAAAAAACTTAATAAATTAAATTCAGATAAATACTAAAATTGTATTGTTATTAGAAAATATAGCACATACCAGATAAAAAGGCACATGACCGTATATGCGGCCGCGGTTCGCCAGTTGCCTATTCTTAATATATATATTATAAACAGAGTATTTAGTGGTGTTTTAATAATGAATTTATTCAAATTCTGACGTACCTAATTTAATATTCGATTATTCGAACGAGTAGTTTCTCAATCATTAAATTAATAAATTATTGCATATAAACAGGATTATAGTCTTTAAAAATGGTTTTACAAAAATATAAGTTATATCAGTTATATGTAATATTATATCTATTATTTAACTATTACGCATGAGCTATTTTAATATATTTTATAATAGTTAATACTTCAATATTAATTATTAAATTTTCCAAATCATCATAGTCCCCATATCTTTCAATCCCATCATCATGGATCTTTTATTTTTAGTATACACATCTTAATAACTCAAAAACTATACTCGTTTAAATTTTGTTTTTGATATGTTAATATTTTCAGAAAAGTTATCCACTAAATAATTTTTCCTGGCCAACAAACTAACTCTGACATAGGTCTTATCGTTAGATGGGATATCATCTTATTATTCTATGAGTTCAAAGTCAAAAAATTGATGCTATTTACTTCCGAAAGAATAATTTTATAACCAATAAATTTCACATTTGTATCAAATAATTTGTATAAAAATACAAATAGTATACTATTCTCGTTACACACGTTTCAATTATGAATGGATTCGATATTAATAAAATTTTCAACTAAAAATTATTTCAGTTTTTAAAAGAAGAGGGTAAAAATGTTATCCACCCCAAAAAGGTAACTTAAGAAATTTTTTTTTACACAACATTTAAATCAAATTTTAATAAACACATCTGCACGTTTATACATTCAAATTTAAGAAGGAGAAGAGTAACTACTTTGCTGTACAGTTGTTTGTGAGTACTTTGTCATCGAGTAGGTGATTATAGACTGTTGTTTCTATGTCTACTATGTCACTAACAAAATAAAGCGATAACAGATTATCGTTGTGGATGTGGGTTAAAATGGATGTGTTTATTTGGAATTTAATGATAAATCATTGCATACAAAAAATAATTCTGAGTGGAGAGTGTCGTTAGCCTATTATATAAATTATTATTTTACTATAAGTATAATTAAGTAATACGATAAAAATTACAAATAGGTAATGGCAAAAAAATAAATAAATAATAATAATCAAAATGTTTTGAAAATGCCATTGTGTATATAAAATATAATATCATACGTAAAAGTATTAAATTCCTACCAATATTTTTAAATTACTAAATAACTAAAATCATTATTCTTTGTTTAAATATCAAATTTTGTTCAAATTTGAGCTTTAAGTGTTTATGTATAAAAAAAAAAACAAGTTTTCATATTTTTAATTCCAGTATGCACAACTTATGAGGAATCTGTACTTATTAAATGTTCAAGCCTCATAGGTTATAATAATAGCCATAAAAATTGAAAAATACATTTTTAATTTAAGAATAATCTATACCTAGATTATAATTTTGCTAAATTTAATTGTTCATGAAAAAATATTGTGCCTATGAGTTTAAAATATTTTTTAATTGCTAAAATTTCAAATTATACGGTATCTAATACTGAATTTTTAATCTAAAATTTGAGCTTACAAACTCAATTTTTACCATTTAAAAAAAAAAAAAACTTAAAGGATTATTTTAAATGCTATAAATAACTTAAATTATTTTTAAATATTTTGAAAAAATTTTCTAAGTACCTATAGAAAATAATAATTTTGATGAGAACGATACGTCTTATGATTTTAAGATAAATAATTTTTTAATTACTTTAAATAAACTAAATTTGTTTGATAAAAAACCGTTATTTTACTCGTAAATATTCAATTTTATTAAAATTTAACCTTTATTAACACTAATGAAAAATGTATGTGTCTTTAATTCTTTATGCTAAACTTTTTTTAACTCCAGTATAAAAAATTTATAAGAATACTAGTATCAATTTTCAAGCTTTTTAACCGAGTTTAAACGTTTAGAGAAAAAGTAATTTGAAACTTAAAGTTATTAATTAATAAATTAAAAAATATCATAGAAAATTATATTGTAATAACACATGATGTGTGAGCATATCATTAAAATATCATAATTAGATAATATTAATATATTCAATGAACATTTCTAGTATCTACAGTTATTTGTTTTTAAATTATAACAAAATTACAAAATGTTTTTATCGTTAAGTTCAGAATCAAACAAATAGGATTATTGTTATTATGCATTAGTTGGCACCGGTCCAATGTGTGACCTACACATACATTTTCGGTCCAGTGTGCGATCTACATATACGTATTGACCTATACTGCATTTTTAATAGTTATTAATTCATTATAGTTATTAATTAATATTATTTTATTCTTTAAATTTATTCATATTAATAGTTATTATAGTTATTAATTCATTTATAATTAATTATCCTTCTTGTCTGATAAGAATTCATCGTAATTTTATGTATAATTATTATTTCATAAAAGCATCTTTCGTGCCTAATAAAAATTCGTCAAATATAGTTTGCTTGTTTGGGTGATATAGGTATCCTAATGTAGCACTCATAATAAAAAAAACAAATTTATTAAAATCACTGTAACGCCATATTTAAAATAACGTAATTCAACAAAGACAGTGAGACCGTAACTGAATGTCGAACGGCTTATAATTATTACGTTTGTATCTCTATTCTCTTCACAAAAATAAATATATTTCTCCATGTCATATAGGAAAAAACACACATTGGCTGTAGGTCGCACGTTGACCCGGCAAAGATAAGGACAGGTCAATAATTATCAGTTGTAGGTTGCACATTGGACCAGTGCCCATTAGTTTATTACTTACAAAAGCACCGTTTTTTAGCAGCTCGTCGACGATCGCGAGACCCATTCTTTGACCGCCTCCCGTTACCAGTGCTACAGATCCGGCTAATTCTCCGTTTGGATTTTGCGTGTTCATCGTAGTACAGTTAAGTTCACCACACATGAAGCTTTTTTTGCTGCTGGTTTCCATATGGGGGAGCTGTGATGGCAACATATTTGGTTTTAATAGTCGTAAATTACGTCACTGCTGGCTCCGTTGTGTAAACATGCGCTGGATTTTGACATAGTTTACGCTCATAGTTTACGTACTTGATAGTTTGGTTAATTTGTTCATCAACCTATTAAAAGTATAACCTTAATACGTGGCCCATAGCTGTGATAAAAATTAATACTGATTACTGATGAGTTATCGGCAATGAGTGATAAAATCTATAAGTATTAAGTCCAGTCTGAGAACGCATAGCGTATGATGCCAACATCGCAAAGTAGCCATCAGACATCTAATGCAGCAGCTTACTTGGAGCCAATAGCAGCAAAAAAAAAAAAAGGTCGTGTGAGGCAAGCTTAAGTGTCAAAATGTCAAATAATATAGAATTATACAAAAATATTACACAAACTTTGATTTCATAAACTCAAAAGTCAAAAAAAGCAATTTTAGTTATCAACTGTTAAGTATAATATTAAAAAAATAAACTTATTTTAAATAATTTATGATAAATAATATTATACATACTATACTTTTATTTATATATTTTTTTTCATCTGAGTTCTCTAAAAATCTAAGTGATTTATTGCTTTTACTTTAATTCTGAATGTTTATAAAGTGCGTTTCGTCCCTTCACTATCTAAATGGTTGTAATAGTTACGGTTTTTGGACTGTAACATCATTATTATTACATTTTTATCGATGATCATATCAATTTTAGTTAATTTAAAAAAAAAAAATCTAAATCGTTATTACAATATTGACCTATGGTTTAAAAGTGTGTTAGTCATTACCATTATTTATTCTGATCTCTGTTACAACTACAAATCATTTTTGTTAAGAGGATGCTTGAACGGACGCATACTAGTTGCGGACGAAATTATTCAGGTCAATATTGTAACATAACAATTGCGGACACGTTTTTCGTTATCATAATACTAGTTGCGTACAAAGTTTTTTTTAAATAAAAATCACGTAAGTTGCGGACACAAATATTTCCCTTCACCACTTTTTCATTTTTATAGTTTTTGTGGCAAAAATTTTTTTGAAACAGCATGTATAAATGATAATCTACTGATTTCACCATTTGAATATTGCAACATTTGTTTACTAATAATATCCTCTTTATCGACAGTTCTTTTGGCTCGTTTTAAATTTCTTACAGCAGTATAGTTCATTTTAGTATAGCTACCAGTCTGTACTTCATTTATGGCCTCGATCAATTGATATATATTAGGGTGACTGCGATAAAACATACCATTAAGTTTAGCATGGAAACTTTCACAAGCATTTGTGGTTCGTGAAATAGATGAAGAAAATTCTGCCCATATTTCTGGAGGAAATATTGCAGAATCTGTATTTATATAGTTCAAAAAAACATAATCTGTAAAATCGTGTATAGCAGTACAGCCAGCCGGCAGCGTAGACATAAAGTCATCTGTAAAGCAGTCATCCACTTCGTTAGGTGACAAAAACGGTAGACCAAAAAATGATTTTAAAAAGTTCCCATTTTCGCCCTCAGTATTATATACTTTAGCTAGACCTAATAACTGTATTTTTCGGTACCAAGCTTGTCCGAGATGGAACCGATATACTTTTATTTTGCTCATTGGCCATACTAGACGAACAGCTGAGTGAATAGATTGTTCAAAATCAATATGAAAAGTAGTTGGTAGGATTGGTGAACGTTTTTTTAAAAATTCTAGTGCTGTACAATAATCAGTAACTGATTTGCCCACCAACAAACAAAAAAATAATGGTACGTAAATACTATTTTTTACGCCATGGACCACGAATAATTGATTGTACGCAATTAGTATGTTATATTTGTGTCCGCAATTCGTATGTTACCTTTTTAGATTTCGTCCGCAACTCGCATGGTTTTTGTGACTTTGTCCGCAACTAGGAAACACCGGCTTGAACTATTATAATAAATATTACTCTATACCAGGTAACATTTATTTCTTTAATTTCATTTAAACATTTTAATAACAAAAAGTTACATCATTAATCTTAACATCTCGATAACTCAGAAGTTCAATAACTCAATGTCTCAATAACTCATTTTAATTTTACATGCAATCATTTAATAAATTATTCAAATAAAATGCATTTAATTTAAAAATTAACTACGTTCTGCTTATTAAAAAATTATCCGTTTTCTATGTTCCTCTCTGTATAAGGTTAGTTCTATAGTTTTTATTAGTCAGCGAAATGTTTAATTTTTGTTTTATGTTTAAGGTATGGTTTTCATATCCCTATATACAGTTTAATAGTCGTCGAAAACTTTAATCCTGGTCAAGAAGCATTTATCTGTCATTATCCTATATATAATTTTAAACTAGAGTCGTTTGTACTTGCTATTATTACTCTAAATTCAGCTAAAAGTTGTTTGTAATATGTTATATGTAAGTTACATTATAATATTTAAAATATTACATATTTATGAAAAAGGTTCAGTGTTATTATTAGGGCGTAAAATTGAATGTACAATTATTTTTTTCTTCTATGCTTGCGCATTGTTTTGTTTACCAAAAATGTATTCCAGGAAGTGCAGTATTTTTATCCGTATTTCAGTATTTGATTCATATTTTGTTATTTTATAAATCAAAAATATTTCATATTTAATTTAAGATGCGAAACTGTTAGTGTATGAGATAATAATATTATGAATTTGCTTTTGTAATAAAACTAAAACAATCATATTTTTCGTAGAAATAAAATAACTTGGTATAATAAATGTCTAAAAATAAATGCTTTATTGAAAAAAAAAAAACTATAAAAAGTCATTACAATATAAGTAGTAATATTCGTATTATTTATTTATTGTTTAATTGTAAGTTTCGAGATGATTCTGTTCGTTGAACGTTGGTAATTTTCCATTTTATTATGTATCTAGCTGAAATTGAGCTTATTCTTGCATTTTATTTTTTTTTCAATTTTTTTAGAACGTTTATAAGTTTTTAATTATTACTAGAGAAATTATCTATTTTCTATGGGCTATTATTTGTATAAAGTTAGGTTTCTAACATTTATTTTTAGGGTATGCAATTTTGCGCTTTAGTTATTGAAATGCAATAGTAAATTTTGGTAAACGCATATCTCTATGACGTGTTTTTATTTTCTGTTGATGCAGCTCTGAACAATAGAACGGAAATAAACACTGAGTTAAGACGTTTTCTTGTACTGTTAGTTATGCTATTTTATAACCAGTATACAAGACAAGATGATTTGGATGAAATTAGAAATACAGTATTCAAAGAATATTTTCTATCCGAAAGATTGGATAACAATATTCATTTAAATGCGGTTTAACGCAAAAGACTCAATACACCTAAAATACGCCTATACAATGCTTGAATAATTTACTTTCATTCTTATATAATATATTGTGTATATACATTATTTATAATTTCAGATAGTATTTGAAGGATGTTTTATTCTTTGCAAAGTAGATATTGCAAAAAAATTATCGTTGCCAGTCTACGATCACAAAAAAGTTAGGAATCATCCTAGATTATGAACTAAATAGTCTGTATAAAATAGTAATTAAAATCCAAATAGTAACTTAAATTTGGACTATCTTAATGTTTCTAAATTAATAGTTAATATTTAGAATAAATTCACGGCTTTTGAATAAGTAAATATGTACTCTTGAATTCTATATGATTATTATTATTAGATGCTTAGGTATGAAATTAACTTTAGATATTATACATTTAGTTTAAATCATCGACAGATAGTTTTTTGGACTATATGATTATAGTGTGTTCAAAAAAATTCTGATTGAATAATAATTATGTTTTAACTTTTAACGTATTTTAGTATTTTACTAGTTTAACTACTGTAGAAAGAAATAACATATATTATGTTTTTCAAAGATATAAGTTAACTCTTTGTTGGAATTTTACTTATCCTACAAATATATATTTTGTAAATATAATAAAGCAATACATTTTTTTGATGAAACAGCTGTTGGACCTACCAAAAATAACCTTTAATGGACAATTTAATACTTTACGCGGCTAAAATTTATACAAAATACATTCTATGAGAAATATAAACTTTAGAACCAACCATCTTACAGTTTCAATTTAAATCAAACTATACCACAAATATCACTTAACATAAAAACAGAACTATAATTTTTCCATGGTAAATATTGTAAATTTAAAAAATTGATTACGTACTAATAATTAAAATATAGAATATTCATTATCTATATATCTAGAACAATATGCGTAAATTATTATGTTAAAAATATAATTAGTATTGGAAATTGATATTCTATCTATAAAAATAATTAAGTCGTATTTAATTCTTATTATATTTTATAAGCAACACAAGTGTTTTTTTTTTTGTACTATTTTACATTTATTTTAAGTTTTTATACATATTTAGTATAGATTTCCTCATATTTTTTTTTATAGCTTACGTATTAAAAAGCTAAAAATTTGGAGTACTTATTTAATAGTGTGATCTGAGTTAACATTTGTCGACTCCATAATATTTCATAATTTGAACGTAAAATTCATAAATTTAATGTTAATTTATCTTTTTTTATGTTATAGCTTATCAGATTTTAATCCTCTCATAGCAAAAACAGTTTTTTTTTTTAAATAATAAATTTCGATCAAGTAATAGTATAGTCTTACTAATATATTATATTTTAGTTTAGTGTTGAAGTGATGCAGACTTATTTAATAGGTAATTAATTTAAGCGTTATTATAACAAATAAAATCTTATATAATTTGATGTATGTAACAATAAACAAATTATTAATATCCTAAAAGTGAAATTAAAAAATCTAACTTGGTATATTCATTATTTATTACAAAGATTTGAAAATAATGACAATATATTTCATAAATTGCTGTGGAAATCGCTGATTATAAATAATTATTACTATATAACCATTGATTACGATTATGAGAAATTACTGAACACGATTACGGTTAAGGAGTTATTAAAAGAAATAAACTTTTTTTTCTCATCTGGTAGAGTGACGTTTTGATAATTGTTGGAGTTCTATTGTAATCAATTTTTTATGAAATACCCAAGTTGTGTAAAATATATATTTTAAATAGGCATTTTTCAACATAGATATGTTTTTGGAATGTATAAACTTTTTTTTCTGACCGATTTTGTGTTACGTTATTAATTATTTTAACTCTTTATAATAACCATTGTTTCTATAATATTATTCTAATACGTTTAGCATTAAAATTCCTACTAAACTTGGTTCAACATATCAAATGTATCTATGGTTCCTCAATTTTTACTGATGAGTAAAAATATTAAAGAACATGCTACATTATATTTTTCGAAAACATTATATTTTTTTTTGTCTTATAATTTGAATTCTATGACCCATAAAAAATATTCTAACGGTAACTTATTTTTATAGTGTAAATTATTTTACTATTATTTAAATGAATATGGGTTTGTCTGCCTTGGTCATAAGATTGTTATTCATAATAATTAGAAACATATGTAAGTATTTAAACTTTTAAGAACCATAAATAAATTATTATGTGTGAAAATAAAGTTCAAATAGGTAAATACTTAAATGTATATTTGATATTTCATTTAGTACATTATAGTGAATAGCGATACACTTAAAATATCGTTAATATCAAACATTCATCTGTCTGACAAATTATGTGATAATTTTGATAATTTATGGTTTTGAGGCATTATTTTAGTGTTGACTTGTACGGAAATCTAGTTTATTATTGCTGCAGAAACTATATGTTATTAAATTAATGTTACTATATACTTGTAGTAAAGTTTATATATTTTATTGTTTATTATATGCACATATAATAAATTAATAAGTGATGTCAGTGAAATACTATGCCTCAACCAATATTATATTAATTACGTTAAAAAAAATAAATTAATGGTATCTGGTTCATTGAAGTCTGTATCTTATTTTAGAATATACCTTAAGTTACGTAGTATTTTATTAATTTAAATAATTTTAAATATTACTGTGCATATTTAAAATTTATATTTTTAATATTATTAGATTAACTTTTATAATTTTATTAGATAACATAATATAGGTATACTTTATATAAATTTAAATGATTTTACATAATAATTTTATACATATATTTTAAATGTTTAATTTTGACATTTTTTGAAATATTATTGATAAAATTGTTAAAAATAATATTAATACGTTTTCATTTTTTTTTTAAATACTTATATTTACATATACGTTTTCTACGATTTGTATTTTTAAATACATTTTTACTTAAAATAATAATAACAATAATGATTTGAAAAACAAATTTTCAATTTTTAGAATAATTAATGTACCTACCTAACTTGGACGTCGCCCGATTGCGACCCAAAGTATACTTTTTACCTTTTTGCCTATCCCGATTGCGGCCTGTCCATAGATGGTAGGAAATACTATTTAAGTGGTTTAATATTTGACTAGATACCTATTTATTGACAAATTAATTGTACTTCATATCTATTTTTATTGTAAACAATTCATTTTATTATATCCATTGAGAAAGAATTATATTATAGTATACTTGCCATGTGTTTAAATATTATTTTTATTTATAATTATTTTATAATAATTTAGGTATATCGACGTACTTCATAATATTATAATAAAAGTTTGAATTTCAAACACAAATACGTCCAATAAACATTTATACAGTATTTAAAATATTGACTTTATTTTATTAGTTATAAGGTATTTTGTGAACCAATGCGTCTATGGACGCAATCAGGATACTTATATTTGGGATAAAATACGACTACCTGTATTCGGGCCGCAATCGGGCAACTCTGCCTAACTTGTAACTTTAAATAAGATTCATTGTTTTAGAGTAGCATATACTTATATTCGCATTGATTATTAATTTATTAAATAATTTTCTCAATCTTGAATATAAATATATATATATATATATATAAATTATCTATTATAATATTATGTACTTTGTATACTTCATTTATCATAAATTTATCATTTTTTGATTTAATTTGATAATATTGTGTTTATTCTATTGAACCAATGTTGTTTAAATGTATTATAATCACAATATTATATATATATATATATATATAATATATATACAGAGTGTCCCAAATTTCACATGACAGCAGATTTTAGCATGATATATTTAAATTAGAAAAAAATGACCTATGTAAAAACCTCTTTGAATCATATAACCTAAACTAATTTAAAATTAATTATTTTTTTTATTAATTAAAAAGGGGGATTTTAGGGGTAACTTTTAAAATTCAAATAGGAACCTATATTTTTGAAATACAATTCATATAGTATTTATTTTTTAATGAATTTTGACGAATCATTCATAATTATGCGTTAATAATTAGAGAAGTTATTTACATTTGAATTTTGTATTTAAATTATAAAATGGCATAAATGAATAATAATAATCATATACGTTTGTGCTTCCGTTATACGCCGATGCATTGTTGTACAACCTTAATAATCTGTACGCTATTTAACTATCAATTTATTATAGTAATAAAATATTAAAATGTGTGTTTGGTATCTATTAATTTGATTTTATATTACATATAGGTCAAATCATATATTGTACTTATAATTATAATCAATGCTATTATTGGACCGTTATTTACCTTTTCAATAATATTGTACATAACATTTATTATTTATAATATAAAATTATAAACAAATATCATACAATTGATAAATAATAGATAATTGTACCAAATTGTTATATAAATTATTTTATACAGCATATAATTATTTAAAATTTATAAAAATAGGTTACCTAGCCGTATTTTTTGACTAACGAAGGTACCTACCTAAATATATTTTTTAGTTTAAATAATAAGTAATAATACATCTATTTTCATATTATATTGTTTGAATCAATTTAATATTAGATACATACCATTTCTAAACACTGCAAAATGACAACATTGATTTTAAAAACTTGTATGATTAAACTTTGTGTTCAACATGAATAATGCTAAATGAATAATGATGCATATAAAATCAAACAGATTTTGAAAAAACATTACCTTTTCACAACATAAAGATATAGTCAATCCAATATTAAATTATAACTATTAGGACTTATATGTTGTTACATTAATTGAAAGTTATTGAAGACTAAAGGTTATAAGTTAGATTTAGAAATTTCAAAGCTTTAAACACAGATAAATAAAAATAAAAATATGAGCATATTCATATGTACATACACTTCATACACTAGAACAAAATAACTGTAATTGAATTTATTTAAAAATGTTTTTATTATTAATTGTAATATAAATTTTTCCTTTTTTGAATAATTCTACTTATTGCTTCAATATCAATGTCATTGAGTAAAAAACACTGGATAGGTAAATAGGAGGAATTAACATTTGTAGCATGTAGCATAAAAAAAATCATATATAAAAGTCACACAGTTGTCATCATAGACGTAAATAGGGGGGGGGGGGGGGAGGCTTGGATAGGCTTAGTCCACTCTTCAGCCACTCAAACCCACCTAAAATGAAATATGATTTAAAAATTTGAAAACAAGCAAGTTATTCAAACAATACGTTTTTCTTTAATTATATCACAATAGAAAACAATCATGGGTGACACACTGACACGAAAAAAAAAAATTGATAATAAAAAAATATCGAATATTGTGATAATGGTGTGGAACAAGTTATTGATGCAGGTTATGGGGTAGTAATTGATAGTAGGTGTAATACAACTATTATCAGTGATTAAAGTAAAATTATTTTATAAATAGAAATATGCCAGTATTTTCCTTGTTCTAAAGCAGTGATCTCAAACTCAAATTACCTACGGGCCATATATTTTTTCAAAAAAAATTCGCGGGCCAAATTTTAAGTGTCACTTTTATACTTATACACTAGAAACTAAAGACAAAATGAAGGCAAAAATACATACAAAATCCATTTATTTACTTTTTATTACTACAAAATTATCATTGAAAAAATATAATGATCGTTAACTTAAAAAAAAATTATAATTGAAATTTAAAAATAGCTTGAATATTTGATAATTTTTATTTTTGAGCTGCACTATTTTCATATTTTTGTTCAAAATGTATTTTTATTGCGGGCCACTTGTGGCCCGCGGGCCGTATGTTTGAGACCACTGTTCTAAAAAATATAAATTATAAAGTTATCACGATGATTTTTGTAGCTTACCTACATATGTCATATGTGTTCTTTTTTTCATTTGCTCTATTTAAAGTGTTTATGGTTAAGTGTTTAAAGTCATTATGTTTAGCATATTTAATTGTTATAAAAAAACAATCTGCCAAAAAAAAAAAAAAAAAAATACAATTATAATAAAAATTTACTATTTTATAATAAATATACTTTACTAATAGATATTTTAAATTTTATTTCTTTATTGAACATTTTGATATTCATAATTTTAATATATTTTCTTGTTTATTAAAAATGAGGGTGGCAGTGTTATAACCCCTTCCCAGTGTTAACACATCAAGTATGGGCTTAAGCCCACTCAATTTAATGGGTCTAGTTACGTCTATGGTTGTCATTTACTCAACATTGGTGAAATACATTACATAATATGTACTTACAGGAATTTTAATTTTTAAACTACATTTATATGACATTTTTTTCCTTTAATAAGTAAAAATCACGATTCATGGACGAATCCCCGTAATACATTTCCCCGTTAGACATTTCCCCGTTACGCTTTCCCCGTCCAGCGATTTTCCCCGTTAGACATTTCTTCGTCAAAAGAAGGATATACAGGGTGATTTTTTTATCAAACAACACTCATTATTTCCAAAAGTATTCATTTTTTTGAAAATATTTTTTTACATAGTTTCAAATTGTTAATATATTAAAATCAATCAATTAATAGCAGGGCAAGAACAGGTAGCTAAAAAGAAAAAATATACGAAGACAACCACACGGATTAAAAAAATTGTAAATTCTTACCATGAACGTAATTTAAATGAATATTTAATTGGAATTGCTCATAATTTACAAATATAAGGTATTAATTTTTATTATAATTATTGCTCAAAATTTTTATTATTATTTATATATTTATTATTATTATTATTATTATTAAATAAAATTTTACAAATTATTTTATGTGTCTGTAATAGTGTAATAACGTATACCAGTAGCATTAATTTTTATTATAATTATTGCTCAAAATTTTTATTATTATTTATATATTTATTATTATTATTATTAAATAACATTTTACAAATTATTTTATGTATCTGTAATAATGTAATAACGTATACCAGTAGCATTCATTTTTATTATAATTATTGCTCAAAATTTTTATTATTATTTATATATTTTTTATTATTATTATTAAATAACATTTTACAAATTATTTTATGTGTCTATAATAACGTATACCAATAGCATTATTTTTTATTATAATTATTTCTCAAAATTTTTATTATTATTAATATTATTATTTATATACTTTTATTATTATTATTAATTAACAACATTTTACAAATTACGGGGACGGGGAAATGTCGCACGGGAAAAATATTTTACGGGGAAGTGTTTACGGGGAAATGTTCGACGGTGAAATGGGGACGGGGAAATGACCCGTTACCAAAATCACATGATATGCAAAATACATATCTAGATGCATACATAAATACTTATAAAATGTATAGTTTTATATTATTATAGTCAATATTATAATGAGTTTTTAATTTAATTATAACAGCATCTAAGTCCCAATCATGACATCAAACATAATGAGTAAGTATTTTTACTAAATTTAAAAGCAAATATAATTAATAATACATACACATATGTATAATTTAATTTGAAGATATTTGAAATATTATGTACAATTTTTTTATGTAAGGCTCAATATTTACTAATATAAAAACAAATTATTGTTATCATTTAGTAAATTTTAATATATTAATATAAGCAAGCCATCGAGATAATTATGTATGGTAAACTAATGTAAACTCCCCTAGATGGCGCAGCGTATGTGCTTGACAGAAGAAGAGATGTAGTTGATAGTAGTTGTTGTCGCGCGTTGAGAAGCGAGTGGTGACATGTGCTGTGTTGCGAGGTTGATCTGACGTTATTCAATTGGTGTGAAGTTATTTTAATAAAAATCGTATTTCTAAGTGTTAATTTCGTCTTATGTTATTTCTCCTCGTAGGGAAAGTTAACACTAAGTTTAAAAGCAAATTCATTATTTTTAAAAGACTATCATTTTTAAAACTTATAATTTAATTTTAATGAATGTGAAGATACTTGAAATATGTACAATTTTGATACTAAAACAAATTATTGTTGTCATTTAATACATTTATTATAAAATAAACTACTCATCGTGATATGTATGGTAAACTAAATTACTATTTATCTATATTAATCTATTAAAAATTACAACTATATTTAAATACCTTCATATGATCAAATTAGTTAAAAATACCTAGTTACTTTTGTGAAAATAATCTTATAAACTATAACAGCAAATATTTAAAAAGTTATTTCAATATGGGTACCTACTAATTGTTTACAACACTTAATATTTAAATGTATTAGCCACAAGTAATATTACTGTATGAATATTTACATTAAATATGATTGACCAATTTAACTTACAGAATTTTGGTTCATGCCAGAGGTTAAATACTAGTTCAATCGAATAATAAATCATACAGGTATTTACTATTTTGGTATATTTAATATACTATGAAATATGATCAATAATTAAACAAATTAGTAGTAAATAATGATGAAGCATTCATAAGCTCAAAATGGTGACTTCTGTTGAATTCTATAATGTTATCTAATGATGGTGATGAACAAAAATATAATCTTTCTATGATCTTAACAAGAAATATATTAGTTACCTTCTAAGTATAAGTAGATAAATGTACAACATTATCGAAATTACTTCTGATGTCAGTTTAAAACAAATGGAAACATTTCCAGTCGATAACAAGTAATTGACAAAAATTCAAACGCACTAATCACAATGACTTATAAACATCAACTTGATGAAATAATTAAATATGTATTTAAATTTAGTTTAATTTTTAAGTTTTAACTGTCATATAAAAATCATGAAGTAAAAACTAAGAAGTGATAATTATAAGTGACTATTATTATAGTAATATAGTATTGATGTAATAATATGGTATAAGAAACACAATATTCTGTGGCATAAGTCGGTAGATACTATCACTATGGCAATATTACCACAGATATCTAAACAGGTTACAAATATAATTGATTAAATAATTTGATAATACAAAACACTATTATCACAATCTTACACTCATATGTTTTGCACATTGTACTGACTACTGTTTATTGTAATAAATTGATAATTTTATATCAAGATTAGTAAAGACGTACAACGGAAGCACTTTTAGTATTATTTACTGTAATTATTTTATAAATTAACACAAATATTCAGATGTCGATAGCTCCTTTAATTATTTACGTATTAATATAAACGACGTGTCAAATTTCATTAAAAATTAAACTGTGCACGAATAATATTACAAAAATATAGGTTCCTATTTAAATTTTAATAGTTACCCCACGAACTTCCCCATCCTAATTAATAAAAAAAATATTTAATATCAAAATAACTTGGATTACATGATTCAAAAAATGTTTTCATATAGGTCATTTTCTCCTAATTTAAATATACCATGCTGAAATCCACTGTCACATGAAATTTGGAACACTTTGTATATATTATACAGTGTAATCACGATTTAAGGTAACACTAAATATCTCAGCTGGATGACCTTGTATTATAGTGAATAATTTAGAGGACGTGGGGGGTACTGAAATACACATTTATTTATGATTTTCAAATATTTTACACTTTTAATGTGCGTATACACAGTACAATTTACATTTTTTTTTAAATAAAAACACTTTTTTTTTGTATAAATAGTTTTTTGCTATTTAAAAAACTGACCAAGTTAGAGAAAACAACATTTGAGTTACTGCATAATTCGTGTTTAACGAAATTTTAACTTGAAACTACTGGAAATAATAAAATAAATGTTTAATTTACCTTATCTGTTTATAAATAATAATTTGATTCTATCGTACGTCGTCCGGATGAATATTTCGAGTACTTGATAATTTTTACTTGTTAACTGCGTTGATCAAGGTAGCAACTATACGACTGAATTTTTAAGACAACTTGAATTATGTTTTAGAACATTATGAAAAAAAAATTTGAACAATTTATAAAATAAATGTATTTAATATATTTTATTTGTATAATCATATTAATATTACTATTATTAGCAATTTATAAATATTTTGTTATAGGTAAATTTAATTATTACAGTTAACGAAATAAAAAAATTAAAAGTATTGTACACTAAAAATAATATTTAATTACTTTAAACTTATTTTATTATTTTTTGATAATTATATTATTTGATTATCTTATTATTATTAAAATAATTGAAAGATAAAATATAATTCCTTATAAGAAAAATTAAATCGTATTATAGCAGTTAACTGAATAAAAATTATCACATACTTGAGAGTCGAAAATTGAGATATTCACCCGGATGACATACGATGTTACTAAATTATTATTTGTAAACGGATAAAGTAAATTAAACATTTATTTTATTATTTTCAGTAGTGAAAGATTTGTTAAATACGAATTATGCATTAATTTAAATGTTGATTTTTCTAACTGGTCAGTTTTGTAAATAGAAACAAATTTTTTAAACAAAAAAAAAAAAAAAATAATAAGAAAACAAATAGTGTTTCCATTTAAAAAAATGAAAGTTGTACTGTGTATACGCACATTAAAAGTGTAAGATATTTGAAAACCATAAATAAATGTGTATTTTATTACCCTATAGGTCCTCTAAAATATTCACTTCAATACAAGGTTATCCAGCTGAGATATTTAGTGGTACCTTAAATTTTGATCACCCTATATATTATTTTGAAATAATATTTGCGCATATATGATATGAATGTCAATTTATCAAACAGGTACTGATTTAATAAAATAATAGTTAATAGTATAGGAATTGATTAAACCTTGCATATTGTATACATATTAGTAGATAATTGCTTATAGTGATCTTAAAATGTTTAAGTGTATTGCTGTTTTATAACTTATGAAAATATCAGTTTTATGTTTTGTTTAATACGGTTATTCACTAGTAAGTAGGAATTAATTGATAGTATTCCGTCATAAGTCATGTTTCAAAACAACGATTTATAATTGTAATTTTTTGCACTAATAATTATAATGTTGAGTTGTTTTTTTGCTTTTACAATAATTATGAAACGAAAAAGATAACGGAATGAGACTCAATACCTACAAAATAAATGTTGAAAATAAATTAATAATTTAAAATTTAAAATAATAAAAAGTTTTGGAGTAAATATAAATACGTTTATTAAGTTGTGAATAGTTCTTAATATGATAATAAACAATAGTTATTTAGCAATTACGTATAATATATATTTTAATAATTAATAAGTGTTTTTGAGTTAATTAATCAATCAAATATATTTTATTATTTTTAAATTTTAGAGAATATTTAATAGAGAAATCTAATTATATTGATCCGATCAATATCGAAAAAAAATATCAATTTGAGGTAATACATTTATATATTTTATGTATAAAGTAATTAATATTTTATAAAAAGAAGCATGCTAAGTTTATTTAACTCATTGTAATTTATTTATTTTTAATCAACAATGGTTAAAATTAAATTAAATTAAATTTACAGCTGGATAAAAAAATAATCATTGAACCTTTTGGAACTTAAATTGAAATGTGCTACTTTATAAATTTTGACATTTTTGGCATTTATACCTACTCTACTTAAGATTTTATATAATATTTAGAAATACTTGTACATCTCTGTTTATTAAAATTATAGTTTTTAATTGTTATATGAATACGTTAGACTATATATAATTCACATAATAATTTGATAATTATTTTTAGATGATTATGAAATGGATTTTATTTGCTGTCATGATGTACTCAGGTTTAGTGTACTGTTTATCACAGAAGTTGAAAATTACTAAAGGTGTAATAAAAGGACAAATTTTAAAATCTCGAAATGGGCAAACTTATTATTCTTATACAGGCATACCATATGCAAATCCGCCGATTGGAGAACTTAGGTTTAAGGTATTTATATAATTCCTTAATGTATATATAGTATATAATATTTTATAATCACGATAATCGGTTATTATTCAACTAAGACAAACATTTTTCATAAAAATATTATTTAATAATATACTTTATAATTTAGGCACCAGTACCAGTTGAACCATGGGATGGTGTATTGGATGCTACGAAAGAATCAAATATTTGTATTCAACAGGGAAACACGGACAGTCAGGAAGATTGTTTGTATTTAAATGTATATTCTCCAAAAACTAATAAAAAATCTTTACCAATCATGTTTTGGATTCATGGAGGAGGATTTATTTCGGGTCATGGTAGGTCTAGTCTATACGGACCAGATTATATTATGGACAAAGACGTGATATTGGTAACAATACATTATAGACTTGGTATATTTGGTTAGTATTTTATATTATATGTAATACTGAATAATTATTATAGAATCAATAGTTTTATCATTACTTCTAAGTAATTCCCGTTATTATTTATAGGATTTCTCAGCACTGAAGATGATGTGATACCAGGCAACTACGGAGTAAAAGATCAAGTCGCCGCATTACGCTGGGTGCAGGAAAACATAGTGTATTTTAACGGTGATCCAAATCAAGTGACAATCTTTGGTGGTAGCGCAGGAGGTGCTAGTACAGGATTTCATATGTTATCACCAATGAGTAAAAGTCTTTTTCATAAAGTTATACTTCAAAGTGGTACACCACTTTGTAAGTGGGCCATTTTACCTCCCGGAATTTCTCGTAAACGTGCTCATGCCGTGGCAACTATTTCCGGATGTAATTTCAATACTTCTGAAGACATACTGCAATGTTTAAGAAAAGTTCCAGCTCAAAATTTATTAAGTCTTCACGCCAAATTAATTGTATGTTATTTGTTTCAATAATTAGTTTTAAACAATGTGTTTGATTAGTGATTAATTATTAATCATACGTCATAATAGGAAAAAAATTAAATTTGGTTAAATATAAAATACTTTGAATGGCTTGGTGTGGCGCAGTGGTTGGGCTCAGTCACTAATGTTTTCTGAGGTCAAGCATCAGCTGGCGACGATAGCTCTCGGATGGGTGACCACCCGAGTTTTTAGTGACGAATCCATGGCGTACACACATACACACACGTGTTCCAACCCTACTAAAAACAAATCTTTTTATTATAGATTAGTTTAAGATTTAAATTTTTTTAATGTTTTTATCTAATAAAAAAATGTATTTAGACTTGGCTTAATCATCCTACAGTTTTATTCAATCCTGTGGTCGAAAACTGTAATTCTGATCAAGAAGCATTTTTGTGTCATCATCCAATACTTGACTTTCATCAAGAATCGTTCGTCCCCGCTATTGTTGGTTTAAACTCAGAAGAAGGTAGTCTGTTTGTAGCATGTAAGTTACATTATAATACTAAAAATATTAATTAAATATTAAAACAATATATTTATATTGCTAGTGAGTTGAACAATAACTAAGTATTATAATTATTAAATGTTCGAATGAAAAATTATTCAATTAATTATTTGAATATTTTTTTAATTTATTTAAATATAAATACAAATATATTCAAAAAGTATCTAAAATATTTTAAAATACTTAAATATATTTTTTATATTTGCTGATCCATGTTCCCTCTTTATTCTTAGGTCTGGATTTAGGTACCTAAATAAAAAAAGGTAAATTTCGTTATTAACTACTCATTCTTATAATACTGTTATATAAGTTATTGAAACTTATAATATAAGTTATTTAAGAAACTTATAATATAAAATTTAAGAAATTTATAATTATAATTACAACATTTTCACCAGTTTTATTTACTTCCAAGTTTTATAGGTAAGTATAATATTCATGAGTTTAATATTTTACATAGGTACTTTCTTGTATTTTATATGGCAAAAGCGTTTTTTGTTATTTTTTATTTAAATATAATATATCTATTAAATATAAAAAATGTTTTATTATTTTAATTATTATTTATTAATTATTGATTACTTACAATTGAATAAATTTAGTTTTATCATGACGTCTTGTCAAATTAAATTAGTAAATACTGAACGAATGAAATTTACGAAAAGTTAAAAGTGAAGTACTTATAGTGCAAAATAAAAATATTTATCGAAATAAATTGATATATTAAAATTAATATTGAATTTATTTATGTAATACTTAGTATGCAATTTTTTAGAATTCGTAAAAACTAATAATAATGACACTTACTTAAATAAAATTTTGTTTTCACAGCTTTGTACAATAATACGTCATTAATATATCCAGAATTTCAAACGGATTTTAATCGTCTGATATCCATCATAACGTTTTATAATTATTACGTAAAAACTGAGTATATCGATGAAATTGGAGAAAAAGTGTTTGGAAAATATTTCCCATCGGGAAGTATCGATGATCATACGCATAGTAACGCTGTTAATGTGGGTACTTAATCCAATCAATAATATTTATAATCTTAAATTACTAAATTATTAATCTACATCATTGATCTATTTTAGATGTTTACTGATTCCTGTTTTACAGAAGGCATTCTTGATATGGCATATAAATTGTCATCTCCTGTGTATAGTTATTTTTATAATTATCAAAATGAATTTTCTTATAACAAATTATTTGGCTCATGTGAGAAACCTTTAGGAGTAACTCATGGCGATGAACTAAATAGTATTTTCAAAATGAATAGCTTAAATCCAAATGATTTAAACGAAAAAGATCTCGAAGTTTCGAAATTGATTATTAACGTTTGGTATAAATTCGTTATATCTGAGTAAGTATATTTGTTTTATTATTTTTACTTGCTATTTTTTTTTTAACTCTTATGTTGAATGTTAAATTATAAAATAAAACTCGCTATTTTAAATCTAAAATGAATTATTATCAATATTATAATCAGCATATTTATGAATTATTATTGTATTAAACTATTAAATTTTAAGTACTTATATACATTGTATTCAACTTCTAATGAGAAAAATAAACCAATTAGTTTAACCTAAGATTTATGTTTTGTATAGGTTTAATAAACTTACTAATTACTACTATATTTTATAATTTACAGTAATCCTACTATTGACGGATCAGAAAATGGATTACCTTGGCCTAAATTTACTCGATCAAACCAAACAATGATTCTATTTAATTCAAGTTATCCTAGTCTTATTCAAAACCCACGTATTGATGCTTATGAATTTTGGAAAAAACTCTATGAGCCAGTGTTTCTTGACCAGTTTTCGCCGGAGGAGTCCATATGTGTTGCAAAGTATATTAAATGACCAAAACATACAAACATTTACAAACATTAATAGTTATATTAATATAATATTTTTATTATTTTGATATAAATTCTATAGTAATTAAAAATAAACTATCTGTTATCACTTATCGCATATTTTGTATCTATATTACATATTAGTCATATTACCAATCAAAACTAAATGTTACCCATTATTTTTATTTTTATATCATGTGTTGCAAAGTATGAAATATTTTAATAGTATATCATTCTCACTATAATACGAAAGTTGAGAAACATTGTTATAAATAATACCTACTTTCAATAATAATAAAAAGAATAAAATAATCGAATATTTTAAGTTATTAGTGTACTTTTTTTTTAACTTTTGTTTGTTCATGGTAAATCATTTAATTAGGTTTTTAATTTATTATACTGTGAATTTGTGTTAATATTTTGTAAGTTTTTATTTATTAATGAAAAATAAGAGAGTGTGATACTTATGATGAGAAAAAAAAATGTTTCACAGAATGAAGAATACACCAGCTGTAAAAACTTTGAAAATTAGATTTCAAGAAAAAATAATTTACTTTAAAAACTTTATAAATAATAGTAATTATTGCTGGACGCTGGTATTTTTCTGTCAATAGAAACTATTAAAACTTTTATTATATAAAAAAAAAAAACAATTGAAAAATTGAGAATTTAAAGTGAAAAATGTTGACACATCAACGTCTTATCATATTAATGTTTTTTTTTTTCATTTAACGCTTAAAATTAATATCTACTATTATCTATAATATTTTTTTAATTATATATTTCGTTGTTTTCTTTTTTATTACTTATGCATTTGTAATGATGATATACCTGTATCTCAGTTATTTAATTTTTTTTTAAACATATATTCTATTAAATTATGTTAGTCAGTAGGATGATTTGGTAGGTTCTGGAGCTCCTCCCCCTTAAATTTTACATGTAAAAAGATAGCAAAAAATTATAGGCAATTCGTAGTACAGGCTCCTCCGAAACTAGCAATAATAATTACTCAATATAGGCAACCCTCAACACACATAAACCCAACACCACCGCCAGATCCGACACGTAACCGACATATATTTTACGCCTTCCCCTTTAAATGCATTACCTCCCCACCTTTTGAAGAAAAATAATATATATAATATTCTGGTGAAAATTTGTATTAACTAAATTACACACTTGACTGACATATATTTTTCCTCTTACCAATATTACCACCCTTTTTATTTAGACACACACACACATAATATACCTACATTAATATACGATTATACGAATAGACACCCATTTTACATTATATCTCACCTACATACGCTTTTCACATAAATATCACCTACATATACACATATTCACGTTTATAATACATATGCATACCTATATATATATACAACCTTATATATTATACAGTTTACATATCAATAAGACATAGGTATCGCACAGCATACGTTACATATAGTACACTAGTTATACATAGTAGTCGTAGTACACACTTATAAATACCTCGACCATACATCAGAATTCAATATAGTATAGTATATAGTCTTTGTTTACTCAATTTCACACACACATAGTCACAATTACGCACATTTCAATCTATACCTGTCACCCTTTCCCGACGCTGTTGACCAACGCATTATACGTTTGTATGACAACAGACCTGTAGAGACATGTCCGAGTATTGTCGGTGATTACTAGCAAGAAATTAGTGCATGTAGCAAAATTTAATTAGTCCATGTACTGCCGTCTATATGTATGGTCATGTATTGTCGTCCGAGTTCTAAAGTGTTTTTTAAGTGTATTCAAATATTTTAAAAGTATCATCTTGATACACCATAGTTCGTTTTTCGTACGTTAGTTCTGTTATTGTACTCCGTGGCTATTTAATCGTTTAGATTTCACTGTTATTTAAAATACATTATATTTTACTATATTTCATTACCCATCTATTTTGTGAAGGGTAAAGTATTGTTTCGCGAGTTCGACTAGTGTTCTTCAGTATTTAACGTAATCATGTTCAAGTGTAGTATATGTGATAAAACCTTTACATTGATTAAAAATTTACGCAGACATGACAAGTCACATTTTGTACCTGATAAGATTTCTTGCAGTATATGCTCAGAAATATTTACACGAAGAGATAACCTCATCAGACATAGCAAGGATAAACATCGTAAGTATTTTTAAATACAATAAACAAATTTATCAGATACAATATATATATAAAACCAAGACTATGTTTATTTATAATTTCTAATTATTACATAAATACAATTAATTTATTACATTAAAACGTATGTTATAGTAATATATAATTAAGGTGTTAAACAGAGTTTAATTTGTTCGACGGATTATTTTTCAGGTACAAATATCGTATTTCAACAACAACCAACCATAACCAAGCGAGAAATTCAAGATTTTTTTAAACCAGCTGAAAACATTTACGATTATAATGGTAAATATATGATTCATATCTTTATATACCTAACTTACTTATATTAATTTATAAAAAAATAAAACACTTTATGTAGGAATATAACTTTATCGATTAATTAAAATAAATATTGCTTTATACCTTTCAAAATATTTAAAATAAAAAATGCTATTAGTTTTTTCTTCAAAATCACATAAGACAATACATATACAAATGTAATCGTCTTAGTGAAAATACATCAAAACATACGGAAATATCATCACTTCTTAGTAAAAAATATTATAATTTAGATAAAATCCTGTACAATTATCATAGTTAACCCTGTTAAGAGCATATGTATCTATATTTTATATATATATATATATATATGTGTGTTAAAAAAAACGTTCGTAAAATTGTTCAATAATTTTGATAAATTCATGTAGTAATATATTAATTTAAAATATTTCCATACGATTATTGTCATAGCGCTATTAAAAACATACATCAATTATTTTATTTTATTATATTTTTAAGTATAAACAGTATAAATATATTTGACCATGATGTACATAATATATAACAATACGATATGAATATCTTATTTTTCTATGAAAAACATATACACATTTAATATAATAAAATTAAGAAATAATATCTTAATAAACTGAACTCTAACACCTTACTGTCACTATAATTATTTCATGCTACACAAAAGAACTTTGTGTATATCATTGCTATAACCGAGAGCCCTATGTCATATTTGTTTTGCTGTTATATATATATATACATGTAAGTAATAATAGATAATATACCTACTTCATTTTATTAAATGTATATTTTAAAAAATCGTATTTTCCATATGATAAACACACCACCAATATTTTATTTTTCTTCAGGTATTTTTACTAAAAACGTTTATATTTCTAACAAATATAATAATATAATAATATAATACATTCTTTTCTTTCTCATTGAAAACTTTATAGATTTTCAAGCTGTTACATGCATTTCCATAGTTTTTAGCAATACATTAGTAATTTTTTTTCAGTTCAATCTCGCAATGGTCATAAGCGCCCATATCATACTGAAAATTCAAACGAAGCAGCAAATGCTAAAAAGACACGCATGAGCATTGTCAAGACACGAGGATTCATTAAGACAGGCACATCGTTATCGAATAAAATCAATTGGTATTACGTGAAAAATACAGATAATTTGACCAACTACAGAACATTTTTAGAATCAATAAAAAAAGACTTAATAGAACTACTCAAAACACTATCAACAAAACAACCAATCAAATATAATCTTAAATTAGAAGCAACATATGAACGCCCGAACGTAGAAAATTCAACAGAGAATAGAGCATTTAAGACCTCAGCTAAGGAATTGTTTATGGATACAGATATCGAAGCTAAAATTAATCAAGATTTTGTTAATCTTTTACTTGAAGAAGAAATTTATACCTCTAAAGGAAGCGGATTTACGTTACAATCAATAGATGGTTTACTGTTAGGCGTATATAATTATACACCTATGGGTGGTTCGTCTTATATCACACTTCCGGAAGACATCAAAAATAAAAAAGCAATTATCAATCCCCAAAACTCAGACCAACAGTGCTTCAAGTGGGCAATCCTTGCAAGACACGTTTCGGGTAATGCCAAAAAATCAAGTGGCTGAAAATTATACTTCACTTGAAGAAAAATATAATTTTTCTGGTTTAACATTCCCAACGCCTGTGAGGGAAATACAAACATTTGAAAAAAATAACCTTAACACGTCTGTCAATATATTCGGATTAAGACGAGAAAATAATAAAAAACATATTATTTATCCACTTAAGGTTGTAGATGAAGAAAAAAAAGATCATTTCGATCTACTGATAATTACCAACGGAGATAAAAGCCACTACTCATACATATCAAATTTCTCACGTCTTGTTAGAGCACAAAAAACGGGTCATGAGGAAACTGTTATATTTTGCAAACGTTGCTTCACATCGTTCGATAATCGACCCAGAAAAAATACACTAAGTGGACAGGCAGCCCTAGATCAGCACACTCGGATATGTGGACAACATAAACCAATTCTACCTAAGATGCCTGATCCCGGTACATTGTTAGAATTCGATGGGTGGAGTAACACTCAAAGACATCCGTTCACGATATATGCCGATTTCGAGGCACTCCTTGTTAAATGTACAGAGAGCAAAGGTGGGAATACCTCAGCATTCCAAAAGCACGAGCCGATGAGTTATGGCGTGTTTGTAAAGGCAACAGAAAACGTTCCCATAGATCTGTTAGAAAAGTTCGAATTACCACAAAAACCAATTATTTTCCGTGGTAATGAGTCACGTCAAGACGTAGCCAAAAGATTTGTGAATGAAGTGACTGAGATTGCAAGAAAAGTTGAAGATTTGCTTACAACAAATAAACCTATAATAATGACTGAAGAAGAACAAAGAACACATGCAATGAAAATTACTTGCAATTTATGTAAGTGTATTTTTTCCGACAAAAACCCAAAAGTGGCAGATCACTGCCATCTTTCAGGCAAATTCAGGCAAACTTTATGTAATACTTGCAACCTGAAACTGCAAAAACCTAACTTTGTACCATGCTTTCTACACAATTTGTCTAATTACGATGCACATTTCATCGTGACCGAACTCGGAAATGACACTAAATCAATATCAGTGATTCCGAACAGTGAAGAAAAATACATTTCATTTTCAAAACACGTTTCGAACAACTTTTCAATTCGATTCATAGACTCTTGTCGTTTCATGGCATCAAAACTATCAACACTTGCAGAAAATTTAATAACACCTGGGTTCGCGAAGTTCAGAGAAACCGCAAAAGCATTCGTACCCAGAGATATGGGTCTTGTCACACGTAAGGGTGTCTACCCTTACGAGTATACCGATAGCTGGGACAAGTTAGAAGAGACGAGTTTGCCTAAGGAAGAAGATTTTTACAGTAAACTAACAGAAGAACACATAAACGACAAGGAATACGAACACGCAGTCACAGTATGGAACCATTTCAAATGCAAAACCCTGGGAGAATATAGCGATTTGTATTTAAAAATTGACGTGCTATTGTTGGCTGACGTATTCGAAAATTTCCGAGACCTTTGTTTGAAAACATACCATTTAGATCCAGCCTTTTATTACACGGCACCAGGTTTTAGTTTTGACTGTATGTTAAAATATACCAAAGTAAAACTGGAATTGCTTTCTGATTATGACACCCACTTATTTTTCGAAAATTCAACCCGCGGCGGCCTTACACAAGCAAGTATGAGGTACGCTAAAGCTAATAATAAAAAAACCCAAGATTACGACTCAACAAAGCCTAAATCATGGGTAGTTTATCAAGATTGTAACAATTTGTATGGCTGGGCGATGTCCCAATACATGCCGTACGGTGACTTTAAATGGGTTGAACCTAAGTTAGACGGATTAGATGCTTTAACACCGACCTCAGATAAAGGCAGAGTGTATGAGGTGGACATATCATACCCTAATGAACTTCATGACGTTCATAACGACCTTCCATTTTTACCTGAGAACAAAATTCCTCCTGGTTCAAAAGTGAAAAAACTTATGGCAACACTTCATTCAAAAAAAAATTACGTAATCCATTATCGAAATCTGCAGCAAGCCATAGCAAATGGATTAATTGTAGAAAAAGTACACAGAGTTCTTGAGTTTAAACAATCGGATTGGCTAAAAAAATACATCGAACTAAACACTGAAATGAGGAAGAAGGCGAAGAATGAATTTGAAAAGGATTTCTTCAAACTCTTAAACAATGCCGTTTTTGGAAAAACCATGGAATCTTTACGGAAACGTTTTAAGATGGAACTAGTTTCATGTCCGCGAAGATTACAAAAACTCATCAACAAGCAAACATTTAAAAATTGTACGACATACAGCAAAAATCTAGCTGCTGTCTCATTGGAAAACAAAATTATCATGTTTAACAAGCCAATATATATAGGTAATAATTTTACTTGCATAAAAAAAAAAAAAAAAAAAAAAAAAATCATCTTAGTATTAATAATTTTTAATTTATTGATTATTTTTGATTATAGGTTTCGCAGTATTGGATATCAGTAAAACCAAGATGTACGAGTACCACTATAATGTAATGAAGGCGCATTATGGCAAAAATATCACATTAATGTACACAGATACAGGTATATTTTGAATTATTATTATTTTTATTATAATTATTATCTTAATCATATGTTTTTTGTTTCTCAGATTCGTTAGTATATTACATACTGACTAATGACTTTTATAAAGACTTGGCTGTTAATTCAAACTTGCTGGACAAGATGGATACATCAAATCTCCCGAAAGACCATCCGTGCTATATTCCCGACCGTAAGAAGATCCCGGGTTTGTTTTCCGACGAGACGGATGGACTCGTTATGACAGAGTTTTGTGCGTTACGGGCAAAATCATATGCCTACAAGCTTAATGGGATGGAAAAAATCAAAGCCAAGGGAATCCGTGGGCATGTGGTAAAGTACCACATGTCATTCAATGACCATAAGAAGTGTCTGTTTGATGACAGTGATTTAGACGTTTTCACTCAAAATGTATCCATCCGATCATTCAAACACCAGCTCAAGACAATCAAATCGGACAAATTGACTTATAATAACTATGATGACAAGAGGATTATACTTGAAGACAAAGTACATACCTATGCTCATGGACATTATAAATCTGTTTGTTAATTGTATTTATAAAAAATATGTATATATGTGTATTTGTTTTTTTTTTTACAGTAATAAAAGTCTTATACCGTATTACAAATCTTGCTATTATTTATATTTCCTTTATCCATACATTTTCTTACATTTGAAGTAACTTACATTGCAAAAGTGCATACATATAGGGTAGGAAATTAAGAGTACCTATGTGTTTGATAAAATAATTAATAATAATAAAAGTAAATCATCCTGAGTTAAAAAAAAATATAATATTTTATTTTTTATTTTTTTTCATAGTATCAGCCGTTAATATAATTACTACCTAATAAACATATATACATTTTATTAAATTCCATAGGTAGTATCAATAGACATATTATTGCAAGAACAATAGAAGTATACTATCATGGTATCATATTTAATGCTAAATTTAGGTGTTTGGATTAACATTAACTGACCATGGAATACTGAGATGTGTTTTGTTTATAGTAACAGTAATGACTAATAGATGTGTTAAAAATATATACAAACTTCATATTCATGTTAAAAATCAACAGATTTTTTAAATAAAAATCATATTAGATGTAGCCATATGATAAATATTATATTTCTTTAGCTGTCATAAATATCATCATTTTGTTCGTAAATATTAAAATATTCATTCCTCGACACATATGGATATTATACAGGTCTTGATAAAAATATGAGACAATAAGTAAATACCTATTTAAAATCTCATAAAAATGTATAATTTCAACAGTCTACAAAACCTATATAAATGTAGGTTTTACTGTTTCGATTTTAATCTAAATAATAATACACACATTTGTATAATAATATCGTATTTTCACTGAAAATATATACAAACTTCATATTCATATTAAAAATTATCAGATTTTCAAATAAAAATCGTATTAGATGTATCCATACTATGCATTTCTTCAAATATAAACTATTTTCATACTAAAATCATATACAAATATCTTAATTTCAATAAAAACATATAATATAATTATCATCATAGACGGTTATACATAATATATTGATTCACTATTTACAGTTTCCTATGTTAAATTTTAATATATAGCTAACAAAATTCGAAATATTAACAAAAAGAACATTTCAAAAGCAAAATCAATCTAATGTATGCAGTTACAATTATTTCATCATTTAGATTCATCGATAGGTAGATTATATTAAATATTATAATGAATGATGATTTCATACGATTTTTACAGTTTAACTCAAGATACATTAAAGATCTTACAATACATAATTATTATTCATACGGTTCAAATTCAGAAGTCACAACCACTAGCATACGAACACGACTATATTTCTCCATCCACCCCTCCACTAGGTTAATTCGGGAAAAAAAAACATTTTTTTAAAAAACCCACCACTAAGTTAGATTAGTGTAATATAGGTTAATTCGGAAAAAAAATGAAAGACCATGATCTATCATGTCTACATCTTCACATGTTGAAGATGAAGAACCTTTCATTTTTTTTCCGAATTAACCTATACAAATTTTCACCAGAATATTATATATATTATTTTTCTTCAAAAGGTGGGGAGGTAATGCATTTAAAGGGGAAGGCGTAAAATATATGTCGGTTACGTGTCGGATCTGGCGGTGGTGTTGGGTTTATGTGTGTTGAGGGTTGCCTATATTGAGTAATTATTATTGCTAGTTTCGGAGGAGCCTGTACTACGAATTGCCTATAATTTTTTGCTATCTTTTTACATGTAAAATTTAAGGGGGAGGAGCTCCAGAACCTACCAAATCATCCTACTTTAGTCAAAAAGTTGTTTTCTAATATTTATTATTTTATTGTTTTATGGGCTATACAGAGTAAATATTTCTATATAATGTACGTTATAGTATTATAGTATCTAATAAATAATATTGTTTTATTTTTATTGTTTTTTTATAGTTTATATCTGGAAATAATGAGAAAAAAAATAACAACATAATATTGTATATTATATGTATCAATTAAGAATTTTACTGTTGATTTTGTTTATAGTATATGTCTAAAGATAAGCTGATTACTATTTATTAGAATATTATTTTAGCCTTGATAACATTTATTGATAAGTAAGTACCTAGTTATAAGTAGGTACATTGTATTACATATTAATATTATAATTATACGTAATTTAATGGAAAAATATTTAGGATAATTTTTCATAGAAATTTAACTAAATATTAAATATCTATTGTATTTTATCTTAATTGTACTCAAATGATTTTCTCTTTATATATTCAAGTCAAAAATATATTTTTATTAAACTTAAGTGACTTTATTAAAAGAAAAACTTATACTTATAAAGATGAATTAAATTAAAATTGATTTATTTTTAATAAATCATCAGTATATAAGAATTATGTAACGTAATGTCACGTAGCGTATACTATATACTATTCAATAACATAATTTTGTACTATTATCTAATATCAAAACATGTATCGACGTCAGCTTACTTCTAAAAACGCACGTAAAGTAATAAGTCTATTACGTATGTCATATCTCATAACAGTCATAAGTCATAACCATGAGTGTTTGAATAATAACATGCTTAAATTATTATTTTTTATCGTACATATGTAAGTACCACCTATCTATCTATATACTAAATACATAATTAAAACTAAAAGCTGAATTATAGTTTATTCAAACATACCTGATATTCTTTTTCTATAGTTAATTAATATTACTTGTATTTAATATGAATCAATATTTTTAAATTATTATAGATTTAATTATATTAATGGGTTGTAAAAGTTGTTAAAAAAATGTACTGTGATGATAATGTGATAAATATATATTATTATATTATTTAAATACAAAATAAATAATGATATTCTTAAATATGTATTACATGTTAAATGTTAAAATCTCTTACAGTAATTATAAACAGTAATCATTTATAACTTAAGAATACAATATGCATTTTAAATTAAAAAATATCGAGTGATACTAAAATGTGTAATTATTAAACCTACTTATATTGTATTCAATAAATCTTTGAGTGGGGTCTATAAACAATTACAATGATTTTAATGATTAGTTGTATTTATATGAACAGTGAATACATATTACATTTAATAAATTATCATTCTGATTAGGTATGTAATTATTAATTATTTAATAAAATAATAAACACATACATTTTTTTTTTTTAATTAGATGGCACATATTTATACGTAGTGGACTACAATGCATTTCTCAAGAACGTGGAAATTAAATCTGGTAAGATAATATTTTTTACTTTATAAATAATTATACTCTATGCTAGTTTACAATATACTAAAAAAATTTAAAAAATAGTTTAAATTTAAAAATTCAACCTCTTTTGTTCACCAAGATAAGTTTTTTTTTTAAATGCATTTAAGTATAATATTTATTGTACTTTATAAATGTTTATATAGTAAATAATTTGGAATATATTATACTTACTTAAAATTATAATTCAATTAAAAAAGTGCTACCTTATCCACTGTTTTATTAAAACAACCAAATAAATTTGCGTTTAAAATGCATTTTTTTTAATTGTTATACTACTAAATAGTTATGGGTATTGAAGTTGAAACATGTAAAATGTAATAATATTTAAATTGGCTAATTTGAATGTGCATACAAATATTCGATCTAGAAAATAATTTATTTTAACTTAATTCTTTTATATAAAAAAAAAAATAAGTATTTAATATACATTTATCAACCATAGACATATTGATACGTGTTTGGGCTGTATGTTAACTGTACTTAACCTAACCCATATTCTATATATTAGGTTACCAAGTACCAACATTATTATAAAGAGACAACAATGTCTGTGCATATGATTAGGCTTGAGTGTAATGCAAAGACATTTTACTAGAAAAACATCTATAGTGTAATGTTTTTTATTGTTTTCCATAAATATTGTTATTTTTTTTGTTGAATTTCTTTTCCTCTTGCTATTAATGAATATAGATAGTCTTAGGCTGTATATTATTATTTTCTAACAAAATTATGGTCTCCGGTTCTCTTGTATAGTTCAATGTTATCAACAAAGTATTATTGAAACTGGTAAATGTCTAATTTTGGGCAGGACTCTTTTCACTCAAATATCTTAAGACTACTTTCCCTTTTTATCTAATAATATTAAAGCACTTTTTGACTACATTTTTATAATACACACTTTGGGAAACACTTTATTATTTATTTGTGTAAATTACTTCTTTAGCAGTAACTATTTTTTCTATATTAATAAGTGTATGCAATTCATTAATATTAGTAGGATATATAACCCAGCCACGTCAAGCCACGATAAATATTTGTTAGATCTTATAAGTCGTGATTATGTTCTCCAGTTGTTGAACTAAAAAAATCATTCTTGTCTACAAGTTATCGTAATATATTTTCAATAGATAGAGCCGTTATTTTATTTGTCTATCCAAAGTTATATTTAAAATTATTATATTATACATTCTTCTTTCCAAATGTTGTTATGGCGATATTATTTTTAAAATATATTGAGCGGATCATTGCAGACATATATTTATAATGGACATAAATAATTTAAAGTAAATGCTTACCAGACTATGTAATTATAAAAATGTGGGCAAAAATGCTATACTATTTTTAGGCAAAAATGGAAAGTGGTTTTGAAATATTTGGGCGAATGGGGTTTTTCTCCTAATTTTTAGGTATATTCGTCGTATCTACGATCACAAAATCATAAAATATTATATGTAACGTAGAGTTATTTACAAAATTCAATAATAATATAAATATATTTGAATATTCAATGAGGTTACTTTAAAATTATTATTATTAATACAGGAACAAGAAAAGTTGGTATACGCCGTGATCATATTATTTTTAAGTTCGGTATTTTGTGAGGTGGAGGTGAAAATTACCAAAGGAATTTTGAAAGGTCGAATTTTGAAATCTAGAAATGATCGACCTTATTACTCGTTTACTGGTATACCATATGCAAAACCACCAGTTGGAAAACTTCGATTTGAGGTAGGTACCTACTTGACTTCACAGTTTTTAAAAAAATTATTGTTTACATTGTCAGCACGTTACAATTAAACGGCAATTACCTATGTATATTATATCATAGGCTCCTGAACCAGTTGATCCATGGGTTGGTACATTAGATGCTACTAAGAATTCAAATACATGCGTTCAAAAACATGAAACTGATAGCAGTGAAGATTGTCTATATTTAAATGTATATACACCAAGTACAGATGGTAATTTCCCCGTAATGTTTTGGATTCACGGAGGGGCGTTTTATTTAGGACATAGTAATCCGAATATGTTTGGTCCGGATTATTTTATGGATAAAAACGTAGTTTTGGTCTCGATTAATTTTAGACTAGGCATATTAGGTAAGTTACATATTTATGATATAATGTATATATAATATATATACTCGTATATGTATATATAAAAGCGAATTCCTGCAAAATGTGAATTCTATAGTTATTAGTTATTATGTATAATTATTAATGTATACATTCTGTGAGTTCTTACAGAGTGTATATGCAATTAATAAACTATGTAATAACTATATAAATTTCAAATTTTGTAAATCTATTGTTTTTTTGCAATCAATCCCATACTAAGTTTTATTTATGAATAAAAATAAATTAATGCTATAAATATAATAAATAATATAATTTTTATTTATACTTTCTGAGTATCTTTGTTTTTAATAACTTTTTTTTTTACAAATTGTGTTCTAAACATGTATTTAAAATATTTAAAAGATTAATATTCATTTTTTCCATCATAAAATGTTACATACATTACATATTATATATATATTTTTTATATATAAACAATATATTTTAAAATTTAAAATATTTTAGACTAAATGTGACTAATATAAGTCATTATTCATATTTAATATATTATTGAATTAATTATTTTTTTTTAGATTTTTATTAATTTTTTAGTTTTATGGACTATTAAATTCTAACTGGTAATAATTTTTGTTTTAGTCAACTTTTTAAAATTAATTCACATAATAGTTAGTTGATTACATTTTATTATTAGTTATTTTTATTTGACAGTATCTATATGGCCACAGTGTTAGAACTTAGGATTTATCTTAATATTATTATTATTATTACATAGTGGCACAAACACTCGATACATTTTTTGCTAGGTTTTTTGAGTACTGAAGATGATGTTATCCCCGGAAATTATGGAATGAAAGATCAAGTTGAGGCATTGCGGTGGGTTCAAGAAAACATTGTTAAATTTGGTGGTAACCCCAGAAAAGTGACTATTTTTGGCGGAAGCTCTGGTGGAGCTAGTACTGGTTATCACTTATTATCGCCGATGAGTAAAGGTCTATTCCACAAAGCCATACTTCAAAGTGGTACTCCATTATGTCGTTGGAGTACGTATCTACCGGGTGTAGCTCGCGTTAGAAGTAAAATTATTTCACGTATAGCTGGATGTGCTGGAAACTCATCTTCAAAAAACATATTGAAATGTCTCAAGGCGTTACCGGAAAGATTTTTCAGTGATGTTTATGAAACACTTTGGGTAAGGAACTATTCGTATGTTTGTCTTTTTACAGATGAAAAAAAATCATTTTAATGTTAATTATTTTGTTAAAACCATTTATCCAATTTTTCATTAATATTACTAGTATCTTAGTAAGTATTTTTTTTTCCCAATAAATATATTGAAATACAGGAATGGCGCTCATATCCAACAGTATTATTTTCACCGGTAGTGGAGCAATGTGACTCGGGTCAAAAAGCGTTTCTTTGTCGTCATCCGTTGAATGAGTTTAAACAAGAATCATTTGTGCCAACTATAATCGGACTAAACTCAGCTGAAGGTGGAATGATAGTTTCTTGTAAGTTGATGTTAAGAGAACTAATATTGTCCACTCGTGTTTGAGCAATTGTCACACGATCGATGATAGGTTTAGGGAGTGATGGAATGCCATTGTAAAAAAATAAACATATATTGAGAAATATGTATGGAATATTATTTGATTTACAATTTAACCTAATGAATATATTTTTATTTTAGCTTTGTACAATGACACGTCTATTCGATATCCAGAATTGTATACAGATTTTAATCGCTTGTTATCGATTATACTATCATATCAGTATTTTACACTCAATTCGGATGAAATTGGTAAAAATGTGTTCAAAAAATATTTCCCATCTGGAAAAATAGGAGATCATTCACATTTTAAAACTATAAAAGTAATATTTATTTAAATATATGTTATTTGATTTTTAAATTATGTAGTTTTTAAATAAATGTTAACAATAAAATTTATTGATGTTTTAGATGATAACTGATGGTCGTTATCTTCATGGTATATTAGACATGGCTTTTAAACTGGTGTCACCAGTGTATTTTTATTTATATGACTATCAAAATGAATTTTCATTTAACACTTTATATGGTAAATGTAATAAAAAATTAGGGATCACGCACGGTGACGAATTAACCAGTCTATTTAAATCGGATATCACAAATCCTAGAAAATTAAATTTAAGAGACACGGCGGTTTCAAAGTTGATGGTTGATGTTTGGTCAACATTTGCTACAGAAAAGTTAGTATTATTATTCAGAATATTATAAAAGTAGATAGTTATAAGTAATAATAATAATAATAATAATTAATATTAATTGCTCATTATTATTTTACTGTTTAAATTTTTTTATGTAATTAGTTTTGATAATTAAGATATAATGTTTAAGGTAAAGAAAAAGAAAAAAATAGTAATTTTAATACATAAGTAGATAATAATAATAATACTTTTGATTAATTAGCTATGTTAATTATAAAGCCTGTGTGGTTAAATAAAGATGGTATTGGAACTTGGAAGTATAATATTAATTTATTGAGATGAAATGATAAGAATTAAATATGTCAGATGTTGAATAGACATGTTAGAAGATTTAAAAAGGGACAATAATCTGGCACGTTGTATAATAATTAGTGTATTGAATACTAAGAGTAAAAGTTCTTAAGTGTTGGTGGATAAGTGTTTTAATATTAGTAAAAAAGTATAATTCATGTCGGAAGCAACAGATTTGCGGGAAAAAATTGAATTTTTTAGTTCACCAATAATTAATAGTTAACTGAGACAATGGTTGATAGGTGGATTTGAGTATTTGGTTGAAGAATTGAAGGTAAATTTTGTCCCTGGAAAAAAATAACAAGGTGCAACTTTTACACAGAAATCATTAAAACAGTCATCGTTTTAAGATGAGATAGATGAATGAATGTAATAACGAAAACGATCAGCAGTTTTCCATAGTTAAGTTATAGATGGGGAAGAGTTGAGGTTGTTGTAGAATTTTTTTTAAAAGGCATTTAATTTCTTGGTTTTTAAGTAGTCGAATCGTGAAAATTGAGAAGGAACATTCGTTATTATATCTAAAAAAGTCTTGAATAAATCAGTATGATGATAGGTTTTGAATATTTTGCTACATTTTTTAATTGCTTGAGTGCATGTTGGGTCTCACCAAGAAGAATAGAAATTGTTGTTAAAAAATCGAGTTATATAAAAAAATTTTTTTAACTTTTTTGTGGCCATTCAGTTTAATGCATAAACATTATACTATAATGTCTATGGTCAAATATTATTAATACTAAAAAGTTAGTTCTAAGAAGCTTAGTCCACTTTAATCCTTTTACTACCCTTAGATACTCCATGGTACATAAAATAACAAGTGTGATAACAGCATAATTAATAATGATAAAAAGCTGGAATTTAAAAAATATATTGTAGCAAAATGTATTTATTTAAAATAAAAGTTCTATTATGATGTTAAGTTTATATCATGTAATTTAAATTTATAATGTAAAAAAAATATAAGGTTTTCCTCTTTTTATTTTTTTTCTGACTACCTATATGTCTTTTAATATGGGTTTATGAGAGGTACGTACGAATACGACTATACATTCATGTGTATATTACATAATATATATATTATATTATATACTCACAACAAAATTAAATTAGGAGTGTAATAAAAACATGTAAATATATGTTTAGTCACGAGGCTTCTACGACTTGAGCACGAGTACGATCGTACAGCACAAGAAATCGATCAGAAATATGATTGTTTTAATTTTTAACGCTACCGTATGGACTTGGCGCGTCAAAATAACGAAACCGAGTCTATGGATAGACTCGATAATAAGTTGCTTTGATTTTTCACTATATAAAAATTTCACGACGAACTGTATTCAAATACTTATAAATTAAAATAAATTTTACAAACGATACAAACTTATACAAACAAAGATTGATCTTGGACTGGATACGCATTGGCAATTTTCATTTTCCCATTTGAAATTAAATATCTCAATAAAACAGCAAAACTCATATTATGGGCAAAAAATGTAATATTCATCTTTGTTGTTTTGTTATTAATTCTAAAAATTGTTTTTCTACATTTCATAAACAAAAATAATAGTTTTCCTGTACATATTTTACTTATTATATTTCTATTTAACTTTGTTATATAAAAAGGATATCAATTGTAAATATACATTTTTATTGTACTGACTACTAATGTACCTTGTAAGGTACAACCTCGTAACTTTTTACCAATTGTTATCTTATTCTTACAAAAGTTGGTATTCGCCATAAAAGATGTTTACGTATATACTCGTAAATTTTTTTTTACTTAAAACATAATGTAATAGTGAAAGTGTTAATAGGTGTCAGAAATTGGTTGAGATATTTTGTATCGATGAGTTCAATTATGATTACCGTTATGTCGTTGAAGTTGGGTTTGAAATGTTTTGAGGCGTTGATCAACATTATATCGTTTATGTAGCACTGATTTGAGACGAAGACTAAATGATATTTGTAATAACGCTCCCAGGTTTTAATGAGTTGTTAATTATGCCATTATCGATAGAGCTATTATTGTCTGGTACTCAGGTGTATTGTCAGAGTTTATAAATATAACGAATTATCATACGTGACATTATTTCCAACATTCATATTAACATTAAGAGTAGATGAATGGTTGCCTATTAAATATTATAGATTTGGTAAGATTGGGTTATTGGATGAATTTGAAGTTAAAGATTTACGGTATTTTCTATGCATAACAACTTGAAAAAGAGAAATCGTGTGACAAGATGAAGCAATCGTGGATTTAAATTTATTGGTCCCGGATTTTTATCCTAGAAGGCTGTTCTTGCCGTTAGCCGGTAACGGAATATTTAAATAAATTTTATAATTATTTATAAAAAGGGATAACATTTAATCGATAAGACGATAACTAACAAAAAGATGACCATTAATGATGAGTAGAGCAAGGACTTTCATGCATGCGTATATATTTTCTGTTTTACTTTTTCGTATGCAGAGTAAGTACACAATACATTTCACAATGTTTGTGACTAAAATCTTAAAGCTTTTAGTTCATATTTTTATATTTTTGGGTTTAAAGAACATATTTTTTGATTATAAGAGCATTTCATTTTTAGTTTGTATTGCATATTTTGAAAGTCTTTTGAAAATCATGTACTTCAGTGAATATTTTTCAAAATTAAGGATACAAATTATTATATTTAACTGTTTTTATATTATCATAAAGACGAAAGATACTTATGTTATTATAGTTGCGAATCTGTAGATTAGGTTACAATAAAGTTATATCAAATTAAGTTAAAACTTATAAAGAGATAATATAAAATTATTAAAATTAAATATTTAAGGAAAAAGGATAATTTTTAGAGCTATAAATTTTAGTGTATTCATTTTTTTGAAGGCATATTTTAATCTTTAACTGTATATTTTAAATTTTTTGATGCATAAGTGCATATTTGATGATTTTTTAGTGCACGAAAGTCCTTGTTCATCATTTATAAAATACCTTTCATCTTGACTATGCACATTATTATGCACTGAATTTAATAATATTTAAAGATAAATCATTTTGATTATTCAATTAATTCATTTAGGTATATAATATATAATTATATGGATAAGATAATGATAAATGAGGTAATAAAGTAGTAAGATAAGATAATAATAATAAATTAATTTATAATACGGAAAGAAAAATGAAATGATTTACAAGTTGACGTGGCGCTGGTAAAAAAAAATTATATAATTTTATGGATAAGATAATGATAAATGAGGTTATAAAGTAGTAAGATAAGATAATAATAATTAATTAATTTATAATTCGGAAAGAAAAATGAAATGATGTATGAATATGACAAGGCACTGGTAAAAAAAAAAAAAAAAAATTCTCCTTAAATAGCTGAAATGTATGTTGAACAATTCAGTTCAATATCATTCACCACACGAGCTTTTTATTAAGATTTAAAAATTATTGATTAACTCTGGAGAATTTTCTATAAAAATAGACTGTAACCTGTAAACTTAAGTAAATAATATTGATAAAGATTTAGAATTTCAAGTTTTAACTTAAATTAGATTAAGTCCATGACTGTATGTACGTATTGAATGGATGAAAAGTTTTTAATATTCATATAAATAGGTATGAACTTTTATTAAAAATGTTTAATTTATTCTAATGTTAACTGGTCAAGAGCTTATTTAGTGTTCCTTAACAGTTAACACACGTTATATCTACTTACTAGAATAAACATTTATTTAACTTAACATAATTCAATTTTTTGTTTAATGCTCTTGTTTTGTTTATTTTAAAGCTTATCATTATATTTAAGAATTATTTAGTAAAATAGAAAAATGTAATATTTGTGGATTTAGTTCAAAAGTTGTATAGTTAATAAGATGCATAGTATATTTATATGTGTATAATATAATATATTGATAGATTTATTCATATTGTACATTTAAACTTTAAAAACTCGTAATAATTTATATAAAACTAAAAATGTATATTTTAATGTTATCGTATTTTATTTATTGGCTATAAATTTACAGGTGAAAATTGTGGTAGATGTTTTTAAGCAGAAAATGTATTTTAATGTATTTTTTTATGACATATAAGAATTTAAATAAATAGCATGCATATAAAATTGTCTATTAAGTAATGTTGAAAATTTTTTATAGATTACCTACTATTGATGGTACAATAAATAGTCCAGTTTGGCCTAAATTTGATTCACAGAGACAATCAATACTTCACATACATTCAGATCATCCAGATATTATACAAAATCCGTTTGAAGAAAAGTATTTATTTTGGAATAATTTGCCTCTTCTTTCTAATTTCAAGAAAATTATTTCTAAAAATAAATTTTTTCTAGATCATATAAAAAATGAATTGTAATTGTACCGAATGTGGTGCGTTTTTATAAAATATTTATAATGAACAAATATTTATTAATATGTGTTTCATAATTTTGTAAATAAATTATTAAACAATTCATTATCTTGGTAATATTTTATATATTTTACAGTTGAACTATCTATTAAAAAATTTAAATAATTAATTTTTATTTTATTTTCAATTGTTGTTATTATTCTAATAAAGACAATTGTTAAACCAATTACCATTGTGATCGAATAATTGGTAGTCAACAAGTCAATAATTATTATAACATAATAAATATAAAGATTTATGTTGAATAGTATAATTTAAAATTATTTATTCAATTATTCTTGAACTTCCTTTTTGATTCATAATTTTCACTATTTATATTTTCATTATTCATAATAAATAACAGTTTAACTATTCAACATTAATGTTATAGCCGAAATACAGAGGAAACAAAATAAGAAACATGCAGGTCAAACTGTAAATCATGAATAATAATTAAAATTCTTTTTAGTTAACTATTTTGCAGGGCAAATATGTTTGACATTGTCATCTTAAATGTATATATTGTTCTTCTGTATAAATTTCATATGATTGCAAACACTTTGTGGTAGACAATCATAGATACAAATTATGTCATGTAACTTCTTCGTGACTTACGTATTACTGGTTACTATCTAAGTAATTTTTCTATAAGGTAAATTTTTTATTAAAATTTATGCATAAGTCAAAATTATTTGCTTGAATAATAAAATAGTTTAAAAATAACTTTTATTACATTAAACAAGCAATCTTGTAAAATAAAAAAATAAAAAAATGTGTATATTTTTTCATATTTTTCGGAACAATGCTGAATATTATATTAAAATATTATATGTTATGTAATATAGTTATAATTACAAATATTTTAATAGTTTTTGTATAGTTACTATAGTATTTTAATTTTATAAGCATGTTGTTTTCAGGAATTAATTATAGAAGTAATAACTTATTTTTATTTTGCAGCTGTATTTGATTTTGTCATTTTTTTTATTTTGCAGCTGTATTTGATTTTGTCATTTTTTTATTTTTTATCAAAAATTAATTACAATGAAAATATTTGGTATACTTATGCTGCTAGTTGGACTTGTACTTGGTACGGATAATATTTTAAATTTAAGTCAAGGAAAGATAAAAGGTAATATTTTTAAGTCGAGAAATGGACGGGAATTTCAAGCATTTCAGGGAATACCCTATGCCAAACCACCGATTGGGGATCTTAGATTGCAGGTATTTAAAGCATACATTCATGTTATGAAATTGCAAATCTGTATTGAGTTTAGTTGGTATTAATAAAAAGTGTAATTATTTTTTAGGATCCAGTAAAAGCGAATTCATGGAGTGGTATTTTAGATGCGACCAAGGAAAAACCAATGTGTATTCAAAAAAATTTGTTCATGTATCAAACATATAATAAACTTTTGGGTGACGAGGATTGTTTATATATCAATGTATATACTCCTAAGGTAATTGGATTAATTAAAAAAAAAAAAAATCATTCTGATAATAATGTTGTACGTAATATAAAAGTGAAATAATATTTTTCTAAAAATAATAAAAATTTAATTATTTTTTATTTATTAATATTACATTCAAGTAAATGTTCTAAATATGAGTTTATAACAGTTAATTAAAAGTAGACAAAATATATATATAAAAAAATGATAAAAATATAATAGGGAATATATTACTTAAAAATACATAGGTACAGTTGAATCACAAACTTATTAAATTATTTTTAATTTATTTGTTTATCTAATTTGTGTGCTTTTTTTATTATTATAATTATTTATAGGTCCAAAAAAAAAATAAAAATGATTTGCTCCCGGTTATGGTTTGGATCGCAGGTGGAGGATTTAGTTCAGGACATGGAGGTATGAGCTTATATGGTCCTCAATATTTGCTAGACAAGGATATTGTTGTTGCTTCATTTAACTATAGAGTTGGACCTCTAGGTAAATTATTTGAATACTTAGAAGTTAGAAGATTTAACTTTTTACTTATATAAATGACATTCGCATCTATCAAAAATAGCAATAAAAATATTAATATTTTTTTTTTTTTTTTTTTAGGGTTTTTAAGTACTGAAGACGATATATTACCAGGAAACTATGGTATGAAAGATCAAGTCTTAGCATTAAAGTGGGTTAAAAATAATATTGAAAAGTTTGGTGGAGATCCGAATAAAGTAACAATATTTGGCGAAAGTGCTGGATCAGCTAGTGTTGGATTACATTTATTATCTCCGCTGAGCAAAGGTAAACGCATATTTTCATTGTATACTTATTATTTGATATACTATTTTTTGCTTAAAATTTATTTTTAGGATTATTTCATAAAGCAATATTGGAAAGTGGGACTCCCCTTTGCCGATGGAGTGTATCTCCGCCAGGATGGGCTAAACGTAGAGCCTCAGCTCTAGCTACTATTTCTGGTTGTCCCCAAGACTCAAAACAGTTGACTAAATGTCTAAAAGATATGCCTGCAAAGATATTAGTAGATCTTCTTTACAATTTTTTTGTAAATAAAATTTTTATTTTTTTCATAAATTGCACATTCTTTTTTATTCTTTTGATTCTAAAAGTACATAAAAGGAATGTTACAGAATTTTATATTTAAATTGCACACAAAGATAATATTATTTAAAATAATACTAAAATATGTATAATTTAATCGATTATTTTATTTATTGTTTACTGTTTAGTATTTAATTACTAATATTTAGTAATTTAATTTTTATATTTAAATATATATAATACATTTGTATATATCAATATTCATTTTAAAATATGTTTTGTTTTATAGGAATGGAAAATATTTCCGGCAATCACTTTCATGCCCGTTGTAGAAAATTGTGAAAATAAAACAGGGTTTTTATGTAAATACCCTTTGCTTGATTTTAAACAAGAAACCAATGTTCCAATCTTAATGGGTATGAACTCCGGAGAAGGTGGTATTTTTGCTGCTCGTGAGTTATTTTATTGTTTTTTATTATTTATATTAATGATAATATTTTTTAATTATTATTCACGTTCCGCTTAAACAATTTATAAATGGAAATAAAACAATTTTATTGCAAGTCGTGTTTTAACTTTCAAGTAGATTAATTCTTATTTATTTATTAGTAGTTCATATTCTACAAAAGGAATTGAACTTAACGAAATAAATAAAATATAATTTAGTTTTTGTATAATCTTCTGACTTCAGACTATAAAATAAAATTCAACTTAAAATACGTATTGCTTAATAAAATAAAATTAATTCATGTACATACATGGTTATAGTTCAATTAGAAATTTTGTTTTTAATTAAAAGATTATAAATAAATAATATTTTTTTAAAAATGAGTGAAAAATAATAAAAATATATTTGTGTATATATGTACGTATATATATATATATATTTTTTTTTTTTAATAGGAGTTCATAATGAAAAATGTGAACTTGATCCTGAATTAAAGAATGATTTTGATTACTATATTTCATCGTTACTTATTTATAAATACACGACAAAGATGTCCGATCTTCCCATCATTAGTAAAAAGATTTATAATCGTTACTTCACTAAAGGCAATACGGATGGTCCTTTAAATTATGTTAAAGTTAGTATACTGACTTATGTAACAATATATTGTATTAAAAATAACGAAATATTTAAAATTTAAATTTAGTATACACTATTAAATATTTTAGAAAAATGTATCTATTACCTAATATATATTTCATTTCGTGTTTTTGTGCAGATGATTGGTGGTGGAATTTTTCTTCAAGGAGTATTTGATATGGCAACCAAATTATCATCACCGGTGTACTATTATATTTATAATTATACAAACGCGATGTCATTTAATTCAAATTATGGACCATGTAATACTAATTTAGGAGTAACACACGGTGATGAAATGATAAGTCTATTCTATGCCGATGGCCAGGCCGAATTAAAAGGGGAGGATCTCAATGTATCTAAGCTTATGGTTGATATATGGACTAGTTTTGCTATCACTGATAAGTACGTAATGATAGTTTTTAATATTTAATATGAGTGAAAAAATAAGCGTTTTATAATGATATTAGAAAACTTACGATTGATGGCACTAAAAAAGGAAAAAAATGGCCAAAGCTGGATTCCAAAAGTATGCAATATTCGTTGATCAGTTCAAGTAAACCCATCATATCTAAAAAGCCATTCATAGAAGAGTACGAATTTTGGAAAAGCTTACCATTATTATCAAAATTTGAGAAGACTGAAAAGGTTTTAAAAACTGAACTCTGATTTAAAAACAATCAAATGCAAGCTTATACTATTTTTTTTTTTTTTTTTTTTTTTGAAGTGTTATAATTAATTTTTAATTATTAATATAAATTGTATACAATATTCTATGAGGTAAAAATGTAAAAAATACCAAAATTATATAAATTTACATAACAATAATTATTGTAGATTAGTGTTTCTTAACCTCAAAAAATGGTTAATGGACGAATATAAGTAAAAAAACTCATAGCCCCTAAGTTTTCAAAAATCTTATACCGCTTCCCACCACAATTATTTTAAATAACTGATAACTTTATTTTTATAATCAGCTATTTAATTAAATTTAATACTTTAAGGTAATTTTTAGTTTTGATTAAAAATATCTACTGAAATATAAATCAAATTACTAAATTAAATAATTATAATTCGAATTGTATCATATGACAAGACCAAAAAGATAAAAGTAATTATGTTTATTAACATTTTTCTGTTATTTTAGTGTGTATAAACCATAAATATTATACTTATAGCATTTTGTTTATTATATTTGGTATCTTAAATTATTTTTTATTGTATGAAGTTTTAAATTTTATTGAAATAAATTATAAACAATAAAACAAAAAAGTATACATACTGAAAAACACTTCTTTTAATAATTTGAATTAAATATCTAATATCTATTTAATATTTAATATTATTAAGGATAGATTATGGACGGATAATTTATTTTTATTTAAGGTATGTAGACAAAAAAAAAAAAAAAAAATGTTTGAAAAATGTACTAATAAATGTACCTATTTATACATTTATTTCAGTAGAATACTATAATAGTTGATTGATGAATAAATTATATTTTATATATTTTATATATTCACTTAAATTACGATTTTAGATACAACTCACATAAGTACTACATTATCTTTATCTTTGGTTTTGAGTAATCAAAATAAATCGTATCGTAGTGTATTAGTAAAATATCATATGGCTGTGATTTACGTTATTTAGTAATTATTTATACTTATCTAATGTTTTACTTATATATATATATATAAGTAAGGAAGTAAAATCTAAGTGATTAAATTGCATAATTTAGAAGTATTTAAAAACATGTGGATTTTGCATTATTTATTAGACTTGATGAATATTTAAACCTAATTATCTTATACTTTTAAATTTGGGCACAGTGATGAATGCATACATTTTATAATATATATATTTTTGTGTCTGTATGCGACACGTAATTGAAAAAAATTCTTCAACTTTAATTACGACTTCTGATAGAAAATTTTATCTAGTTTGTATTTTATTTTTTCTTTAAATATCGATAACAATTTTTTCGTTGGGCTAAAATTCTTGAAAATGTAATACAAGGTTCTTTAAAAGTTATTCATTTATTAATTAAACTATTACAAAGTCACAATATTTTTTTATAAATGTCTAATTTAAAAATTTATCTTAATTCATAAAATTTTGAAAATTTGCAAATTACTTTTTAGTCAGAAATTGATAAAAATGTTTTTTATAACATCTAAGGTTAGGAAATTTAATGAAAAATTTCTTATAATTTTTTCTATACTAAAAACTAAAAACTACCACGATAACGAGTTTTCGGTGATTGATTACGTGACGTCAATAACTGAAGTAATAATGATTACTTAGGTGGATATCAGCGCAATATTAGTATTATCCTTCAGACCCTTGTAACACATAAATAATATACATTCACGTAAAATAAATTTTGAGACATTTGAATATTCTTATAGTAAAATTACCTATTTCAAAATTTATATTGGATAATATTTTTAAGGAAATCATTTATCAGTTTTATACTTCATTAATATTTGACTTTAAAAATTAAATGAAATGCCGTAAGTTTAAATAGGTATACATTTTTGAGACAATAATACTTTGACAAATCGACATGTTATTTCTTCATAAAGATTTGTGGTACAAATACATTAAAATTATTAATAATAATAATTACTCACTTTGGTCGAGGTAATATTATAAAAGAAAGTTGTTAACAAGACCAAATATTTGGAAAACAATATTGTTTAAAGAAAAAATAATATTTTAATGACAAATCATGCATTATTTTTAAACTACAGATGGCCGTTGGCTAGCTGTGTACTCCATATAAATTGAATAATTTTGTTTTATATTGCATTATAATTATTTCTATCTGATGAGCCAGAATGAATAAGACTGTAGGCAATAAGCATATTATGATCTTATAGCTAGTATAACTAACTAATACCTTTATGCTTTAATTCTATATTATAGTATGATATATTTTTATTATTAAGGTGAGATATACGCGTATGTTAATTTTTTTTTATTGCACATTTAACTCAGTAAAAATGTAACGAAAACAAATATTTTGAAAAAATTTAAATTGGGCCATTGGTAGTACTTGAAAGAATTTTCTGTTCTAATAATTTCCATTAGTAAATTAGTAAGTTTAGGAGGAAATTTTAAGATAGATTTTCAATAATTTTTAGGAATCTTAGCTCTTTTATAATAAAGTTTAAGAATATATACGCATATATGTTTCATTTATAATAAAATATAAAAATATTCAATACTTTCTGGTCTAACTGATAGAAACTTTATATAATCAAGTTTTTGATTTTAAATCAAAAATTTGCTGCATAAATATTATTATTTTTTTTTTAAAGTTTAAATACTAAAAATATAAATTGTAGGTAGGTACCTACTTTATAAATAATGTATAATTTTAATGTGGAAAATATTTTTTGTTTGTTTTTAACCTTTTTGAGGTTATTTGACGTAATGACAAGACCAGGAATTCTTAAACTTTTTTGTTCGCAAAGCCCTTAAATTCCTAAAAAAATTTACGGAGCCTCTCAAAATCAGGAATGTCTATTTGAAATAAAAATTGTGTAAATCGTAAATGATTTGCTTATTAATTTTTTTTTAAATATATATACAAAATGCTTAATTAATTTTATAGGGAAAAAAGGACTTATTATTTCAGTAATCTATACATTTTAATATTAGTTATTTTAAAATGATATATGATGTTGGTTTTTTCATTGGTCAGTATTTTAATATTTGGCTTGATAAATGAGAGTTGGATCCCATGTTTGTTTCAGGTTTTAATTTATTGCGATATAGATATGTTGCTAAAGGCCAAGTGTTAGTGCATATTTTTTAGCCAGAAATGTATATTCGTTAGTAATATTGCTACTACACTAAAAATTTGCTAATAATTACTCATCTATTAAAGTTTTCAAAAATGGATTGAGGGCCATTTCAATAAATTCTTCATATTCTGTTCTAGATAAGTTTCCAGGCTTATCGTTGATTAAAAATGGATTTTTAATCCAATTACATCGTTGGATAAATCCTATATCTTTATTCTCTGAAAATATATTTCTTATGATGATATTACTTCATTTAAATTTCGTTCGATTTCGTCATCAAATTCATCAAATTTTTCAAATATTTTTATTTTAATATATAATTAAAATAAAGATGTACCCACGGAGTCCATAGACTACTCTCGTGGAGCCTCTAAGATTCTGCGAAGCACAATTTGAGAACCGTTGGACTATGCTTCTAAACTCAAAATTAATCAAATTAGAGTAATTTCGATTTCAATGCATAATATATTTCTATAGTTTATCAAAAAATGTATACATGCATTTTTACTATTTAGTACAGTTGAAGAAATATTTTTCTGAAAATATTGCATTTGAAAATATTATATTATCAGTGTATGCATAAAATACAATACTATACATAAAAGTTTTACGCCCGCCCATGAATAATGTTTTTGAACTGCAATAAAATAATGAATTTTGTTATTCATAAATTAAAAATTAAATTTTGTTCAAATTTGAACCTAAAATTTTTATGAAAAATATTTACGTTTTTTAGATTTTTTTAGCTTTATTATGGATTATTTATGAGGAACTTTACATTAAATTTTCAAACCTCAACTATCAAAAAAGATAGAAAAGTGAGTACCGCTTTATTGTAAATATGGTGTCGAGTAGGTTACTATTATGGGCGAGTTAAATTTGAATTAAATGATATATCATTGAATACAAAAAACGATATTGAGCAGAGACGATCTGTATGCCTATATCACAAAGCATATTTCGTAATATAACAAATAAAGTAATTTATTTTACTTTTATTATTACAGTACATTGATATGTTTTTCCGAAAATATTGCATTTATTATATTATTATTATTTAATTATTATAATAATATATATATACTATATTGTACCTATTAACTTATATAACTCAAAATGTAATAACAACTTTCTGTAAATACCGTAGAACAGTGAAAACAGATTCATAGTATATATTATAGATAATGATATCTTAAAAGAAAAAAAAATGTTACTGCGTATAGTAAAATTCATGATAACATAATACATGTAACATTTTTAAGTTCTCACGTATAATGTTTTTAAATTATAATAAAGTAAGAAAAATAAATGTTTAAATATTTTTAAGTAACATTGTAATTTATTGTTTAAATAAGTAATTTCGTTGTTAAAATTTGGTCTTAAAATCTATACAAAAAAAAAAAAAAATCATGTTTATATTGTTATGCAATATAAGAACTTAAAATGCCTATAAAAATTAATTATCATTATACATGTTTTAATTATTTTATACTTATAAAGAATCTTGGATTACATTTTTAAAACTTAAAAAGGTAATTAAAGAAAATTTTTATGAATTTCGAATTACAAAATCATTTGCTAATTTTCACGGTTCTTATGAATTTTGTCAAAATGATTTATGATTCACACAGAAAAAATGAGGTTTAATTTAATATATAAATATTTTTTTTAAATGCAGTTAAACTCGTCAGTTGTTCTGTGTTTAAGATACAATAATAGTAAAACCTTATAAATATTTATTTATGTTCGAATATTTTGTATGACTAAACTAAATCGTTGACGTGCGCGTGTAAACAAGTCATTTTTCAAAAACCATGTTGTTTCGATGTAGGGCAAAATTACGAGTAACAAAATGATAGGCACATGTTAATATATAAATAAATAATAATATTGAAATTGATCGCTTAAAACTTATATAACGATAACAACATAATTAAATTTATTACCACCATGTTTAAATTGATATATATATATATATATATATATATATATATATATATCTACGGAAAATTTAAAATAATTATTCAAAAATGTGATTTAAAAGGAGTTTATCTCCCGATTGACCTCTATAAACCGGTTTCACTACACATATATAGATAGTGTTAACCATGTTTATATTATTATTATATACCATATAAGTGGTTAGAGACATTCATATACGTTAATCGTAAAAATATATTCTATAGTGGTGGAAGACCGGCCGTGCGGATAAAATAATATTATTGGTATACTGTACGGTTAATCATTCTATAGAGAGATGTGTATAGACGCCAGTTGAGCTGAAGCTCCGGCAGCGAGTTCATCTCACCGGTTACTTACTATACGACATAATATTTCTTATTGCACCATCGACTATTGAACATGTTCGGCACAAAGATGCAAGTGAGTGTCTATTGCGTTATATTGTACAATAATATTTATGTAACGTACTCACATTTTGTCCGCTTATATTTTTTCCCAAAATATACGTATTTTTTAAGTTCATTAAACAATGGATTGAATTCTCTCTGTTTATATACTTTAAAATAATTATTGTAAGCATCCTAGTATAATATAAAAAATCTATTTAAGTTATGAAAACAATACATTTTCACTTGTTTGTTTCTTTTAAGAATTATTTCATACTCGTGACTAGGTTACTATCAATCCTAAACGTGTGTCCTCATAGGTTTGACGTTTAACAATTATTAATCTTTATTTTTTAGAGAAAAACGCTGGATTTGCGATACAATGAGATGTGGAACGATTGGGATGGTACGACTGAACATCAAATTCCAAAGAAGTATGTTCATGGACATTTGGTGTTGTCTTGGAAAAAAATTAATGTACACGTGAAACAAATCAACAAAGCATTTTTCCGAAGATCGAAAATCTCGTACAAGCAAATATTACACAACGGTGAATATGAAATGTTGTCTCTTGGCTGGTTTCGGGGTTATGTTTATTTACGCTATTTTTAAATTAAAAATAATATTTAATAATGTTTGTAACGGCATGGGAATATGATAAAAACGTCTTTTAAATATATTTTATAAGCATCAGGTATGTAGTACTGTAGTAACTAAGTATATAGATTAAATATAAAGGTATACTTCAAACAAGAAAAAAATAATATAAATAAATTCCAAACTAAGTAGGTACCTATAATATGTTCAATATTTATATCGACGTTATTCATTCAGTGTCATGGCCAAAACGCCATATTTTGTATATTATTTTTTATCAACAAATAATGTTTTATTTTTAATATGTATTTATAAATCTAATAAAAAATTATATTAATCTTTATTAAAATCTATTTAAAAGTTAATATTATACGATAATAAATAATAATAATAATTAAATTTCGTTACGTATGAATTGTTTAAATTATTGGAATCATGTAAAAACAAATAATAACATACCTATTAGTAACATAATGAATTAAGATCCAATGTTTAAAAAAAATAAAAATATTTGTTTTCCTAATTCATAGTATTAAATAAAGAATTCTATTTAATTTATTTGTTTACATAAATACCTATGTAAGTTAAAGTACAGACGTTCATTTTTAAATTATATTAAAATAAAAGTCAAAACAATAACAATTTGGATGGTGTATATTATTATAACACGTTAATTATATAGTTTATTAAACATATTACCAACAACTAAAATAGTTTATCACAGTGGCTTGTTACAACTAATAAGATTAAATTAAACTTTAAATTTGAAGGCTATAAGATTTTATTTACATTATCATATAAATTATTCTTTAAATTTAACTGTATATTTGAATGATATGATTAGAACAAAATAAACTTTGATATTATAGTATACAAAGTGATTTGTGAAGGGTGGTTATCAAACATTCTCAGCCACATTATTTATACTTTGATTAAGTAATTGTTCAATTTCTGATTTTTTAGGTTATAAGAAAGAATTATAAAGAAATGTATAGGGGGTTTTAAGAGTGTTTTTATGAAAATATGAACTTTTTATTTAAATGGAAACTAACTTTTTTGTATCGTAAATTGTTGAGTAGATGAATTTTTTAAAAATATTTACACATGAATCGAACTTTGAAAGATATTTTTTATTATTTTTAACTTTATGTTTTAAGGATAATAGGACATCATATGGATTATTTTAAAGTGAGTTTCATTAAATAATATTATTCTATTCTTTAATTTTATAATGTGTAAAAATATTTCGAGTACTTGCACAATAACTATTAAGTATATACTATAATAAATATTTTATAAATAACCATTATTTAGGAATTGAATCCTTAGAGATAAACTCGTTCGAATCTTAATTTAAATACATCAGAATATTTAAAAAAAATTATCTGCTTAATATTTAACAGTAAAATAGGGCAACTATTATTTGAAAAAAAAAAATAAGCATTAAAGTATACAATATGTTCCTAATGAAATTCCAAAGATCAAAATAATTTGAATAAATGCGTTATTGTGGAATAAAAAGAGTGATTTAATTTATTAATGGTTCTTAGGATTTGATAATTTTACTACACCCTCCTTCAAAAAAAAAAAAAAAAAGAAAGAGAAAATCATATTATTGAAATACATAATATTATATACATTTGTTTTTGTAATTAAACTTTAACAGTTAAACACTTCAATAGGCTAGGGGAATTACCTATATTGTAAAAATAAATAATCACACAGGGAAGAATAATAATTTATTATTTAAAAAAAGCCAGTCAACAATTTTGCCTATTTTCGTAAAATCTGAAATGACGTCACTGATTGAAAAATAAGATGGCAATCATAAATAATGTGATATATAGGTACATAATATATGATACTGTTTTACTGACATTAAATTAATTATATTTTACTTTTTCGTTTATCTAATATTTTTTTTAAAGTAGCCAGAATTTATCTTAAGTTTTTAGTAATATGACTTATGAGTTAATTTTTAAAGACTTTTAGTAATGGAATATGAACTATATTTAATTTAGAATTATTAATGATTGAACTACATATTACGTTAGGAAAACAGATATAATTAATTTACGCAATTTTTTTTACTAGGTAATTGTTTCATATAAAAGTATACTATTAAAAATTTCAAAAAATAAATAATTTAAAGATTATTGTATCTTTATGTAATCTATTTTTCTTCTTAATTCCCTCATTCATAATGAACTGAGGCTAGGAAATATACTTCGAAATAATCTTAACTTTTGGTATGTTTTTTAAAAATTTAATTTTCTACAATATAGTAATACTTAACCAAACTATATTATTGACCAAAATTCTAATACATATTAATTATAAAAATGTTTAACCTTAATCCGTAATATAATACGTTGTTAAACTCATACTTTATAGACTCGGGAATTCCGTCAAATCTGTTAGATTGGTACGAAATCACATAATATATTGTCTATTGATAAAATATTATAATTATGATCTTAATTATTATAATTACTTTTTTTATTTAAGTAATATATTGATTTATGATGATAGATAACGTTAAATAGCGGCATTCAAAAGAAGCATTGATAAAAATAATAACATTATTCTTATTAGAAAATACTCATTAAAATAAACTATATAATTTAATTAAAATTTTTTATTTATCTAATAGTTAAAACTTACTTAAATATTTAAGTAATTTACTTCTGTGAATTAAAAATAAACATACTTAATTTGTTCTTAATGCTTTTCAAAACAAAGTAATATTTTGTTCATATCACATATTTACTAATTGGATGTTTTAAATATTTTCAGTTAGTGGGAACGTAGAATGTGGAAACCTTCTTGGAATAATGGGTCCAAGGTATTCATTAATTAATTTTAATTTTTAATACATCAAAATATTATTTTTGTATTTATATTATATAATATTTTTTATTTAGTGGTTCAGGAAAAACTACATTAATGTCCACTATAAGCCACCGAACTAAAGGTAAGTAAGGCATTTCTGTTGAAGTGATTTTATTTTTGTTTATTACTTTTCTATTTTCAGGAAATTTTGAAGGAGAATTATTACTAAATGGACGACCAATATCTGAAGAAGTCATGATTAAGATATCAGGTTTTGTTCCTCAACACGATATCAGTTTTGATCAGTTGACAGCATTGGAACACTTGTCTCTGATGGTATTAAAATAGCGCTGTAATATTTTATAAAAATAAATTTCACTGTATGTTCATCTTACTGTTTCAAGGCCAATTTGAAAGTTTCTTGCAATACAAGTAAAATAGCTTTAAAAGAACACATTGATGAAATAATTTCGACGTTGGGCATGAATAAGTTCTTGAACACAAGAATATCGTTTTTATCTGGAGGAGAACGGAAAAAAATTGCACTCGCAGTTCAGTTATTAAATAATCCACCTATACTGTTTTGTGACGAAATAACGACGGGTCTAGACAGTTACTCTGCTGCGCATATTGTTAACACTTTAAAAAGTGTCGCACGAATGGGAAAAATTGTGATATGCACCATTCATCAACCAGCGTCTGGTGTATTTGGAAAATTTGACGAAGTAATATTGTTATCAAATGGACTATTAGCATATCAAGGTCCAGTCACCATGGTCCATCAGTTATTCCAAAAGTATACTTCAAATTTTTATATTCCCGATAATTTTTTAAAAACAATTGTGTTTGATATGATTTAGGTTCAATTATGAATGTCCGGATATGTTCAATGAAGCTGACTTTGTGATTTCTATTCTTAATTCTGAAAATGAAAAAGTGAAAAGAAATGTAAAAGAAATGTGCAAGTTAACATCAACAGATCAACAAATAAATTTAAACTATGATTTATTTAACACTCAAGTAAACATAATTAGTTTAGTTTAAGATATAACTGTGTTTATCCTTTTACGAATAATGTATTTATTTACAATATTTTCAGACTAAATTTGATCCTCAACATTTAGAAACATTAGAAACGTAAGTAAACGTGTGTTCTTTTTAAATGAATTACTCCATGTGTTTTAAATAATAATAGTAAATAAATATTTTATATATCTTATTACTTTTTTTTTTATTTAGGCAAAATCCAACGTGGTTAACACAGTTCAAATTGATTTTTAATAGATCTGTCAAATGTTTTGCAAGAAGTTATGGAAATAATCTACTGCAACTGGGAACTATTTGGGTAATCACTAAAAAACGAATAGTTTTTTCCATTAATATTAATTTCAATTTATTAAGTTAAAAAAAAAAAAACATCTATTTTATATTATCTTACTTAATCTAATATTTATAAGAAAAATAACGATTTTTCATTTAACGATTTTAGTTATTTTAATAAAGTAAAATAAGCATATTTAATGAATTTTTCTGTATACCAATTAATATATTATTGAAAAATTATATTAAGACAAGTAAAAAACTGGTTTTTATTCGATAAATTTTATTTGGACACAATACTCACCTACTACAGACATAAATGTGAAAATGCAAAACGCATAGTATTTATAAAATATATTTAAATTTTATACTGTGCATTAACTTATGCTCTCTACAATGGCTCTGAGAACGTTCTTAAAAATTTAGTTTAGTATTTGTACGTGTTTTTTTTAATTTGATTTAAAAATGTTTTACATGGTTGTTTTTTTAAAGTATTTATTATGTTTATAGTTTTTGGGTGTCATTATTTCTGCTCCGTTTGCGAATTTGCAGTTAGATACTCAAGCAGTACAAAATTGGGAAGGTTTTTGGTTGATATTTGTCATTAATTTCATATTCCACTTCTTTTATTCTGCTATTCCATCATATCAAATTAAATTTGCAATTGTCCACCGAGAAGTTCACAATAAAATATATCAATTGAGTGCATATTATACGTCTGAATTGATTATAATGGTATGCAACGTGATAATCTGTATTGATTATAATATAATAACTATAACATAAAAATATTTTTCTTAAAGGTTTTATGGATATTGGTAAAAGTGCTATTTTACTGTGTTTCTGCGTTCTTTATTGTTGGTGCTAATCTAAGTATCTTGCGATTATTGGTGTTTTATATATTAGCGTTGGCAGCCTTTTCATTTGGTAATTATACTTGAATTAACAATTTATTATATAATATTGATTTCAATTTAAAAATGAAAGATGATACAAACTGTATATAACTATAGTAAGATATTTTTACACATATATATCCAAATGTGCTAATAAAAAAAAAAATTTTGAAAATTATACAAAGTGAAATATAAATTACTAAAATTAATAATAGTTATAAGTAAATATATTTTATTCTTATCATTTATTACTTATTAGTTTTCAATAGTTATTTTATTGATATTATTGTCATTACAGGAAGTTTGGTGTCAGCATATTTTAATCAAATAGAAAACACTTTAATATTTGCAACAATATGTGATTTCATAACATTGTCTTTCAGTGGTGCATATCTATCATTTATGTAAGTTTATATTCAGTTGATAATATTAACTTAAATTAAGCTAATGAATATTTATAATTGTATTTTTAAAAATTAGGTCTTTACCAAAAGTGATATATTCTCTAAGATACTTTTCGCTATTCTTTCTTGGTTGTGAATCAGTATCAGTTTTATTTTGGGACACCGTCAAAACTTTACGTGAGTATATTATTTAATTGATAATTTATGATTCAGTTTCAAGTAATTTTTTCTTAATAACAATATTTTTTGTGTGTTTGTAGCGTGTATTGATGTTACTAACTGTTTGAATAGCGGGAAAGCAGTATTAAGAAAATATGGTTATAAAAGTAGTGAATTATATTCAAACATAATGATATTAGTTATATATATTATATTAACAAATATATTTGGTTACTTCAGTGTTCTTAAAAGGTTGAAAAAACAACCAGCCTATTAAATATAACAAATATATATATATATATATATATAATATGTATGTAATTAATTACACGTACTATGTAATGAAAAATAAAATATACTATCATTAAACATTTATATTAATGATTAAGGTATACTTTCAATAACTAAATATTTTTGTAATTGTATATATTTGATGTTATTTAAAATATGTAATTAATAAATAGAATTATAATTGATATTTTAAAACATGTTCAATAAAGTTTTATAGAAATCATTTTATATAATGTGGAATTGTTGAAACAGTATTATACTTTCCTATTGATTTTATGATTACAAAATTAATCTGAAATAGTTCCATAATTTAAATTATATATTAATGTAATAAAGGCATGTGATACACAAATCTATATATCTATATTATCTATCATATATGTACCGATACCGGTATAATTTATTGATTCCTCAAATTGTATACATACATTATATATTTAAAACAATAAATAAATAACACAAATATATATAATTTAATAATCTTATAATTATGTTCAATGATTTAAAATTTTTGTTATCATCAAGTAAAATTAATTTTAGATTTTATAGTTTTGAATTTTTTCTAATTATTTTGAAAATTATTCACTTGAACTCGTTGTGTAACAGAGTTTTTATTTATTTATTTTTTTTAAATAATAAATAATTATATATTTGTTAAATAATAGAACAATAGTGAATTTTTACGTACATTTAAAATAGATAGTTAGGAAAAGTTCTTCAATCGGTCGTTTTAGTGGGCAGTGCATCTTGTAATCTTTTATTTTCATCCGAAAGTATCGAAAACTTTTCGTCGTACTTAACGCGCATATTTTCAAAACGTTCAGATTGTTGTTTATATTCAGATCTGAGTTCATCATTTAATCTGAAAATCATATTATTTTTCTCATAAGAACACATTTAATTTAAATAATAAATATATCGTACTTTGTTGTTAAGATATATGTATTTTTAATCAATCAAATTATACATAGAATTTTCTAAACCACTGTTGTTTTTTATCAATGTGTGTTAAAACTTAAAAGTTAAGTACATTTTTAATGTAGCACAAGTATAGCTTTTAAAATGTGATGCTGTGATAATGTTTTTCTTTTATATTATATATCTACTATATTGTGACATTGTGTAGGTACATTTAAAAACAAGTATGTATGTGTATTACTATTATTAACATGTAATAAAAACTGAAGAATTTAAATATATTATACGTTGATAAAAATGTTTATAGAAAATGTTTTATGTATATACATATATATATATAATGAATACATTTAAAACTATTTAAATCTTACTATTAATTATAAACTTATAAAAAATCGTTATTCTTAAATTTGATAATTTGATTATAAGCTTCATCTTTAAAAGCAAATGAAACAACTAACGTTGAATCATAATGTAATTTACTTGTAATGCATCGTGTAATGCTCTTATGGATTCGTTTGAAATAATTTTAATTATATACTTACTTAGCAGCTAAATTCATTTTTTCAATTATTGCACTGTGACGACTTCTCTCCTCGTTAATTTTGCCTTGAAGACTTTCCAAATCTTCCGTCATACGATTCACTTCTGTATTACGAATAGACAGCATATGCTTTGTGATGTCCACAACTTCTTTCAATGAATTCGTCTGCAAAAAAAGAATTACATGGTGTATGTGTATTATTATGTAAAAGATAACAATATATAAAATGTTTCAACGCGCAGTCAGTTATTTTTTTTTTGAAACATGGCTTATGGAAAATTATTAAAAGTCACAATATTTTTTAATTATTTATTTAAACTTAAATATTTAAAAAAAAAAAAAATAATAATATTTTGTTTGATATTTAAAAAAAAATTGATTGAGATAGCTAATTCATAATTGTGCTAATAATTTATATAAATTTTTAATAATTGAATCACTAATTTCTATTAGGTGTCATAAGACTAATAAGTTATTAGTAATAACTAATAAGAGTAAGTTACATACATTTTAAAATTTCTAAAAGAGGTGGATAAATGTTAGGGTGTATAAATCGTAGGAGGATAGGAAAGTATGAGTATAAATATTATATTATTATGAATATGTGCTATCCCTTATTACTTTATATGTATAATTAATTTATGATATTAGGTTAATATCATACAAACTTGTAATGTGAGCGCTTCAATATGTTTTTCTTGTGTGACGCATCGGTCAGCCTTTTCTTTTAACATATCAATCACTTTAACTAAAAATTTTTGTAGGTTTCTGTTCTGTTTTTTCAAATCTTCAGGAGATAAATCAGTCACGTCACGTAAAACTTCTCCAATGTCTCCCATATCCTACAAAACATTTACCGTTTTTACAACAGAAAATATAAAAAATTATTAAATTAATACATTTATTGTACGTGTTAATGAAATGTATAGCGATTAGTTTAACAGAAACCTATAAGAGAAAGAAAAATACGAGCAATTACAAAAACTATGAAACGTTAGACAATTGAAAATTATTAAGGTTTTTAAAATTTGAAATTCTTTAACAATTCTGTATGGTTGTTGGTTATTAATTTTTATGCTTATAGTTAATAGTTATAGTATATTTTAAAAATTAATCACATATTTATACCTTAACGGATCCGTGGTTAGAGGTGTCCATAATATTATTTGATGAACACGAAGCACACACAACAATATTAAATTTGTAAAACTAATGCAGTCAACTATCTTACTCGATGATGAATAAGGTATGTGCGTTAAACGAAAGCCTAAAAATCAAAATATGTTATATGTTTTAGAATAGCCAGTGATCCACATTCGTTGGCTTGGAATAATGCCAACCAATTGGCTTAAAAATAACTTCAAGTCAAGGGCCCTCCTTGTGGTATTGTTTGTAAAAACGTCAAAACGACCTCAGGAATGATACAATATTTTAATCATTTAGTTTTTAATACATTTAATATATGAGTGTTATGGGAGCAATAGAAGTATCACTGTCTAGATTAACGTAAGTACAATATAATGGATTTTAAAAATTTGCAACACGTATGATATTTCAATATTTAAAATCAACATATTATTTTTATAACTGCAGTAATTTATAATACTAAAAATTATTTTATTCTTTATAGCTAACCTTAATTTCTTCAAAATCTACAATACAAAGATACATGATTTCGATTGAGTAAAACAAGTACAACAGTCACTCGATAATTCGAAATTCAGGGGACCTAGTTAAAAATTCGATTTATAGAAGTTTTTGATTACTGAGTGTTCGAATAATTGAAGGAAAAAAAATTGATTCAAATTAAAGAGAGGTCAAAAATTATTGTATGTATGTACATATTACATTTATTTTGACATTTATTTATTATACATACATACATATTATTATATATTTTTACAATTATTAATTGACATTTATTTATTATATTATTATATTATTATATTTTACATATTAAAGAAATCTGTTATTTTTTTTGTGATAAATTGCTGGCCACAATTTAGTTCATAGCGTTGTTTAACTTACTGATAGCATTATAAATTGTATCGCATTTTTTTTCATTCATTTCAGAATATTCAAAAAATTTAGGTAATCCTGACAAAAGTTTAGATTAATTAGGTTAGGTATGATAACGTTTATGAGCTTCGATAATATTTAACCACCGTCGTTATTAGTATTGTTATAGATTGTATGTATAATCTTTATATGTATGTACATTTATTACCATACAGGATAGTTTAAAATTTATATAATACAGGCATACAGCCATTATATTATAAAATATTTAAAAAATAAAAAATGTATAATACGAAATTTTTTATTTAGAAACATCTAAAACAGTTCGTAAAATTTAAATTTAGTTACAATATTTTAAAAGAGGAGATTGAAGGTAAATATTAGAAATTTATACAATAGTTTATACTTTTTTTGTGAATAGAGTGTAATTTTTTAATACATTTTAGTGATTGTACTACATTAATTAATGCAAAACTCTAGATAGCGATTTAGTTTTTAGAAATTTTATTTTGATCACACACCACTAAGTAGCTAATGGTGGTATCCATTACACGTTATTATTATTTATTTTCACATTATTATTTTCACGAGTCCAAATTAAAAATTCAAAGTTTCATAACACGCTTTTAACATTATCACAGTGTTATCTTCATGAACACTAGTTTTCGACTTTTAGTCATAATATTTATTTTAGACATATATTTTATTACTTTTGTTTAAAATTACAATATAATCAATAAATAAAAATACTATGAATAAAATTTGGTTATCTATACAAAATTAGTATTTGAACAACTATTATCTCAATCTTACAAAATTTACAATATCCTGTATATTCAAATATTTTTTATGATGTAGGTGCTTTAAAATAACTTTAAATATTAATTAGGTATACGATTTTAAAACTTAATTAGTTCGTTTAACAAAGACAAGAAAATAAAATTGAAATATAATTTATTGAAATTTAATTTATCAGTTTTTTGTATTTTCTGAGCTATCAGTCTATACTATTTATTCTATTGCAATAAAAGTTATACAACACGCTAGATTACAAAATTACGTATAATACGAAAAAAAATATTTTATAAATACCTATACAAACAGCTATAAATATTATAATAAGGTAATGTGATTACTTACTAAGCTATTAAATTTTTGAAATAATTTATTGAATAAATATTTTTGTTTAATATTTATCTGTATTAATTTGTATACTATAAAATTATAGTTAAAGTATTTAACAACGATAATTCATCATAAATTAACTACACCTTTCAGTTATATAATATAGTTTATATTGATATTTACTTTAAATAAAGTGTATAATGATAGATGAGCAAGCGGAATCAACAATCAACATATAAAAATATTCAACGGATTCGATGATCGTAAGTTTCTACCAGGTAAAAAGGTCATTTTAGCGGAATTGATGCATGCTCCTTAGTCGATCGATACGAACTTTTTAATCATAATCATTAGAGCGTTATTATTAACTCCGCGTTTTAGTCATATCTCACTAAAAGATTAATGAAAAATAAAACTACATTGATTAAATATTAGTTAACGCTGATTAACCATTTATTAATTAAGATAATTAATGCTATTATTATTTTTTGTGATAAAAATTGAAAATAGATTGTAGTTTTTGATTCTCATCACAAAATAACTGACGTCATTTATTTGTTTTAACTCTTAAAATACATTTACTTGCATATGAATTTATCCTTCTTAACATTGTTTTTTTGACGTATCAATTTATATTAATGATGCAATAAATGCAAAATCATCAGCATTCAATTTCTATTCATTATTTATTTTATATTTTTATTTAATACTCTTACTATGGTCACAGAGTACATTTACATATGGGTGTCCCTGAAACGTATGCACTTTTCAGTGGCGGAGTTAGGGGGGGGGGGGGGGGGCAAAAGGCTTACCTCAAAATGAAAAATACAATTTAGAATGGAGCATAATATTTTACATTTTATTAGTCACAGACCACAGTGACACAGTAGGTACACGTTTCACAACTATAAATAAATTCCGTGCATGTTCTACGCGTCCCCATCGTTTTGTAATTTCCAATAATTAAATTTAAACTCGACGGTGTAGAATTACTGTAGATCAGCGGTTCCCAAACTGTGCACCGCGATCTACGTTTCATTGGTTCTCAAAGAGTACTTTTTTTGTTCTATCTTTCATGTTATATACAGCAGGGCATCGTAGCTAACTTGATGCCCCTAAAAGGACACCGCGGAAAAAAAAGTTTGGGAACCGCTACTGTAGATGATAACGAATAACGATAAAGCCTACTATAGTCCTTACGATATACATGATACACCATTATACTTTATACTTATATATTCATTTTTATTATGATTAGTTGATTAGGTATACCAAAACGTCCAAAACCAATTTATTACAATTTTGTGGAAATCATAATAATATTAAAATTTATCAAGGGTTTTTTATTCCTGTAAGAAAAAATGTGTTTAATTTTGAAAGACTGTAATAACATTTTTTATTAAAATTTGAAATGTAGAGTTTTTATGTATTTTCATATTATCATTTATTAAAAATGTATCGAAAAAAATTTCTTTGGCAGTGTATAGAATATAGACAGTCAAAACGTCGTATAATATTCAAGCAATTTTTTTCCAAATAGCATGCCTCCTACTTCTTTTCCCCCCAAAAAACTAATAAGTATGTTACATGATTGGCAACCTCCGGAATAAAAACTTATATACGTCACTGGCTCTTTTTTATATTATAAACACATACATTGTATGCATTTTTAATCCTTTTACCATTATAATATTAGTATAGCAAAACAATTAAAATGAAAGAAAAATAATGTAAATTGTGCATATTTAATATTTAAAAATAGTTCATTTCAACATATGTTTGAGTATTTATAACTTTTGAATTATTAAATTAATTTTGAATCTTAAAAAAAATACGCTTAAAATCCTGCGCCAAAACAAATGTCGCCAAATCCTTAGATCGAAATGGTTACGTCCAAACGGTCACTACACACAGTCATGGCAACATATCTCATTCTTCTGTAAAAGTTATATTTAATTTTTAATAGTAATTACCGATAGATATATGGTAGAAAAACTAAAACAAAAATATTATCATATTTGAATACAATTATAATTAATTTTTTTCTAATTATCATAATAACCATTAAAATTGTAGAACATTTATTTTTACCTTACTTATTTCTCGCTGACCATTTCTTTTCTACTCAAATTCACTAGCCAATGAGAAGAATCCATTGTCTGAAATTTTTTTAGAGTATTTCTAACTGCAAAATACCAAATTATTCCAATGATAGTGCAGAGGAGCATTTCTATGTAATAACCATTCACTATTATAATACAATCGCCTTTACTTGCTTTACACGTCTAAATAAATATATAACATAATACGTATAGTTAATTATAAATAAAGTACTCATAAGTTCAAAATTTAGTATCTAATTAATCGTTATTATTAATAAATAACAGTTTTATAAAATGTAAATAAAATTGTTTTTATTAAAATATATAGTTTTGAAATATTATTATTAAAAGGTTTGTTATCACTACTACCGCCTGTTTAATTAATATTTAAATCAATATTGTTAAATATGTTTATTCTATATCAGTTTGAATTTTAGATTCCGAACGGAACAAAAATTGTATAGATTTTATAATGGCATGTGTTTTTTTTGTGTCTGGAAACATTTTTTATAGTAGAAAACATGCTTACATTTTCTAATAGAAAAATGAATCTAATTAGTACCTGAAAGATCCAGAGAAACAATCTCAAATACTTTTCTCGATAATTGAGAAAGAAGTAAGAAAAACTGAAATTTCTATGCAAAATCTATTTTCTTATTGTCTTAATTCATAAAAAATTAATCGTAGATACACGAAATTCTTACCAAGTATTTACACATTTTCTGTACAAAATATAATTTTTAAAACATTTTGATTAATTCTGAAATATTTATAGATATTTTATATTTTTAGCTTTATTTAGTTTTTTTTATAATAATATCGATAGAAAAATTTTATTTTTTTCAAAATATGTTGAGCTTTTAATTCAAATTTCTATAAAGTTTTATTTTAGCCATTTAAAATTATTATTAATACAAATACATAGTTTTTTGTAAGCATTTTAAGTTTAAATTTCGACCAAACCATGAATATTTTCAAAGTATTTTATAGCTAAAAATTTAAAAAATGTTAAATTTTTATTTTATTTTTTTTATTAACAAAAAAAAAAAAACAATTCGTGGCTACTAAGGTTATTTGACGTAGCATAAATTATAAATTGTACATTATTTTACTAAATTATAAAGTAATTGGGAGTTAGATTATATAATATAAATGAAAATAAAAAAAAACAAATATATATATATATATATATATATATAAATGAGATACTAATATAAGATTATACAAAATAATTAGGGGAAGTAGCTTTATATACATAGTTAAAGGTGGTATGAGATGCTTGTTAGATTAGTTAGATTAGATTTGTTGTTGCGAGGAATTGGCAGAATTTATTGATGCTGGATAGTTCGGAGTTTGGGGATTCCGCGAGGTGATCCGATATTTGCATCGTGTCTTTCTTAGTGCTGTAGACACCGTACTCGGTGAGTATGTGTTTTACGGTGAAAGGAATTCCGCAGCATGCGCAGATTGGTGGTCCTTCTTTCTTCATAAGATATGTATGAGTGAGGCGAATGTACCAGATTTTGAGCCGGTTTATGGCAATCTCATATTTGCGAGGGGTAATTATGGGGAAATTCCAAGGTATTTTTTTCTTTATTTCGTTGAGTCTTGTGTTCATTTTTTGCCATTTGTTCTCCCATAGGCGCCAGGCGGAGTGTGTCCATTTTAATGAAATTTGTTATGTCGGAGTGGGAAAAAATAGGTGAGATACCTGTGTCGGGTGAAGAGTGGACTAGTTTGGTGGCTTTGTCCGTTGTCGGCATGTTCATTGCCCTCAATACAACAATGGCCAGGGATCCAGAAATATGAAATATTTTTGTCGTACGAAAGTGTTAAAAAATGGGCGTTCTGAATTTTATCGTCTATGTCGGTAGGATTGTGTCGATTTTGTAGGCTGGTAAGGGAAGATAGAGAATCGCTGTGTATTGTTATGTTGGTGGTGTTTATTTCTGATGCTGGGAATTCGTAAATTTTTATTTTTTTAACTTGAAAATTGAATACAAATTCTTTCAATTTTGTATACACAATAACTTGTTTAAACACTTAAATTAACTGTATGAAATTGTCTATTTATATCAAGAAGCTATTCACAAAGTTTTACGATATAAATTAGTTAATAATAATAATAAAAATATAATAACTAATAATATTAGAAATGCAATATTTACGGGAAAAATGAATTCAACCTTCTATATTGACTGTATTACTAATCATAAAATAAATTATTTTACCCGCAGTTTAAGTATATCATAAAATATACTTAATAATATAAGCTGATAGACCATCTTCGCTCAGAATTGTTTTTCGTATACAATGGATTATTAGTTAGTTAATATGTAATATTAATTTTACTGTGACTTATATTTAATGATAATGGAGATTATGTCATTGGACCGATAATTGACAGACAGTTACTTAACATGAAAACTTTTAAAAATTGAGTCGATTTGGAGATTTCTAAATATGTCATATAATTGGTACTATATACACACAATGGCAGTTGTAATATAAAAAATAATAATTATCGTTTTCATAGATGATAACCTTATGTCCTTGGATATATATAATTTTATGTAATCGATATTTTGTATCATCTGTCGGGTTATTGTTTTTTACAGTTTATTAATAGCCAATGCAGATACCCAAGAAATAATTTATAAAAACTATAAAAAGTTTGGAAATATGTTGGTCCATTAGTTATGGGACCATCCACCATTTTCTATGACCATGTACACTCGATATCTCTTATTTAGCAGACCGGTTATCTACTTCCATCTCCTTTTTTATTTTGAACCATAACCATTCAACAGATTTCAATACAAGATACTGATTAATGAATTAAAAAAAATAATACTTAAGCTTAACTTAAATTAATATTAGTTAATTAAATAACACTCAATGAAATATTATTCAGTCAGATATTTTTGTCGACAACTAGTAAATGGTATCAAAAATAACCTAGTAGGTATTAAATTCTCATCTTATAGAATAATATAATTTTATTAAAATTGTATAATATCTTACATTTTGAAGATTTAGTGTAGAACAATTATTTGTAGAATCCAGTGAACATTTTTTGAACGTCAATAGATCAATCATTCCTAGTGCAACAGTAGACGTCCACATATACGCTAAATTTCCAAAAGTATTCAATAACGTCATATAAGTAGAACCAATACGGTAATCACTTACTCGAGCAAAAAATGATAATATAGCTATAAACATAGCATGCATTAAAATCTATAAAATATATACATAAAGATTATTAATTTTATCACATTTACTGATTTTAATAAATAAATTAAAAGTTAATTTTATTTAAACTGATAATTAAGTATCCCGATACCAATAATAATTCTTCAACTCGAGTAAAAACACTTATATTATACTTAATTAACAATGTAAAATTTGAAGTATTAATACCTACTTAAGTAATTATAACTCACTTGATGTATTGATGATAAAAATACGAGAAGTGGATAATAATATATTGAAGTATATCCATTAAATGATATCAATATAGGCGTGTAATAAATAAGTATAGTAAATGCAATGTTCAAAAGTAATCTAAAATACATATTTCAAAAGTATGTAATCATAAATTAAATCTCTACATAAAATAGATGTAGATATTTATAACTTAATAAGTATGAATAAAATAAATAGTAATATTAATATTAAGTATTATCTAAAAAATTTAGGTATAATAGATTTGAAGTTATATTTGTGTAAGTCTGTGTGAATATTACCGGAAAGATATTAAAATGATGTTGTCAATTCAGTTTTAAAAATCATCATATTATACAATAATAATTGTGAAGTGATTTGGTATGACAAATATTACAACTATGTCTATTAGTGGTGGATTTAGCGTCAGGAAAAGTTAACAGTTGCCAAGGATTGCAATTTTAGATTAATATTTTATTGAAAATTTTAGGTTTTTATTAGATTTTATCAGGAAACTTTTAATCTTTACAATTGGAGTAAGCTATCTACCTACAATATATAGTAATACATTTTCATAATTCAGTAATTAATTAAATTTTACAAATATTTATCAATTGTTGGTTATTAAATTTCGATAAAAACAAGAAACTTATAAATATTTTTGTGAATCTTTTTCTTTTTTAAACACACTTAAAAACATGGAGTAAAATGAAATATCAGAAAAAGCTAAAAAAAACTTCGCCAAATTTATAAAGCTGATTTAGATTATGAAGGATATGAGCATGAATTATAAAATTGTTGATGTATTTTAATTCCTAAATATAATGAAGACAAATTCACCGCACTAAAACTTTTAGAAATAATTTTTTTAAATGATTTAAAGTTAGTATTTTCGAACATATTATTTTTAGAGTTTACATGTCAACACCTACCAGTAACTATACAGTGGAAAGATCATTTTCTTTAAAGCGGATAAAAACTTATTTATGTTCAAAATTAGGACAAGAAAAATTTAAATCTTTAGCAAATTTTCCGATTGAAAGTAAAATGACACAAGAAATACAATTTGAAAACATAATTCAAATTTTTATAAAAAAAAAAAAGCAAGCAAGACACTAACAAATGAAATAGTTTTTTTATTTCATTATTTTTTCTTATTTGCCGTATGTTGTATAATAATAATAAGTAAAAAATTTTAAGTTTGATTCAATAATATAATTTAAAATCTATTAAACTCATTAGTTTTTTAAAGAACTAATTTATTCGAAAACATGACGACACGTTATATTTTAATAAATATTGTATTGATATACTATTTTTTTGATTAGAACAGTTTATGGACATAACCAATAATTATTGCTTAATAACAGTCTATAATATGATTTATTTATTTTTATTAGCTATTTTTAATGAGTATTTAAAAATATGTTTTTTCATTGATAAGTTTAAAGGTTATAAAATAAAATTTTCCTAATGGCGGCAATGGTGTAAATCCTTCTCTGCAGTCTACCCTGAACGGTGTGATCTCAGCAGTGGGTGAACGGAAGCAATACAATATTGACAGTTAAATTAATTAAATACTATCTTTATCTATTTAATGGTTAGGCTTAGGCATGATATTACATCGTAACGTAGGTTAAACATGGGCGTATATTTAATATGAGATAGTAAAGTAAATTATATTTATACAAGGCAAGTGGCATGTGTCATATCCAGATTCATAAGTTAGGTGAATATTATTATCAAGTGAATCAAATAATGCGAAAGATAACCGTCGTGTGATTCGTCTGATGCAGTCTACGATTACGGTTTCACCGTGATTCCTCTACGATATTCTCTCGTTTTAGGTACTATGTAGGCGCTATGTGTAAAGTCGGTATCGGCTGTCGCGGATTGACAGTTGAATTGAAAGTTATCGGTCGATGATAAGATATTTGATAAAAACAACTAAGGAACGTATCAAGTATATGGAATTTGCAATGATTAGATAACCGTTGATGATCAAACAGAAAAATTTACAAAAACGATCATATTATTGTTCGTTTTATGGATATTATTTTGCTATAATATGTCAAGTAAATAATAATTATCTCCTTAATTTTACTTTGTTATACCTACCTGTAGGGTACAAGTTTCAAGTATACGCTCATCGGTTTTGGACCTGAAGTGTATTTCCCTATGACGAATGAAATAATAATGTTTACTCCAGACATCACTGTGTTTATCATCGATAGATCTTCTTTTGATACACCTGCGTCAATGAGTTTTAAGGTAGACACATGGTCAGTTGCAGCATATCCGATCTTTGATAAAAATAAAAATTATTATGAATATAGGTACGACTTTGGCGAGCTTAATTATTAATTTGAGATATTTTAATATTATAGTTAAGTTATCAGCTTTCAATGATATCTGCGAAAGTTGGTAAAAAAAAATATTAAATATAAGCATACCTATATATATATGTTATCAATTGAATGAGTAAGTACGATCGTTAAAAAAAAAATGAATATTTATTCAGATTATATTTACCTTTGAAGTTATCAATATTATCGCCAATAGACGAACACTAGGTAACTTAAATATATCCCATAAAAGTATATAGTTATGGACCACATTGATTTTTTCATGATCATCCTCAGATATATTATCTTTTTCTTTTTTGAATATGCTAATTAAAGTTGTTAATAATATGAACATTATGCCCCAGCCGTACAATAAACCTATATAAATCGAATGGTAGGTATATTATAAACATTTAGTTAATAATATAATGTATCATATTGAGGAAGTTTAGAAGCCATAAATTGTCGAAATGATGATGCCATATTAAGCTTAAAAGATTAAAAATTAAAAGGCCGATGTTCAATAAAATTATTGTGCAAAACAATTTGTTATAAACAAACTTCAAACTATAATATAATTTAACTACAATATAGGTCTTGTATCCCGTATGATACTTATTACTTTCGTACATATATATGGCTGGTAATACATTTGCAGTACATCCATAGCGAAAAATCTATATATTCCGCAGATATCAAAATATACAAAACAAGTTGTTTTAAATATACACGTGCAATGTGTATATTATACTAGAGCGGAAATTTTGCACGGAAAAAAGAATTCCGCAACATGTTTCGATAATGTGGAAATTCCGCCGAAAAATGTCCTGCGAGTGTCACACCGGTCTATGCGGATATATAGTTTCAATTCCCGGCGGGGTAAAATCTAAATAATTTGGCCTTTTTTTTTTTTTAATATTTTGATACTTTGCAAAAATACAAGGTATACGTATTTGAAACAATTTATTAAACTAAAGCAAATTGATTTTGTTCGTTTTTTTTTTGTTATTATTATTATTGTTTAAATAAATTGATTTATTGATATGTGATTTGTCAACAAGAATAATTAATTATTGTAATTAAGGTAAACAATTACCTATTATTTATGTAAAATATTTGTATAAGATATTAAAATTTACTACAAACAATTTCGTAACATTTTATGAACATGATTTTAGATTTTACATAACGTAGGTTATATATTGTGCATTTCTTTACTTTTGATCCATCGTCCATCAAGTATCAATTAGATAAAATTTGTTTACAGAAACCTTTTTTAATGTTAAAAATTAAACTAAATATTTTTTGTAAAATTCCATGACAGACTCAAAACATAATGCAGGTTATATATATATTATATATATATATATATATAAAACATTGTAAAACTAATCAATTTCTCAATTTCTTAATTTCTAAAATCTAAAATTTATTTTTTTTATTTCGTATCTATATAGAGATTAGGTATTCTATGTACAATATGCCTACAAAGTATATGTTTTTCTATTGATATAGGATATTTTATAGTATGTTTATTTTGTTATATTGCCATTTTGTCTTATTTATTTGTTAAACAATATTAAAAAAACAAATTAGAATTATGTCATTCTTATTTAAGCTGTTTATTTTGTATTCATATTTTTACTTAAATATATGTTTTTGTATATGTTACGCTAAATTTATAAAATTTTCAATTACATGAAATCAGTAACGCTGTTGTCGAAAACTTAAAATTGAAAACTTATAGTACTTACAATACTGTCAATTGTGTGAAATCGGTAAGACCCTCATTAAATGAATTATTATAAAATATAATTCAATATATATATATATGAATATAACAATTGATGATTTTACGTAAAACACTGGAAATACAATAAAATCAAATTGTAATAACTAATAATCAATTATGCGTACAAAAAAGTAAAAAAAGAAATCAAAAGTTATAAAAATATGTCTAATGTTTTAGGTTATATATTTATATTTATACATTTTGGCAATTAAGGCTAGGGTGGCACGCTGAATTACGCATTATATCATTCTTCCTACATTTAAATTTTTTTTATATACAATTTGTACGGATGGTACAATCACGTATACATCGCTTTATCCGGTCCTAACTGGCTCTAATCGAACAAGTTCGCGTAAAGAACATTCATTTCGTTGAACGTCTGCAGTCGTTATTCGTTAGGAAACAGTACTCTGTGACAGCCAAACTGTTCCGCTCCAGCCATGTACTCAGAATCCTTTCTTTAAACGAGGATATATTATTAGATAATGATTTTAGTAAACCTGACATAGATGAAAATTAAAACATGATCGAAAAAATCGCGGTACGACTAACGCTGAGTTAAAGATAATGGTGTAGTAATTCCAATGCCCAATGAACATATTATGTACAAATATTGGTTATTTACCTATATATAGGTGCCACTATTTTTATTATGTCATAATAATGCGTAACCGAATCCGTGCAATTGGACAAGAAAAAGTCTGTCTAATTCATGAAATCAGCAATCAAAATTTATTGATTACATGAAATCGGCAGAAAAATTGCCGATTTAATCGGAAATTCCATAAATTCGGCGTAACATATACATACATGTAGCTTTATTCTTTTTGTTTTAATATACATTGTTAACTAAATTAGGCATGTACGTGTGATGTGGTGTAGGTAGTCAATGAAAATGGCTTTTAACGGAACTATTAGAATTAATAGTTAACACATAATAATCGCTTACTTACTTTTTACAGAAACTATGCCTCCCACGGCAGGTGCATTTCGGAAGTATTTATTACAAAACTCTTCAGACGTAAACAGAATAAGTACCATGGAACCTATCATAGAACCTATTGTTTGTCCCGACGCATTACATGTAGACGCATAGCCTACGTTATTCCTGTAAAATAAATTGTTTGTAATAAAAATTATTATTTTTATATTAAAAACGATAATATGTATTAACTCTTACCTTTTCAGCATCGTAAGTGCCCAACCGTCCACTGCTATATCCTGGGTGGCGGCTAAGAAATTTATTACCAAGAAAATGTACATCAACATCGTTATGTTTGGTTTTTCATTTTCGGGTAACAAGTTATCAATGTCACTGGCAGTATATATTAAAATCCCTCCTGTTAACAATATAGTATGATTAAGATAAATGGAAATAATTAGTGATTTACAATAATAAAATAACAATAGTTATAATAGTTTATAAGAACTTTAAATAATTACCAAAAAGGAAATACCCACCTCATCATTTTAATAATGATTTTTCAGTTGATAATACTTTTAAAATTTGTATTAACTTTATTCTTAAAAATATTTTTAAAAGCAAGTTTTTGTGCATTTAAATATTATTATAATGTTATTTATTTATTTTTTTTGTATATTTTTAACATAATATTAATTTAACAGGATTTATGTACCGATTAAATATTGAACAGGTATTAGCCAAGACTTTCGCCTTCCAAATTTTTGTATATAGAGTGCGTCTACTAATGGTGCCCATAAGAGTTTCAAGCTAAATGGCCAATTTGATAAACTATACAATGCCTGAAATAAAACAATATAATTTGCTAAAATAAGCCTTTTTTTTAGATATACTATAATAACTGTATTATTATTTATCAGTTTACCTGATCTTTGTATGTTACATTATTCTTGCTTTGCAATAGTATCGACATAGACCCGGATATGCCTAATGGCAAGCCTTGCATTGTGTACAGTAATAGTAACAAAAAAAAGTTTATCCAATCTCCTTTTAAATTTGTTTTAGTTAATGTTACATCTTTTAACTCCTCAGATATTTCTGATTCAACTCTGGGCCTTGGTAATGTCTTCATATTTAATGCTCACACGCTATGTTTGTAATCGAAAAATAACCGTTCCGCGAGAAATATATCATTGAACTAAAAACAACTGTTATACTATATTTTGAACACTAATGTGTTCGTTGTATTCTTATCGTAATATGTTTGACCTATAGTATAATATTCTTTGCTTTAATCAACTTTAAATGCTGAAAATTAGTGAACAGTAGTAATGCACATTACAAACAAATTAAAATTAGATGTTAACTTGTAGTTATTCGTAGTTTACATATGATAATATATTATGTAATACTCAATAACTATATTATATAGGTTCTATTTTACAGGAAGATAAATGAGTTTAAAAAAATCTGCAATATAGGTTAAATTAACATACTATAATCACGTTTAAAATTAATTAATATAAATTAAATGTAAATAATATTTTAAATAAAAGCATTAAAAAACGAACATGAGTGAAACCGAATTTACAATAACGTCATAATAATATTTAAAGTATGTAATCCTTATAAAATAAAATATAAGTATACAATTTTGAAATGTATAGAAAAAATCGAATAAGTAACTTGCATAATAATATTAATATACCTACTAAATAATACACATTTTTATCAAATAGCAACATGAGAAGTAACATAAATTTAAGTCAACCATTCACATAAAGTGTATAATTTGCAAGTATAAATCATTAAATCAAATTAATTATACATAATATATTTTTATATGTAAAAAAATGACCTATGTTTACAAAGTGTGTTCGTGTATACAAGGTGTTTTATCAAGAATAATTATTATAATATTGTGTTATACATTCGAAGTTTATGTATTTTCAATTAATTAAATTCACCAGATAAATACTAATTTATATAGTAATATTAATATAATTAGGCTGACTGAATTAGCATGTATAATAATCGCTGATAAGATTATTTCTTAAGACTAAAATATTATAGTTTTCATGATTATAAGAAAAATACAATAAAATAATCAAACGTAGTATATAAAGAACACGCAGCTTCATACACATTAAATAATAAAACACATTTTTATTTCCGTTTTGCAATTTAATAATTAACTTTATTGTATAGCTGAAATTATATAATAATTTAAGCTATATTTTTCTACGCCGACCAAACATACATTTTATACCGCATTTTAAAGTCAACTTATAGATGATATTTAAATTAGGGAACCATATAAATTATTAACTCTTTATATTTATGTTGCTATCATATATGTGAAAATATAAAGATTTATGATTTTGAAGAAATTTTAAAATGTATAGTCTAGCATTTACCTAAACCTGTTTAATACTTATGATTAATAAAAAATACAGAGTAATTTATATATTAAGTTATATAATATATACCGAATATGTATTTTTAAGTCAATGACCGCATTTAAGTCTCAAGAGCAGAGGTTATGCGATGTTAAAAACTGTTTTCGCAGTAATTTTGGATGCTTAAAAGGGACCGGGATGTGACCATAAACCAGATGGACAACTTGTGTTCGATGTGTGTACTTGGATTTTGTGTTATTTCGGGTATTGTGGTACTCATATAGTCATATATAATATACATTGCTAATCAATCTGTAAATATTTCGCGAGTTTAACTTCTAACCGTCAATGGCGTTGTCTGTTAAAAAAGCCAGAATCTGAATTACGAAAATATAGTGAAACCAAACAAACGTATATAGTCGGCAACAATTGACTAGTCAATAATAATAATTAATAATTACTTACTTCAAATATAAAAATATACATAATATTAGCCGTAACCGGATAAGTCTTAGACGTTACTCGTATCAGAGACATACGAAATTGATTACATTTTATTGTTCATGATAAAATATATTATTTCATTGTTCTTTTGAGCATTTAAAATTACTAAGAAAACGGTTTTTAACGTTTTATAACCTCTGCTCTCGAGATTTAAACGCGGTGATTGACTTAAAAATACATAATATTTTATATTAAAGTATATATAAATTACACTGTATTTTTTATTAATCATAAATATTAAACAGGTTTAGGTAAATGCTAGACTATACATTTTAAAATGTCTTCAAAATCATTCATCTTTGTATTTTCACATATAAGACAGCAACATAAATATAAATAGTCAATAATTTATATGGTTCCCTAATTTAAATATCATCTATAAGCTGACTTTAAAATGCAATATAAAATGTATGTTTGGTCGGCGTAGAAAAATATAGCTGAAAATATATAATAATTTAAGCTGTATAATAAAGTTAATTATTAAATTTCAAAACGGAAATAAAAATGTGTTTTATTATTTAACATGTATGAAGCTGCGTATTCTTTATATACTACTTTTGATTATTTTATTGTATTTTTCTTATAATTATGAAAACTATAATATTTTAGTCTTGAGAAATAATTTTATCAGCGATTATTATACATGTTAATTCAGTCAACCTAATTATATTAATATTACTATATAAATTAATATATTATCTGGTCGATATTATGTGCTATCTTCTATTTGTCTTAAACTACAATTACAAAACGTAAATTGGCTTCGGTCGAGTATCTGGTGAGTGATGATAACTTTATCCACATGTAAATATTATATTATACAGGTATATCATATATGAAACTTATCGTCTTATGATCTTACTTACCTATAAACGTTGCGTATGTACATTGAACCTACTAATTTTTGTAAATATATAATTTCCTCATTATTTTATTAACTTATTATTAATTAATAACATCTATACGTTACACACTAAATACGGAGTTTAATACGTTTAAATACATTTATTATTTCTCACAAATTATCTTTGTTGATTATCGTTTAACTATCGCTATTCTGTACAAACTGTATTGTAAGAAAATTTAAAATATTCAGAAATTTTGTTATACAAATGTAACATAAGAAAATTAACGTTTGATAGCAGAAAAAAAAGATAAAAATTCTAATTAAACATATTTAATAAAGGACTGTAAATACTTTTAGACTGCTTGCCTGTCGTTATCTCTATAAAGTCGATTTGTCACTGACCCAAAGGAAATTGTATTACTAGTTATGACGATGATCTGCGTTGATCTGCTAGATACGTAAGCATAGAACCATGATAAATACTATTGTGAATTGTTTGCATTTGAATTAAATTTCCTGTTGTATTATTATTTAGTTAAGTAGTAAGTTAAATAACTCCAAACTAGTTAAATAAATATCAAGACTAAGAGCAACCATAGGTACCGTCTACTTGTATTAAGTTGATTTTTGTGAATTGACTAAATTGTGCAAAGTAATCAATATAATAACGATGAAAAAAAAATGATTTAACAGATATTGAGATAATCTTAAAACAAATAATTAAATATAAAATCAATTTTTTGTATAATAACCGCAAGTAATAAATGGATAGGACTTCATATTTAGTACATAGTTATTCAATTACACATTTTTGGACCTCTCTCATATTAAATTTCAAAACATCTGTTACTATGATTACTATATTACTACTTATATATGATTACTATCCCTTATGGATACATATATTTTGTGGCTGGAGTCTTAAGCTTTTGTGTAGGAGATATTTTATACAAAAAAAAAAAAAAACAACACATTTGCAGATTTATAAATCTAAAATAATTATTAAAATGGTATTTTAAATAGTAGGTGTTTTACTGAAGGTATATTGGAAGATGGTTATTAATAATCTTTATTTGAAATTTCTAGTGCTGATGGTGACTTTCGAATTTACTACCGTGTGTTGTTTTAGTAATAAATATTAATTTTGACGAAATTGAAAAGTTTGGAGTGTATCATTGTGTGTGTAACATGTATAATATATAGAATGTAACAAATGTTACATTTTATTTCATTATATAAATTTATATGTGGTTTAATGTAAAAATAAACTACAGTTATTCTGTAACTTTACGATTAAGTCAAATTAATTATAACGGACATCGGAAAAGTCACGTCGCATTATAAAAATTTAATGAAATCGCTTATAGTATAAATCTATACAATAACACGTAAATTATATATCACTATAAAAATTGGTCATTAACACTTATAATTTTTAACCTTAATAGATATATCGTCTTGGCTATGAAATCGTTGTCACCGAAGAATCAAAACCCGCTGAAGATGGTAGTAGAATAATAAAAATACGTTTACAACGATACTGTTCTATATCGTTAGTAGAATGCGTACTTCATAGATTTTGATTATAGTTTTGTACAAAACTTTTATCAGTACATTTTTAATTGAATCATCAAAAAGTATCTAATACGTTGATCTATTTATTTATTTATTTATTTTTTTTTTTTTTTGCAGTGATTTTGACTTACCCTGCCCGGTCCCAGTCATATATCTGCACGAGTATTCTGTTTATTCTAACTACTTGTACAATTACTTCGCGTCGACTGCAGTATACGCCATTTGTCCTAGTTATACCACCTATAGCTATCCTCAAGATTGTGGAAAATACTGAGCTGAAAAATATGAAAAGGCTATATTTACCAGCTTACAAGACTGCCTTCCCGATCCTCTATTATTATTAAGTATTAAAGAATCTAGTTTTTGTTTTCAAAAATAAATATAAGCAGTGATTAAAAATTTTTTCCATCGTTCTTTCAATTATAAAACAAAATATCACATTTTTTTTATACTCATACATACGTGTACAACTACAGTTTACAATATACTTATTTAATACATATGTACAATACATATCACAAATTAACGACGTGACATGAATGATCCGATAGTAATATTGGAATATTTTTTTAAAACTGTCAATGTTAGATACCATTCAGTTTTTTAATTTATATCATTCAAATATGCTACCAACATAAATTATAATGTCTCTGTTTCAAAAATAAAAACCGGAAAATCAAAATGAGATTAAATAACCGATTTTATATAAGTTGTATGTAAGAAAATAGAATAATAACAATAAAAATCTTTAAATAAATATAGTTGTAGATTAAAATTTTTATAGCTCAACAATACAATTTTAACAATTATAACATTATTATTTATTACATGGTAGGTTCAATGGAATAACAAATGTTATATTAATAATCGTATATAGGAAAATAATATTAAAAGACGATCGTTTAGTATACTGTCTATCGATAATTTAATAACTCAATATGACTAATAATGAAATATCAGGTTTACCACAAAATAATGCGTGTTAAAAACTATTAAAATTTATAAAAAATATTTTATAATTAAATTTTAACTTTTCTTAAAGAACTATTTGATAAATAACAATAAAAAAATAAAAATAACTATATTAATAAATAAAAATACATTTTTAATAATACAATTTTTGTTCGATATTAAGAATATACATTAGAAAGGAAGGAGATAATTTTTTTAAATTTTATTTTGTTTAAATTTAATAATATTATGTATAAAAAAGTAATACTAAAATATTTCAGTATTTCAAACTATTAAAGTAAACTAGTACTTGTAAGTAAATGCAAGAATTACCAATTTTTTTTTTTTCAATGGGGTTTGTGGACAATTAAAAATCCATATCTACTCTTTTAAAAAATGTCAATATGCCCAATATTATAAGTAGTGAAAATAATATAGTAAAATACTGAGTAAATATTGAACGAACAAACAAAACGATTGCCCAATAGAAACACATAATACCTGTTTTCATACAATAAACAAGCTAAATGTTTCAGGTGACAGTAATGGTAAATACATTTTTGCTATTTTTTGTAATTGGTTGTTTCACATAGTTCACCAGCCATTTAGATGGGCATTTCGTTTGGAGATTTTTTAGAATATTTTTAAAAATACTATACCACAAGATTCCAAAAATAGTACACAGCACCATTTCAATGTAATATCCGTTCACTGTTACAATACAATCACCTCCGTCTGTTGTACACTTCTAAATAATTAATAAATAAACACGAATATAATTTATTATATTCTGAAATTGTAATCAATACTCAATGAATATTATTGTCATTATTAATTTATAAATAAATTTAGATTAACTTACGTTTTGGAGATCAAGTGTAGAACAATCATTCTTGGAATCAAATGAACATTCTTTGAACGTTAGCAAATTGACTATTCCAAGTACTACGAAAGTTGACCATGCGAAACCCAAATTTGAGAGGGTATTCAATAATGTCATGTAAGTACCACCAAAACGAGGGTCGCTTATTCGAGAATAAAAAGCTAATAAAGCCACAAACATAGTATAATTTAGGATCTAAAAAAAAAATATTTTTTTGTGAATTTAAATAGTTAAAATCAAGTAATTTATTCGTGTATTTAGACTAACAATATAAGTGGAAAAAAAACATACTCCCAAAACTTTAATTAGAATTTTTAAAAATATCTGAATTCTCATCAATCTTTTATTTTATTTTATGGAATTAATTTTTTATATAATTTTTTTTAGTAACACTTACTGTAGTAAGTTTAATTTTAAAATATAACAATAATCTGGTATTAATATTAAATTAGTAGTATGATAAATCTAAAATTAATTTACTATAAAATCTAGAAAAGCGAACCAGGATTAAAAATATTTTTTTAAAATTCAAATCGGCTTCAGTACTAAATACATTTTTTTTGTGCTTTTTAGTACTTTCATAGTTGCCCTAAATTTTAAACTTATTATTTGTATAATACATTTCACGCACACTATTTGACTAGTTTTTACATACACTATACACAATCATCACACTACAGTTTTATATGAAATATGAACATAGAATATTACATATATTTAACCCTTTAAAAACATTCCACTTTCAACGATCTTATCAAATTAAACGTAAAATAGTTTAAAAAAATAATAATGAAATAGAATTATGAATAGATACAGCATTAAATAACTCACTGTTTATTACAGTAATTTATATTAATTAAAAAAAAAAAAATTATTATATTTAAATTTAACAAAAATGGACAATAATCAATATCCACCATAATATATTTTATATCAAACTTTATTGCTTTAAAAGATAAACGTAAGAAGTAACTTACTTCTTGTATTAATAATATAATTACTAATATCACGTAGTAATAACTTGGAATATTTATTACACCATCCGTTTTTATCAATTTTGGTGTATAATAAATTAGCATGACAAAAGCAAGGTTCCAAATTAATCTGAAAAAAATCATACAATTAAAAAAATATATGTTAGATAATGTACATAGTATTAAGATTAACTGAATAAATAATTTTTGATAATGCATATTTATTTTACAAATTATAAAATATTTTAAAAATTGAATTATATTGAAAATAATCTACTTTCAACAAATTAAAAATGAATTGGGCTAACATAACGTTGATTTATTTATAAAAAAAATTTTAAATAAAATAATATATACTATAGAAATTATAACTATATATATATATTTAATACGATTTTTGTCTATTATACTATAATAAATTGTTTTAAGAATGAAAAATAATGAAAACATATTAACCTAAAATATGCAGAAATAATTAATTATTTGGATAAAAGTTAATATTTTATGTACAAGTTAATACGGTACCAATATAATATTAAATTATAATTGAATATATTTACTTAATTAGAGTAGCTTTTAAGTATAGACTCATTGGTTTTGGACCTGAAGTATATCTTGCAATAATGAGAGGCAAAATAATTTTCACAAGGAACATAGATGTATTTATTATCATCATGTCGTCTTTTGATACACCTGCATCAATCAGTTTTAAAGGTGATACACTATCTGTTGCAGCAAATCCAACCTTTTAAAAAAAAAATAAAAAAATATATGAAGTTAAATTACTGAAAAAATACGTCATAAATGTATTTTATCATTCCATTGATGACAAAGTAATATTTATAATTTTATTATAAATGTGCAAGTAAAATAATATTCGATGTAATGTTGAAGAATACGATGTTTATTATATCAACAACTAAAGTACACAGCCATTTATGAACTTGAAAATATCATGTAATTAATTATCTATGCTATTTTTGAAGAAATGTAGGCCTATTAAGGTATCCATAATATTTAGACTACCCAATATAAATTATTATTATTTATTAATATTTGTATAATTTTGTATCTACATTGTTTAAACGTATTTATCTATTTATATTTCAGTTATGATTTGATTTAAAACTTACCCTCACTGTTAACAATGCTATGGCAAATATTTGTATACTAGGTAGTTTGCAGATGTCCCATAGAAGACGATAGTTTTGAAATGTGTTGAGCTTTATGTGGTCATCTTCTAATGAACAATCCTTTTCTTTTTTGAATATAGCAATTAATGTCGTAATAGAGATAAACATAATACCCCAAACGTATAATAATTCTATCAAAATGTAATATTCCTGTATTTATATTTGTGTGTAATTTAAAATAAATTATATATTCCATACACAAAGCTATCGTAATATGAATTTTATGTCAAAAATATGATTATAGTACCAAGAATTATTGTGCTAGTAAATAAAATTATAAATTAATTTAATATTTTTTCAAGTTAATCGAGTACATAAATATATGGTAGGTATATAATTTATAGAAATATCTTCTATAATAGAAAAATTTAGATTTTAAGTGTAGTGTGAGAACTATTTCCCGTGATGGAAAATGTAAGTATTCGTGCATTTTTTGAACATTATTTTAGTATATATACCATATTAGCATCTTTAGTTTTAGTGACTAATTGTTAGATTTTTTAACTACTCACGTTCCATGGTCACTATTCCTCCCGTATCAGGTGTAGTCCTCAGGTATTTGTTGCAAAAGTCTTTAGATGTCAACAGAGTAGACCATACAGAACCTATCATTGAACCGATTGCCAAACCCGTTGTATTGCACATTGATGCGTATCCTACGTTATTTCTGTATACACATAATATTAGGCGGGTCGATTAAAATGCAAAGAGGTTCTATATACACACAATTGGAAAATAATAACACTTACTTTTTTAGCATAGTAAGTGCCCAACCGTCAACAATTATATCTTGCGTGGACACCAAGAAGGTAGCGATGAAAAACACGAAAACTAGTTTCTCTATGTTTGGTTTTCCCGTTTCGGGTAACAAGTTTTTGATGTCGTCAGCTATATAAAGGAAGAATGATCCTGTTCAAAATAAAATCAATATAGTTTTGTTAAAAGCGCGAGAAGTTTTTCTTTTATGACAAAATACCTTTATTGGTTGGAATATATTATATTCTGTAATTGCGAAATTTGATAAATTAAAAATATTGAATTTACATACCCATAATAAATTGCACTGGTATAAGCCAAGACTTTCGTCTTCCTATTTTTTTTATGTAGAAAGCATCTACTAAAGGAGCCCACAAAAGTTTCAAAGTGTATGGCCACGTTACTAAACTAAATACGGCCTATAAAAAAGCACAATTTGTTAGATAAGTATCACAGAACATAATTAAAAATTCAGTGTAAACAATTTTGATTTTTTAACTCGACTTACCTGATCTTGGTAAGAAACATTTTTGTTACTTTGTAAAAATATCGGTATGGCACTAGTTAAGCCTAATTGCAACCCTTGTATTGTATACAGCAATAACAATATAAAAATGTTCAACCAATCTCCTTTTAAATTTGGCTGGTCCGAAATCGAAACATTTGTCACGACATATTTTTGGAGTTTATTTCCATGTTTTTTTGATGTTGTCATGTTTAAAAGTTGTTATTTCTATTTATTTAAAATAACTGAAAAGGTAAACAGGTAACGTATTTGTATCGGTCGGTGCAGTTCACATACTAAAGAAAAATTAATAAAGTATTCGGCTATAATCTAATCAGTATTTGCTGACCCATATAATCGGAATTGTATTTCAGAAATATTTTTAACGACCATAAGACAGTTATGCTACATAAATAACTTAAATCATTTAAGATTGGATTATGAAATGATATATTATAACGTAATTGGGTATTAAATTAAAAAATTTAGTTTATTGGAAAGTATATTATAATCTACGTGTATATCTATTTTGTATTAATACTATTTATTAGGTATACCTACACTTAAAATTATTCATATATTTTATTAAATGTGTTCACATTTATACATAAGACATTTAAATACAAACATTATTATATTTACATTTTAAGATTAAAACAGTGATTGGTAATAAACATTAAGGGATTTCGATTTTAAAGTAAAATTTAATTTAAAAATATATCATAATACTTACTATAAAAATAAATAAGTATAAACAAATATTATTAATTATTATAAATTAAGGATATAAACAAAATAAAACTAAGCATAATATATGTCTTATTTAGAATCCATACTTAGAAAGACATTCCATATTTAGAAATGCAATACGCAATTACGTATTTTAAATATTGAGCACGTTAAAATATGACCATAGTTAGTAATACGCACGCAAATGTATTATTTGTTAACAAATTTTTTTAAACATTTCAGCCAGTATAAAAAATTTCAACACATAGAGATTAAGTAAACGGAATTCCATCAAAATAGTATTATTTAAATTACGGTAGTGATAAATGTACATTTAGTATTCAAAACGTACTTCATAGTGAAAATATTTGTTAGCTATACATAATATTCATATTTTATTATCAATTATAAATCGAATATACAGTATAAAACAATAAGTCAATAAATGTTTATTTAAAAATATTTTTAAGTTTCACTAGACATATGCATAATGAAAAAATAATATATTTTAAACGTCAAAAAAATTATTTTTTTACATTCAATGTATAAGAACTTTTGTAATAATCTTGATTCTTTAATGTTGGCCCTAACAAATCAATGACACGAACTCTTACTTTGAAGTTATTTGAGTTTATTTTTAAAAATTATATACCTAAAGATTCCAAAAAATGGTACTAACAACTGATTCAACGTAATAGTCGTCTTTCACTATAGTGATACAATCTCCTCCATTCGTTTTATACACTTTTATAAAATAATAAAATAATCAAGCATACATTTAAAATTTATTTTAACTGTTTTACCAATATTCTTTGCTGTTTAAATAACTATGTATAAAAATATCAATTGCAAAATATAATATCATGGATAACTGCATTTTGAAGATGTGAATTAGAACAATGTAAAATTAGATCAATAAATAATTTTAAGCAATAAATATTGTTCTAATGTCCAATAGTTATAATGCAATAATGAGTTATGTAGATGAATATAATAGCCTACATTACTTCTACATAGAAACATATAATAAGAATACACACATTCATAAATATATATATTATATATGAATGAAAATAGTTTTAGAAATATTATTTTGTATTGTAGTATAACTATTAATTAGTATAAGTGAACAAAAACAACAATATAAACTTTTGTAGCAAAATAAATATCCAATAATGATCTTAGAATTACTTAACAAATAGTTTTGGGAGCTATGACCTTATCTGATATCTCCAAAGATGTTCATATAAACGAATTAGTTGAAGCAATAATAATTTTATTTATTTGAGGAATTCCGACGAGTGACAACTATATTGATCAACTAATTGCTTGTTTTTATTTTTTTTAGAAAAAATGAGTGATTTGTCATAATTTTGGCGAACGTTTTTTGTATATGTTGATCTTTTAATTGATTGGAGAGCTTGATATAGAAATAGACGCATAGAAATGGGACAGTTGTTTTAACTACATAGTATGTTGTCAAGCATTATAATTGGAGTAAACTGCATTTGTAGGTTAAATCAACTGCAATAGAGCGTTGATCTAAATATAATATTTCAACTATTTGAAGGTATTGAAATAACTCATAAAAATTGTTATTTTGAGAATCCAGGTTATTTAATTTAACATGTTTTGAGGATTAAAATGACTACAAGTTAATGAGTTATTCTGAATTATTTTTACTCTTAAAATAAATATCAATGCACGTTGTTGTGACTAGCCTAGTTGATATGATAATTGATAGTGTACTGTGTTCTTATTTATATTACATAAATAACATTATTAGTTTGTGTATTTCTTATGTAGTACCTTGGTGTGAATATAAAGGTATATATTATAAACCTCGGGTGTTAATCTAGATAACTGTTTTTTTTGAGAAGTAAATAGGATAATTATTGGTCAGTCTAAAATTCCATATTTTTTAATTACAACAATACAGTCTGTAGAGTTTGACCGTCACTTCCATGCTTATGAAGTATTAACTTATAATAATAATAATAATAATAATTAATAATAATAATAACCAAATTATGGGATATTATATTTATTAATTACCTGATGTCACCCCTTCAGTAACTCGAGTTTTAGGCAATGGTGAATTGTATGTTATATTAAGATATAAATTGTAATATTTTTTAACTTTTAAGTTGTTCTCAATGTTTGTTTTATTTGAATCTAATCGTATAAAAAAGTATGCAATGAAACATACCTGTTATATTATATTAAGATTGTTATTTGTTATATTTAACTTAATTTGTAACATTAAATTAAATTAAATTTTTTATCTGCATTTATTTTTTTTATAATTTAGACAAGTTTCATCACACGTTCGTTCCGTATCCTGTATATCTTAATTATTCGTGTTGCGAATGATACAATTTAAGGTACCTATTATAAGTTGAGAGGCAATTCGTATTCGTTTTATTTTACCTCATTAGCATAGGTGAATATTGGGGGCTTAATCCTTCTCAAAACGTAATCAAGCCACACCGCATGGTTGAAGAGTTTAAAAATATATGTTTACATGGATCAGACAAATATGTTAAGCCCCCTAAAATGTGATCAAATATCTGCGTATGTTCATTAGTTAATTACCTACAACAATTTTTTTTATAATATCTTATAATTACACAGGTAAATTGTAGATATGACTATTTAGATAACAGTGTTTCCAAAATTTAATTTAAGTTAGGTAGTGGCTCAGTAGGTTAGGCGTTAGGTTAGGGAAACTTAGGTAGGGTATATCCCCAATCTAAGTTCGAATCTCTTACAGTTCTCAAAACTTTTTGCAATAGATGGATAAAAATAATATTGATTTTAACTCCTTAAAATAGTAGAGATGACATTATTGATGTAGTTATACCGATACTTTTTATGAAGTAAATTAGAACTGAAATTGGCGTTGTATTAACTAACATAGATGAATTAAACTAAGTGGTTACTATTAACTACATAGCGTAGTCAAATTAACACTCCTTCATCCTTAGGCGAAATCTAACGCTCGAATGTGCACGGAATTGACTTATTTGGTGGTCAAAACAACTCCACAGTTTTATGTTTTATTGCAACCGCAAATATAGATAATTTTAATGAAATTTTTGAAGTTGTTGAGTGAGCTTTGAATGGTTAATTGAGTGTTAATTCATATTTGGTTAAAGGCTAGCATTTGTTGTTGACTGTTTTTTCTTGTACTATATTAGGCTTATCGCACATTACGGTAATATGTAAGCCCACTAGTAATTAATATGAGCGTAGACTATGTACTAAGTAGTAGGTGATAAATATTACCAAACTCGATGCGCTGCAACGTTCACAATTTACTGCTAATTGAACAAAAATATTACACATGAGTTCGCTACGAAGTCCAAACATATACCTACATAAGGATAATATTGTTTGATAGTTTTTTTTTTTTTTTTTTTTTTTTTTTTTTTAATCGATAATGATTATTTCAATAATACATTATACTATTATTATTTTTTTAACTCAAATTTTAGCACAGATAACATTGAAATTTAAGTTGAAAAAATGAATGTAGGTTAAATTGGTATATAAAATTACTTCAAACTTCAAACTTTTTAATTATGTTCATGTAAACCACTATTATATTTATAAAAAGAATAAAAAATGTATCAATTTTATAATTTAGTATGACAATTTAAGTCATCATTAAATCGATTTATTTGTGTTATTTATATTGATTTAGAAACTTTAGCATGTAAATTAACATAGTTAAAATAAAAAGGTACAACTATCATTAATTATTATTATATTACAAGCAGTATTAAGATATACTATAGTATTTATGTTGAGTAACTTATATAAATTCTAATACAATTAAGTGCAAAGAACCTAAAATTTCAACTTTTAAGACTTATTACGAATATAATATGTATTAGGCATTGATGATATGGTGAATAAATTAATTACCTTTTAAAATTATTCTCATCAATATTTATTTGAGAATAATCGTCAAATCAAATAATCTATCTTTTTGATTCGTTTATTGGTGATTTTATAAAATTAAAATAACAATAATAAATAATAAGTATTAGCTTAAATTATTAACGTGTTCGTTTAAATATTTTAGGCAATTTAATAAATATGATATTTCTTAAACGATTTGTTATTTAATATCATAGATTGATAGCTTTGGCCTTCACTTAGAAGAAGGATCAACGATAATTTCGACATTTTCTCCGCTTTTTTGGTTAACATATACCAACCAGTAGAAAGGACTTTTGGTTTGAAAATTTTCGAACATAATTTAAACATCCCGTACCAAATGAAGCCGATTACCACGTATATGATTATTTCTAGTAGTAACCGTCCGCATTTATATAAAAGTATTAAGTACCTAAAATAATTTTTATTCATGAAAAAATACGTTATTTTAACGATAATATACACATTTACATTTTATTGTGAATTATGAATGAAATTTATTACATAGTTAATAAGTAATATGAGAATAATACAATTAGTCAATAAATATTTATTAAACATCTTTTTACATTTAACATAATATTCGAGTAACCAAGAAAAATCATTTTAAACTTTGATTTACAAATTCAAACATTGCATAAATATAAATTTATGTTTCATATTTTATAAACTAATATTTGCTATTATCATTATCCAATAATTACGGTTTTTTATTCAATGTTATTAATGAACAAGAATTTTCGTAATTTTCTGATTCTAAAGTATTCGCTTTAACAAGCCAATGAGACGGACTCTTACTTTGCAATTTTTCGAGTATATTTTTAAAAATAATATACCAGATGACTCCAACTATAGTAAAAACAACTGATTCAACGTAATATCCATTCACTATTGTGGTACAATCTCCTCCATTTAATGTACACACCTATATAAAACAATCAAACGATCAAACATACATTTAAAATTGTTTTAGCTATTTTACCAATATTTTTTGCTGTTTAAATAATTATATATAGATATCAATTAATTAAAATATAATATTATAGATATGCTTACATTTTGAAGATGTAGAGTAGAGCAATTATTCTTTGAGTCGAATGAACATTCCTTAAATGTAAATAAACCAATGAAGGCAAATGAAAGAAATTTTGCCAATAGACCTCCAGCATTTGAAAAACTGTTTAATAATGTCATGTAAGTACCTCCAAAACGAGTATCGCTTATCCGACAATAAAAAGCTACTAAAGCTGTCATCATTATACTATATTGGATCTATAAAATTATTTTTATTTTATTTTATCTTTTTCGTAAAAAAATTCTTACTATACCAATTTATCAATCAATACTAGGTAATGAAGTATAAGTTACTCACATCATTTATTGAATATATCAACACTAAAATTACATAGTAGTGCGTTGGAATATCTACAACACCGTTATTTTTTATTAGCCTTGATGCATAATAAAAAAATATGAAAAACACCGAGTTCCAAAATAATCTGAAATAAATAAATATAACTGTACATACATAATAATTTTTATATACAACTTTATTAATTAAGGAGGTATTTATGAATTTTATACTTGAGTGGTGATAACTAATAAGTAATACATTTAAAATTCTAAACAAATTTAGATAAGTTAATGCTTCGTACTTAAATTAAAAAAACAACTAAAATAACTCTTAATTAATTAAAATTAAAATAGTGATAAAATAATATTTAATGAAACTAAAGTATTTTATTTCTAAAAATATATTTAATGGTAGTCTAATTTATAGCGGATAGTTAAAAAAGTATGATATAGCCAATTTATCAAATAAATATTCATAATAGAGAAAAAATGTCTAAAATATCTAAAATGATTAGTTATTTTTAAATTGTTTCAATATTTTAGAGGGAGTTTTGAGGATCAACTTAAGAAATTACAATGAGGATCTAAATTTTTTCTTAATGTTTCTATAAAAAAAAATCAAAATTAAGATGATTAATTTATGAGTTATAAGTATTAAAAGTTTAAATAAATGGAGTGGGGTGGTAAAGAGATACCCCGAAAAATATTGGCTTACAAATTTGCTCATCGAAACTTTAAACACTTATAACTTACATACTATTCTTCAGGATTAAAATTTTTACGTATGAAAATATTTCAAAAATAATTCTTCTCGTTATTATTGCGAAAAATGTATAATTCTCATAACAATGTCTAAAAACAACGCATGAAAAATTTAAAAAATATTAATAATTTTAAATATTTCTAAATGGAAATAGTTTCGTATAACAAATTTTTCTCTATCATGAATATTTTATATTTATATGATAAAATGGCTGTAACATATATTTTGTATCACTATGTATTAGAAACATAATTAGTTTTTACATTTTTAAAATATAATTATACTTTTATATGATTTATATATATATTATTTAATGATAATCAAAGGTTACCACCAGATAATACATTTTCGATATTTAAAGAATTTCAACAAAATTAACATTTCAATAATTGTTTATTGATTTTGTAGAAAATTATAGGAATTTCATAAACTTTCCAGAATTATGAATTTTGTTTTTCATCGTTATTTTTTATTTTCTTAAAATTTGGGATGTTTAGGTTTTATATTTAGTGATAGGATTTGAAAATTATTAATATATAAATTTGATGCTTAAAATGTAATACTTGATGGGTGTTAAACTTAGGAGTATGCTCATTGGTTTTGGACCTGCGGTGTATTTTGCAGCAATCACTGGTAAAATAATTTTTATAATGTACATTCCTGTTTGTATGATCATAATGTTGTCTTTTGGTACACCAACATCTACGAGTTTCAAATTCACCACTCTCTCACTTGGTGAAAATCCAATCTTAAATAATCAATACATATTATTCATAATTCTAATTGATAAAATTAAAACCTAACTGGATTGGTGATTTAAAAAAAAATAAATAATTTATAGTATAGTAATTTGATTTTATACTTTTAAGTTAAGTTCATAAATTAATATAAAAATATGAATATTCAATTCGATGATACGTACCTGCTTCTACCAAAATAGTATTAACCATTTCTTTTATTTCCCGATTTTACCAAAAATTAAAAAAATCCAATTTTCATATTCATAAACTCAGGTAAAATTACATTTATTAATAACTTTAGGCATCAAATATAGTATCAATGTCCAAAAGTATGATAATTAAATTTAAATTAATGCATTATAATTGGAATTAATTAGAGAACTGGCTGTGGAACAGAGCTATTTAACCATTGTCTATAAATTGATTTATTTTATAAAAATTTATTAAAACGCTATATATACTAAAGAGGAAAACGTATTTTTAAAGCAGAGAACTTTCAAGTGATTAATTACCACAAAAACAACTTTTGGTACAGCCACCGCTCTTTTTAAAGAATAATTTTCAAAAAATATATTTCATTTAGAAATTAAAATTAAACTCAATTTGTTTAAGGCGAAAAATAAACTATGGTTAAATTAAGAAACTGATTCCTAGTAAAAAAAAAGGTACGTCAATTATTTAATTGAATATTATGTAAGGAAAACTTAAATTTTACTTTGATTATGCTCATATTTACTTGTGATGTCAACAATGCTATTGCCAATAATTTAAAACCTGGTATTTTTAAAATATTATATAAAATTATATAGCTTTCAAGTATACTAGGCTTTGTGCGATTGTTCTCTAATCTATTATCTTTTTCATTTTTGAAAATTGCTATTAAAGTTGTAATTGCTATAAATGAAATAGCCCAGACCAGAAATAAACCTGTAAACAATTATATGGGATATACATTTTATAATTACATAATATTTTAATTATTAATATTTTAAGTATCGAATAAATTTAGTTTCAATCATATTGCATAAAAATAATTTTAGAATAAACTTATATTATCCTCTATCCTATTGTTCTAAATGTCTTTAAAAATATTTCATAATTATGTTTAGTATATATATATATATATATATATATTGGCAACAAAAATAAAAATTGTTCTTTACAATTGTGTGACAATAATTAATTATTATAGTGATAACTGTAATATGTATGAACTGCATTTTTTTTTTATGGAAATTAATTCCTAAATATATATGTAAATATACGTATATATATATATATTTATAGTTATCAGCTTTAAGCTTCAATAATTATATTTTTCCATATTACATAAGTATAAAGGAGTGGATATTATGCCTAGTAACAGCTCATTCTAATCAGATTATAATATATCGGTAAACTTAAAAGTTTTAATTTTATAAAAGACTGATTTTCTAAAAAGATTTTTTTAATACTAGATAACGCTAATTACATTTAATGATAGTTAATTTTTTTTTTCTGTCGACTTACTGTTCATAGTCATTATTCCTCCAACTTTGGGCGTTATCCTTAAATATTTATTGCCAAAATTTTCTGACGTCAATAGAGTAAAGGATGTGGTACTCAAAATTAAACCTATTATTTGACCAACTGAAGCGCACGTAGAAGCATAGCCCACATTGTTTCTGTGTAGAACCATAAAAAACACATTCATATATATCTAAAAATTGTTTATGTTTTATAGTATACGTCAACGAAAATAAAACTACAAACTTTTGTAGCAAATCCAATGCCCAGCCATCAACTACTATATCTTGTGTGGCAGCCATGAAATTAGATATAAAAACCAAAAATATTAGTTTAAGTATGTTTGGTTTTGCCGTTTCAGGTAATATTTCATTAATAGTGCCAGCCATGTAAAAAAAGCATATTCCTATTTAACACAAATCATTGTTAAAACTGAAAAATATATATATATTTCAGTGTTTTGAAATCCCTAAAACTCAAGTTTTATACAGTGATTTCTCAATATTTTTAATCGAATAGAATTAGTAAATAAACCTTAATGTGCATACCTATTAAAAACTGAACTGGAATGAACCAAGACTTACGCCTCCCAATTTTTCGTATGTAGAATGAATCTACCAAAGGAGCCCATAACAGTTTTAGGCTAAACGGCCATACAACTAGGCCGAATAAAGCCTAAAACAAACATAATATTTTTATTGTGAAATAATGTAATTATATTTGAGATTAAAATGCCAAATAGATATATTTACCTGTTCATTATAAGTTACATTTTTATTGCTCTGCAAAAATATTGGAATAACGATGATTAAGCCTATAGGCATGCCTTGCATTATGTAAAATAACAATAATAAAAAAATATTCAGCCAATCCCCTTTCAAATTAGTTTTGGCCAAAATCGATTCGGGTTTCACTGCGGATTTTGATTGTTCATCTTCCTGGGTTGGCAATGTCATACTTACTCAAAATTTTGATGATATGATAAATAAAAATTATATTAAATTAACTAAATATTTATATACACCACATGTCTTGATATATGAAGGCAAAAACCTAATATTTAAAATTATTTTTAATATTTTGTTTAACTTTTGATAAAACATGCACGCTCATAATTGAAATAAAAATCATTAAATAATCGTAGAAATGTTTATCAATAAATAGTGCGTAAAAAATATTTGTAATTATAACCACATTGATAGAACTTAAAAGAATAAATAGCGAATCAACGTGCTAGATTTTATTATTTGATAACCTGTATGACTGTGGGTACAAATTACATGTTTTTAGCGTGGATTAGTTAATTTAGTAATCTATATTACGATGCAATAGTGATAGACAATAGCAATAATGCTATTTTTCGTGTACCATTGAAATCGATAAAGTAGTTAATTTGGAATAATTAAATAACTTGAGATCATTTTGTCAATATTTTATTATACGATGATAGTGTGATAAACTAAAATTAAAAACTTAAGAAAGAATGAAAGTAAGCAACATAATTCAACGATCTAATTTGATTTTGTAAAATTTAACATCATGATACATAATTGTAAATGATTAAAAATGTAAGATCAATAATATTTATATCAAACTGTAATATCAGAATGTAAAATATGTACAAGAATATATAATATTTTTTTGTAACTTATTGACATCAATATCGAATATTTGGTCTACGACGTTTACAGCGAGATAAAATTTTTGATGATTTTTTTTTTTAGTAATTAAAAGATTAAAATTACAATATAAAATAATGAATAAATAAGAATTATTATAAATAAAATGTGATTTTTGTACACAATAATAATATAATTATTAATAATTATCATCAACAATCAACATAAAAATGTCAGGATTTACCAAACTAGAATTTAGAATTATTACAAATAATAATTTATTATTATTCTTATTATTAACGGTTTTATTCTACTTAATCGAATATAGAGTTTTTGTTGAGTAACTCATATAAATTCTAATACAACTAAGTGCAAAGAACCTGACATTTTTACTTTTAAGACTTATTACGAATATAACATATATTAGGTATTGATATGGTGAATAAATTAACTGCCTTTTAAAAATTATTCTCATTAATATTTATTTAAAAATAATCGTCAAATCAAATAATCTATCTTTTTGATTCGTTTATTGGTGATTTTATAAAATTAAAATAACAATAATAAATAACAAGTATTAACTTAAACTAATAACGTATTCGTTTAAATATTTTGGGAAATTTAATAAATATGATATTTCTTAAACGATTTGTTATTTAATATCATAGATTGGTAGCTTTGGCCTTCACTTAGAACAAGGATCAACGATAATTTCGACATTTTCTTCGCTTTTTTGGTTAACATATACCATCCAGTAGAAAGGACTTTTGGTTTGAAAATTTTCGAACATATTTTTAAACATCCCGTACCAAATGAAACCGATTTCCATGCATGTCATTTTTTTCTACATAGTAACCGTCCACAGTTTGGCAATTACAACCATTTGTGACACACATCTATACAAATTAAAAACATGTACAGATGAATATATTATTAAATAAAACGATCATTATTCGTTATAAAAATAGCTAATTATGACGATGTCGATTTCCATACTAGACGATTGAAACAAATTAGTATAAACAGAATTTTTGTTAAATATAAATTTAAATTAATCAACTATACGGATGTATGTAAATAGTTGTCGCTATGCTTACAATATAGTTTAAGTATATACTATTTCAGTAGTGTGCTCAAAATGTTTGAAATGACTTTTGAGTTTAGTAAAAACTGCTTGTAAATTATAATGATTTATTACTAATTGTGTGTAAGGGAATTTTTATATTTTGTATATCATGAGTTAATCTTATAACCATGACGTAAAGTATCTCATAATGACGATAAATATGATTTCATTACTTTACTTTATATTTCATCATTATAGATAAATTTAACTTATACAAATAATTAATAATCCTACAGAAAAAATATTAAATGAGAAATAAGATTCCCCATCTTCTTTTTTATTCTATTCCTGGATTTTACACATTTTTTATAATTTTTATTATATATATAATTTATATTATTATTATTATTATAAATACAATATTTTCAGAAAAAATGTTTTCGTTCTGCTCTAATACTAATAAGAAAATTAATTAATATAAATAGTTTTATCAAAAATACATATCATAAAATATATTTAGTGATACAGGTTGACAGATCATTTCCGCTATATTTTTCGTGTATCCTTAAATTAAAGTTGAACACACGTATTGTAGTTACCCACTTGACACTTCACGTACATCA